GCCTCTTGTCGCCTTCGCTTCCTCTCCCTCTCCCACCTCGACATCTCCCTCCTGCTTTCCCTTTCCCTTGCCAACTCCTCATCATCACCAGCCGCTGCTGCAGCATCCATCGAACCCCAGCACCACAACCACCAGCACCACCACCAGCACCACCACCACCAGCACCACCACCGCCCACCGCCACCGCCACCGCCACCACCGCACCGCCACCGCCACCGCCACCACCACCACCGCCACCGCAACCGCCACCACCGCCACCACGAGCACAATTTCCACCACTACCATCAGCAACAACACCGCTGCTCCTTGCCACCGTTGCTCTCCCCACCATCCCATTCGAAATCTGCAGCCGCCGCAGCCGCGGAATCAGCAGGAGGAACACACGCATCACCTCCACCCCCTCAACTGCTGCCGCTCTTTCCTTTCTCACTTTCTCCTCCGTCTTCTCCTCCTGCTCCTTCCCTTCTTCTCCTTCCTTCTTCTCCTTCTTCTCCTTCTCCTTCTTCTCCTTCTTCTCCTTCTCCTTCTCCTTCTCCTTCTCCTTCTCCTTCTCCTTCTCCTTCTCCTTCTCCTTCTCCTTCTCCTTCTCCTTCTCCTTCTCCTTCTCCTTCTCCTTCTCCTTCTCCTTCTCCTTCTCCTTCTCCTTCTTCTTCTTCTTCTCCTTCTCCTCTTTCTTCTCCCTTCTTCTCCTTCTCCTTCTCCTTCTCCTTCTCCTTCTCCTTCTCCTTCTCCTTCTCCTTCTCCTTCTCCTTCTCCTTCTCCTTCTCCTCCTCCTCCTGTTCCCCCTCCTGCTCCCCCTCCTCCCCTCCTCCTCCTCCTCCTCCTCCTCCTCCTCCTCCTCCTCCTCCTCCTCCTCCTCCTCCTCCTCCTCCTCCTCCTCCTCCTCCTCCTCCTCCTCCTCCTCACCTCTTTCCCTACCTTCTCATTACCTTCCCCAACCGCCCTCTCCTCCCACCGCCCAGCACCCCCTCTTTCCACATCCAAACCCTTCTGCACTCCCACTCCCTCCCTTTCCACCTCCCGTTGGCCCAGTTCCTCACTACTCTGTTTCCTCGGCCCTTTTTCCCTCCTCTTATTCCTCCTCTCATTCTCATCTTTCTTCTCCTGCTGCAGACTCAAGCACTGCTCGTCGTCCTGCTTCACCTGCCCTACCGCCTCGCCTCTCCTGCTTCCCACCTGCTTACCCATCTTCTTCTCACCCTCCCCCACTTCCTCCCCGTCCTCCCAGCCACCTCCCACGCCCACCCTCGTCTTCCCATCATCCCTACTCCCCGTGCGCCCCTCACACCGCTCCTCCTTCTGCCTCTGCCTCACCGCATCCAACCCCATCTCACCTGCCACCTCCACCTCGCCCCTCCCGTCTCGCAACCTGTCCTTCCCTCGCCCCACGTCCTCCTCCGTGACACTAACAGGATGAACCGTTACTGGCACACAACTCTTCATCCTCCTCTCTGCCTTGCCCTCACCAACTCTCGCCTCCCCTGCAGCGTCTTGCTGCGGTGCCTTGATTGCCGCTGCCCTCATCCCTCCACGGTCTACAAACACAGCCAGCAGAGGACTGGCGGAGGAATCACGAGGAACCATTGCTGCTGCTGCTGCTGCTGCTGGTGCCTCTGCAGCTCCTTCAGCAGGAGCGGTAGCAGGAGAAGCAGCAGCAGGAGCAACGGAAACAGCATGAGCGGCAGAAGCAGCAGCAGCAGCAGCAGAAGAAGCAGCAGCAGCAGCAGCAGCAGCAGAAGCAGGAGCAGCAGCAGCAGCAACAGCAGCAGCAGCAGGAGCAGCCTGAGCCGTCCGCTCCTGAATCTCCTCCCGCAGCACAGCCTGAGCCCACTGCATTGCCTCGAGCGCACTGGCTACTGCTCGCACTGCCGCTGCTGAGCGCTGGCCGTGAGGAGGTTTAACGGCAGCAGCAGCCTGAGGAACAGAAGCTGAGGCCCTGTAAACGCTGACGTTAACCTTAACGTTGGCATTGGCATTGGCATTGGCATTGGCATTGGCATTGGCTAACACCTGGGCTTGGTCCTGCCTTGTTGCGACCAGCCGGTTCATCAGAGCGTGTTGGTGTTGCTGTGCTTGTCCGTAGAGTCATCGATTCTGCCCTACTGCCAGCAAAAGGAGTGGCAGCTGCAGCGGTGCTCTCAGGTAACCTGCTCCCACGCTCCACATGCGCTGCATCATGTCCCTTGTCATGTTCCCCGTTGCCAAACTGCCTCAACCCTCTCTGCTCCTTCTGCTCCCTCCCTTCACTCAAAATCCTCTCATATCCCTTCATACTCCCTGATCCACTCAACTCCTCCTCATATCTCTTCCTCCCCTGTTCCATCTCCCTATCATCCCTCTGCCTCCATCCCTCTCTCCCTTTCATCTCTTCCCATTGTTCGCCCTCCTTCCCCTCTTTCCCTTCCCTCTCCCACTTCCTCTCCTCCCTGCGCTCCCTCGCCGCTACAGCGCCATTCTTCGTCCCCATCCCCATCCCCATTCCCATCCCCATCCCCATCCCCATTCCCATCCCCATCCCCATCCCCATTCCCATCCCCATCCCCATCCCCATCCCCCTCCCCCTCTTCCTCCGCCTCCCACGCAGCCCCTGCTCCCCCGCCCCCCGCCCTCGCACCAGCGGAACCTCATCCTCCATAGAGTACGCCTCTGGACTCTGATAGTACCCCTCCTCGTGCAGCCGGGTCAGAGCGGCGAAATCATCAGCAGCAGCAGCAGCAGCAGCGGCGTGGGCAAATGGTTTGACGCCTCCACCCCGGCCCCCGGCCCTGCCACCAGTATCACCACCACCACCAGCACCATCTCCAGCAACAGCAGCACCAGCACAACCAGCAGCACCACCAGCAGCACCAGCAGCAAAGGGAAATTTTCCGTCCGCACCTCCGCCTTGCCTGCCCCTCCCATACCGTCCCTCGCCCTGCCTCTCCATGCCTTCACCCCTTGCACGATCTTGCAGCGTCCCCTCGTGCCCCCCGCCATCCTGCCTCCGCTCCATGCCCTCGCGCCCCTCACGCCCCTCGCGCCCCCCCCACCCATCCCGCCCCTCGCGCGTCTCGCGCTCCCCCCACGGGGAGTCCAAGGTGCCGTTGCTTGCAGCTCGGCGCGCCTCTGCCTCTCCCCCCAGTCCTCCCAGCAGTTCCCCCTGCCCGCTTCCTCCCCGCTCCTCGCCTCCGCGCCTGTGCAACCCCATCCCGCTTCTATCTCTGTCCCCTCCTGCGCGCGCCTCTCCGCCTCCCCCCACCGCCTGCTGCTGCGCGTTTCCGCGCGCCTGCCCGTCCGTCCGACCCCCACCCCTCCCTTCGTCGCGCCTCTCTCCCATGACCACGTTGTGAATCGTCATTGCACTCTGCTGGAACTCCCGCGAATCATGGGACTCAAGAGGGAAGGCGCCACCGCCGCCGCCGCCGCCGCTGCTTCCAGCGTCGTGCGCGGAGCTTCTACCGCTGCCGCCGCGCCCGCTGCTGCGCCCGCCGCCGTGGGCAGCGCCTCCTCTTCCGCGGACGCCGCCGGGCATGCTCTTGCCTCCGCCTCCCCAGCCCCCGTGCCCGTCGCCCCTCCCGCTGTACGCATCCGTCCTCCCGAAATCATCACCTCTTCCGCCCTTCCCGTTATAATCACCTCTTCCTGTTCCTCCCCTCCCGCTACTATCAACCCTTCCCCTGTCACCCCTACCGCCACCACCGCCCCTTATCCCCTCATCCCCCTCATCCCCCTCATCCCCCTCATCCCCCTCATCCCCCTCATCCCCCTCACCGCCCTATCTCCAACCCCCCTCCCCCATGCCGCATTGTCTCCTCGCCCCCTTCCCCCTCGGTCCCCCTTCCAGCATTCCCGCCCGTCCCCCCAGGACTTCCGCTGGCGCACAATTTCCCCCCGATCGTCCCGGGGGGGGCTACTGGAGCGGCAACGCCTTCCGCCCTCCTCTCTTAATCCCCACTCTTCCCCCGCGCTCCCCCTGGCGGAGTCCCGCGTGAGCTCCCTCTCAGCCCCCGCCTCTCCCCTTCCCCCGTCCTGCCCCCGCTGCGGGGAAAAGTCGCGGCTTTCGAGGGCTGTGGGGAGGGAAGAGGAAAGGGGAAGGGGGAAACGGCGAGGGGGTGGGGGAGGGTAAGAAGAGGGGTTGGTGTTGGTGGAAGAACGGGTGGGGTTCGGAAGAGGGAGAGTGGGTATGGGGGTTGGGAGCGGGTAGCGGGTAGTGTTGAGCAATGCAGCACAAATGGTCAGTTAAACGACGGAATGAAAACCCCCCTCCATGCGAACACAGAAGAAAGGTGCTCGACCAATGGCGAAAACCCAGAACCCCGCTACACACCGACGAACCCCGCTAATACCCTCGACACGCCAGTCGACTCAACACGCACTTGGTGACGACGAGGGGAATGGATCAACTGGACCGAAATTGCCTGGTCGAGAATAGGTCTTGGAGAGAGCTAGGCGGTCGTACGTGAAGCGCGCGCCTGTGTGATTATCTCGGTGGTCTCTCTGGTCTCTGCGATTATTTTTGTCCGAAATGTAAAAGGAATGGGAATGCGCGCGAGCGCCGCGACCAGAGGCGATATGCGCCATCTTCAGTGCTGCTGATTACATCAGTGATGACTTGACCTCGCAATGGTGTGTGGGGGACTTGACTGGCTACTGAGTCACGCCAGCCAGAGGCACACGGAACGGCTTTGCGTGCCGAGAGCCGACTTCAAAGGAGACGAGACTTGACGAGCGCGACCAATGGCAGGGCTAAGCTGACCTGAGCCGAGCCTTGCCAATACATGCTTGCTTGCCGTATGGTCGGCTAAACCCTGTATCCCGTGCTTAGGGCGCATCACCTCGGAGCTGGAAGGGCCAGATCCGAACATACGTAACGAATTCACTGTACGAACAGTTTCCTGACAAGATCCCAACACAAATTTGAACACCCTGGTGAATGTGACAGCTCGTGACTAGAGGTGACAGCCTGTTCGAACATGCGACGTCGCCAAGTGTTGGACGACGTCGCGAAACGTCGCAAGAAAAAATTTCAGTCGTCTGCCATTCCAGGTTGACCCATTTTTCGCCCATCCAGTCAAAATGTCTCTTCGTGCTCTTTTACTACTGCTCACCTTGTTGTTTCCCAGCAACAATGTCATTTTCGATGCACTTTCTCCTTCCCGGCGACACTTGCAATGGTCGCAAACATTCGTATTCGACCCGAAGCCTGCTGACCAATCAAATCAGTCGTCCGTGCGGAATCCCTGTCACCGAGCCCAACTTGTTCGAACACTCTTTTCGAACGTGCGAAATGAAGAGCTTCGAGCCCCATGTGACAGCTCTGTTCTGATTCGCGAAATTTCCTACTTGCGACGTCGCGAATACCCGAACGATGAGTGACGAAGTAAGTAACATTTCGCCTGTTCGAACGAGCGTGCTGTTCGAACTGAGGTGAAGCGCCCTTATTGCAGCTATGAGTGTGTGTGTCCCACTAATTGTTCGATGAAGGGGGGGAGGCATGGATGGTGATGATGGGGTTGGGAATTTGCTTGCTTGCTGGGATGAGGCGCATGCCAAACATGACATAGCATGAAAAGGGTGGATGGGGGGATGAGGGTGGGTGACTTGGCATGGACTGGAGGGGCTGGGGATGACGTGGGGAGGTGAGGCGAGGCGAAACATTACTGTATAGGCTAACGCGAAAGCGGCACAAGCATTGTACAAAGTTTGGTATCCGATCTATTTTATCAAACAGCTGAAATACGCACACAACTGAGAAACATGGCGCGCTGCTGGTGCAGCGACTCTCAGGTGCGAACTGGGTGATGACCTGAGAATGGTTACCTGAGCTTTCTCTGTCGCAGCAATCACCTGCAGCGCAGCGCCTCCAACAATGTTTTCTTAGGGCGTGTAAAATCCCCGCAAATATGCAAAATTTTGCTTTTGGCCGGTTTTACGTCGACCATGTTCGACATTTCTTTAGCGAAAGTCGACGGATTGGTCGACTTCGTGTCGTCACATTTACAGCCACTATTGCAGATTTTCAGACTTAAAGCCCGAGTCCCAAATTGCGGGCCGCGCGGGTCAAGCTTTTAAAACTTGACGAACTAGTGTTTTCAAGGTTTGAAGAAAAGCGTGCCTGCAATTTGGGACTTTTGGGAACTGAACCAACCCCCAGGGCGAAATACGAGGGCGGGCTGGGTTTGGCGAAAAAAACGGAAAAGGCGAAATCGGAATCTTTCGCCAAAACCCTCACCACAAAAACCCCCTCGCGTCAACCTTTTAAAACTTGTGCAATTTGGGCTGCCGGCTTTAACAGGCTTGAGGGCCGAATTCCAGGCCGATTTCAAAAACTTGTAAAATTTGCAGGTGTTACAGTAGGAATGAATGTGCGACGTGGTCGCACATTTGACGGCGAAATCTCTGATTCGACCAGATAAAGATTCTGTCGTTCTGCGAGACCGTGCGACGTCGCACGTTACAGTCGCTGACGGTGTCGACTACTTGGCCGAATTGGAGTCGACATGGTGTCGAATTCGAGTCGACTTTCAAAACGGCCATCAATTTCGTTTTTTATTCGCGAAATTGAGGATGGTCGCAAGCTTTTTCGTTTACATCGCAAACGGGTTACTTTCGCCAATTCGGCCATTCGGCTTGTGGCCGAATTTTTAGGTGCAGCGATTTTACACGCCTTAGGGAAACAGTTGGACCTTCGACCACTTTTACGTTGCCCGACTCTCGGAAATATTGGATTACATTCACGACCTTACACTGACCCCCAAGGTGGTTATTTTCTCCATCAAAACCACGGAATTTATTCATGTTCACGTGCTTCTATATGTGCCCCTATTTTGTGCTGTTGCAAGAAAACTGCCCGTTACTGTCCAAAGCAGAATGCAGTTGCAGGTCTTGTCGCTTCAACCATCGAAAAGCGAAGCCCTCACTGGTTCCTGAAATTGAGGAGAAGTCCTCGCGAAGTTCTGTAACCTTACTAAAACAAATCTCCAGCTTGGCGATAAAATGACGTCGCTAACGTGCCACTGGCACAGCTCAATTGCCTACACAATAGTGCTTCAAACGCACCGTTTTCACGCGCTAACGAAAAGACGACAGAGCAGTGTAACTTGCGACAGTGATTAGTTTTGCTCCTGCTCCCCTTGGGCTTCTCCCAGCCCGGCAAAACCGTGGATGTGTGCGTGCGTGCAGCATCTGCTGACCTGACCTGACCTGACCTCACCTCCCCCCAAAACTCTTGAGCATCTGCTGCATTCCCGCTAACTTATCGCTGGGGTCACTGCGTGCGGCGTGTGTCGTGTGACGTCGCTCATTGCAGACCATGGCTCCCACCTCTGTCCACGCTCATCCCTCGCACCTCGTCCGATTTCCCCTGTACGCCTTTGCCTTCCGTCGCGCGCGACGGTTGAGAGGATAGGGTAGGAAGAATCTTCTCAGCGCGTAGTTCCAGAAGCAGTGTGCGGGGTGGGAATGAATCGACAGATTCTCTGCAAGTGTATCTGTGTGCTACAGCTGCCTTAGAAATTTCTCGGCAGCAAATCGACAGATTCTCTCCGGGTGTGTTGGTGTGTGTGCTCAAACAGCCAGCTTCGCTCGCAGACGGCCGTCTGTCACCATTCAATCTCCATCCACTAACTGTAACTATAGCTCGCTCAATACCTCAATACCTCGCTCGCTCGCTCGATCGCTCGGCCCGCGCACCCACATTAACTATTGGCCTTTTTCGCACGTCTTCCGGATCTCAGTGCTCCCCTGCAACGCATAACTTATTCCAGTCGCACACCCGTCGCAGCACAGCGTACAGTCGCACACACGGGCGTAGCTTGCTTCGTTCCCCGCGCGCCGCAGACCACTCGTCCGCTCCCTTGTCCTCGTTCCGCCTACCTCGCAGTCCTCTCCCCATCCCGCCTTTCCGCTTTTCCTCCAAGATCTCAACCCTGCGCGCGGCGGGCCAAGACGCAATGGCGCCCTTCCGCCGCTCCGCGGAAGGCCTGTTTCCGCCATTGCTGATGCTGGCGGTCATCGGCGTGCTATTCTGTCCTGCGGGACACGCCGCAATCACGGTGGAACAACCGAGAATTCGGGTAAGTGCTCTTGCTGCTCTTGTCACTACCGCGCCGTGAGCATCATGCTACGGCAATTAGACGAACCCCCTTCTCTCCTGCTTTACCATACCGCTGCTTCGTGCTTTCCTGCTCTGACGATCCACAGTGCATTTGTCCTCCTACCTCTCCTCCCCCGCCTCCTCCTCTCCGCTCTCTCCCTCCAGTTTTCTTTACCCCACCCACATCGCTCCCCCTCTCCCCCTCCCTTCCCCTCTCCCTCGTTCCCCCTGTCCGACGTAGCACGAGCAGCAATCGTGCGGGAGGGAGCAGTGCGGGGCGGCGCAGCAGGGAGGGGGGAGGCGGCGGATAGCAGAGGAGGTGGAGGAGGAGGTGGTGACAGGATGGTACCGGGGGGAAGGCGCTGCTGCTGCTGCTGGTGTGGCTGCGGCTGCTGGTGCTGGTGCAGGTGGCGTGAGCCGGTACCTAAAGGAGTCTCAACATGTCGTCAGTGCCATGGGCATGGTGAGATGGCTCCCACAGGCATAGTTGGTGCAGTGCGGTGCAGTGCTGTGCCATGCAATTAATGTGTGCAAGTGCCGTGCAGTGCAGTGCGGTGCGGTGCGGTGCAGTGCAGTGCAGTGCAGTGCGGTGCAGTGCATGCAGCAGCATGAATGACCTGCTGGCCACGGATGATGGAGGATGGGCGACGGCATGCTTGTGTGTGTGAGACGCCACATGGTATTCGAACGAGCACATTCGAACGAGCACATTCTCCTTACTGACTGCCATGCCGCATCAATGGCTGCCATACATGTCATGTCATGTCATGTCATGTCATGTCATGTCACACAAACGGGTATGAGCCATCATCGTTTCTGACCACTCCCACCTGCTGCGTAGCGGCACCATCTCACCCTCATCACACACGCATCCCCCCACTGCTTCCTCCTCCACAACTCCTCTCCTCCCCCTTCCCCTTCCCACATTTCTCGCCCATTCCATCCTGCTCCCTACCTCCGCATTCCACTCTTCGCTTCCCGATGCTCCCTCCCCGTGTGCCTCTCCCCATGCGCCTCCCCATGCGCCTCCCACTGCGCCTCCCTCTGCTCCTCCCCCTGCGCCTTGTCCCCTGCGCGTCCCCCCGTCAGGCCACGATGCAGGCAGTGACACCAGCGCCCAAGCTGCGCAAGTGCCAGAAGCTGCTGCGAGAGGGCTCCTTCAGCCTCAACCGGTGGGCGCAGGGGGGGGGGGCACTACTAGTGCTCACAGGGGGTTTACTGCGCACAAGGGTTCACGGGGGGTTCACGGGGGGTTCATGGGGGGTTCACGGGGGGTTCACGCGGGGGGTTCACTGGGGGCTACATGCGGGTCACTGGAACTAGGCACGGGGACCTCTCTAAGGGTGGCTCGCTATTGCGTGGTGCATGATTGTGGGTTGCGTTGCGATGGCATGACTGTGTGTGTGTGGTGGGGTTTGAGTTCAGAGACCATACATGCACTAGGGCTTGACTGAAGAGGTGCACGGTGGCCCCTGTTCATGGGATGGGATGGAATCACAGCATTGGGTGCGAGCGGGCGAAGGAGGGTAAGGTAATGCATGCTCAAATGGTCTCGTCCCCATCTCACTCCTCGTTTTCCCTCGCCCCCACCCCTCCCATCTGGTCGTCCTATTTCATAGGCCTCAACGTGGGGCCGCGCAAGCAGCTGTTCTACCTGCGCCTGGACAACCTCACGCCCGTCACCTGGTTCACCTGCCCACTCCCTCCTCTCTCTTCTCGCCCCTCTCCCCTCGCCGGTCTCCCCCGCGCTCCTCCCGTCAGGTCGTCCTATTTCATAGGCCTCAACGTGGGGCCGCGCAAGCAGCTGTTCTACCTGCGCCTGGACAACCTCACGCCCGTCACCTGGTTCACCTGCGACTGCGTCACGCCCACCTCCTGCCGCACTGCCGGCACCGTCCTGCCCGTACGTGCCATGCCATGCCGTGCCAGGCCGTGCCTAGCTGGTGGGTGTGTTTTTTGAGAATTCTCAAGAATCCTAGACAATGCCTGCCACCGTCCTCCCTGTACGTGCTGTGCCATGCCGCCCACCGCAGCACCGATGCCTGCTGCTATACCATGCCATGCCCTACCCCTCCTCTCCCCTTCAACCCCTCCTCTCCCCTCCCCTCTCCCCGCCCAACCTCTCCACCCCTCTGCGGTGCATGCTGTGTGGGAGCAGGAGCGGCCTCCATACAACACAACGGAGAACGGGGCTACGGCAGTTCTTTGCGATGCGGACACGTGCAAGAACAACACCGACAGGCCCGCACCCGGCCTCAAGATCGGCTGCCAGGTGCGCTGCTGTGCAGTGCCTGGGGGGTGAGGGGGAGGATGGGGGGGAAGGTTGGGGGGTTGTGGAGGGGGGAAGTTCCACAGTGTCTTAGTTTCGGACGGCATAAAACGGCACGTGCCGCAACAACACCGACAGGCCTGCACCCGACCTCAAGGTCGGCTGCCAGGTCCGCTGCTGCGCCTGGGAAAGTGTGTGGCTGGAGTGTGTAAGGCATGGGCAAGGCACGCACGCAAGGGCAGGAAGCGGGAGAAGCATAGTGCTGCTGGGTTGGATGGGTGGGTGGGCACTTCCCCCACTTAGGACGAGAGTTGTCGCCTCTCCCTGCCTCCATACTTGCTTACTCTTCTCTTGCCCTCCTTCGCCATTCCTCTCATCCCTCCTTTCCTTTCCCCTCCCCTCCCTTCCCCTCCCCTCCCCTCCCCTTCCCTCCCCTCCCCTCCCCTCCCGCCTCCCAATCGCCAGGTAGCGGACCAGATCCCGTCAAAGCTGGGCAAGGGCAAGTGCGAGTACCTGCACCTGCACACCATCGTGCGGTCGCCGCTGGGGTCCATAGGCAGCCTGCCGAACAAGGACGGCACCAAGGTGGGCAAGAGCTACGGCATCTTCTACCCGGAGAACGTGTGGCTCACGCACATGGACGGCTGGACCGTCAGCCCGGAGCTTGTTGTTGGGTGAGTTATCGGGGGGGGGAGGGGAGGCAAGGGAGGGGAGGGGAGGGAAGGGGAGGGAGGGAGGGAAGGGGGTAGGGGATACGGAGTGGGGAGGGGTTGCGGGTATGAGCAAGTGAGGTCGGGAGGATAATTGGGGGGAAGGGCAAGGAGGGAGGGAGGGAGGGAGGGAGGGAGGGAGGGAGGGAGGGAGGGAGGGAGGGAGGGAGGGGAGGGAGGGAGGGAGGGAGGGAGGGAGGGAGGGAGGAACGTGTGGCTCACCCACATGGACGGCTGGCTGGACCATCAGCCGTGAACTTGTCGTTGGGTGAGCTGGGTGGTGGGGGGGCGGGGTGAAGTGGGTGGGAGTGGGGTGAGTGGTGCAGGGGGGTGGTGGGGTGGACGAGGAAGAGGAGTGGGGGACGAGAAGGGGGGGAAGGAAATGTTTGGAAAAGAATGTGTGTGGTGCTTTTTCTTGTTGCTGAAGCATTCTCCTGTCCCGTGCAATTCCTTCCGCTCCACAGAGGAACCTCTAGCCACTCAGTATCAGCCCCTTCCGCTCATCCCGCCCTTCTGCCCCCTCCCGCAAAACCCACGCTCAGCTGTGGCATGGTGCAGAAGGGCGCGCTGGGCGGCTACACAGAGGTCCCCGACGGCGTGTTCGGGCTGGGATGGGGCAAACTCAGCATCCTGTCCCAAATGGCGGACCTGGGTGTGTGGGAGAACAGCTTTGGGCTGTGCTTCGAGGGGGACATGGGTCTCAAGGGCGGGTCGTACCTCAACCTGGGCGACGCGCTGATCGAGGGGTACAGCGACAGCATCCCGATGCGGCGCATATTCCCCAGCCCCATGTTCTTTGTGGAGTTGGTGGAGGTGCGCGTTGGCAGCAAGGTGGTGAGCGTGCCCGCGGGCACGTTTGGGAAGCCGACGCCCAAGGCGGAGGGCGGCGTGGTGGTGGACCCGTTTACCACTGTGACGCGCTTGCCGCTCGTTGCTCTGCTCGCCATCAATGAAACGGTGCGGTGCGGTGCGGTGCGGTGGGGAGGGCGCAGATGGGGTGTGGTGTTGTGTGGTGTGCTACGGTGTGTTGCAGATGGGGTGTGGTGCGGATGAGGTGTGCTACAGATGGTCTATGGTGCTGGGCTTTGCGTGACACATGATGTGTTTATGGTTGTCCCATTCTCACTCCTGCAAACAGCATAGTGTTTCACCCCCTTTCCTTCCATGCTTTTCCTTCCATGCCTTTCCCCCCCATGCCTTTCCCCCCCATGCCTTCCCCCCCATGCCTTTCCCCCCCATGCCTTTCCCCCCCATGCCTTCCCCCCCATGCCTTTCCCCCCCATGCCTTTCCCCCCCATGCCTTCCCCCCCATGCCTTCCCCCCCATGCCTTCCCCCCCATGCCTTCCCACCCCTTCTTCCACCCTGTGCGTGCATGCATGCAGCTGGTGGGGCTGATGCCCAATCTGACCTACGACAAGGGCAACTCCAAGACCTTCGGGCTCATCTGCTGGAAGGGCGCGCCCTACAAGCAGTCAGTGCCGCCCCCACCCGCCTGCTGCCTGCTGCCTGCTGCCTGCTGCCTGCTGCCTGCTGCCTGCTGCCTGCTGCCTGCTGCCTGCTGCCTGCTTGCCTCCGAATCCTGCTTCTTCCTCTTGCTCGCATGTACACACACACACACACACACACACACACACACACACACACACACACACACACACACACACACACACGCACGTACACATACAGACACATCTGCACCCGCTCCCTCCGTCGCACGTAGCCACATTTCTTGCTCGCCCTCTCTCCCAAACTCTCCTCTGTTTCTCCCAAACCCTCCCTCCTGCACTACCCCCCACGTCCGCCTGAGCGAGAGCAGGAAGAAGCCAGAGCTGTTGTACCCACAGTTCCCCAACAGGCAGCTCGCCTTCCAGTCCTACCCCAACAACGTCATCTTCTATTCTACGTGCTGCCCCAGTCCTACCTCATTGTGGTACTCCCTCCCCCGTCCCTCCGTATTACCCCCAACATCCACATCCGCACCTGCACGAGCGAGAGCAGGAAGAAGCCGGAGCTGTTCTACCCGCAGTTCCCCAACATGCAGCTCGTCTTCCCCAACAACGTCATCTTCTACGTGCTGCCGCAGTCCTACCTCATCGCGGTACTACTCCCTCCCCTCCCCTCCCCACCACCCCCTTATTCGCTCTCGCTGCTGTTTTCATCTTTCACTCAATTTCTCCCCTTCACTCGCTTTCGCACCCTCACTTACGTTCGGTCCCTCGCTCTCTTGCCGTCACTGGACCACCCTCCTTCCGTCACTCGCTTTCTCTTTTCCTCCTTGCCGCCGTATTTCTCTCTTGTGTTCTGACACCGCTCTCCTCCTTGCCGCACGTATCCGCACTGCATGCCTCACGTTTCAAACCGTACCCCATACCCCATACCCCGTACCCCATACCCCATACCCCATACCCCATACCCCATACCCCATGCCCACACCACACACAACCAACCGCACCCCATGCTGCTGCATCTGATTTGTGATCCTGCGTCGTCCACCCACCGCCCTCCCATGTGCGGTGTGCGATGTGCTGTGTGCGGTGTGCGGTACGTGGTGTTGGCAGAACATCACCACGGGCAAGATGTGTCTGGCGGCAGCAGAGACCACTGACAGCCGCACCACCATTGGCGGTACGCAGAAGCACAGGGCAAGGCGTGCTGGGTGTAGTGGTGCTATGGCTGTTGCTTGATCCTGCTCTTGCTTGTCTGTGTTCTCGTCCTAAAACTCGTCTGTGTGTGTGTGCATGTATGTTTGTGTCTCTGATTGTATGTGTCTGTGTGTGTGCATATATGTGTGTGTGCATGTGCGTATGAGTGCATGTCTGCATGTGTACATTTCTGCATGTGTGCATGCATGCATGAATGTGTGCATCAGAGTCATTCCTTCGCAACAAGATGGTCATATACAACTACAACGACAACACCATATCATGGGCAGACATGAACTGTACGTAACCACCTCCTATCAACCTCGCAATGCCACATTCCTCTCCCTTTCCCTCCCTTCCGTCCCGTCCCTCCCTTCCCTCACTCTCCCCCCACATTCCCCTGCTGCTTCACTACCCTTTCCCTCCGTTGACTCCCGTCTTGAACTCCCTTGTTCTCACACGTGCTCGCCCCCTCCTGCCGTTATCCCCTACCTCCGCCCCCCCAGGCACCACTGGTGTACGCTTCTTCAACTTCACAGCCCAACCCCCAGGCCTCATGCCCCCCCCTCCTCTCATGCCCCCCCCCATGCCTCCCCCGAAACCCCCTATAGCCTTCCCCCCTCCCCCCCTGCCAAAACTCCCCCCTCCTGCTCCAAAACTCCCCCCGCCGGCACCCCCCACACTCCCCCCTCCCAAACCAGCTCTCCCTCCCCCAGGTAAACCCCCAGTTGCCCCTCCTGTCCCTCCCCCCCTTCCCCCCAAAATCACCCCCCCCGCCCTGGACCAAGCCCCCCCCTGTGGTCACCACTCCCCCTCCTATAGCCACCACCCCCCCCCCTGTGACTGCTGCGCCTTCCCCTCCCCCTCCCTGGACTTGGCCCCCTGTTACCCCCCCGCCCTGGACCACTCCCCCCCCCTGGACCTGGCCCCCCAAAGCCCCTCCCCCCTGGACTTGGCCTCCCAAAGCTCCCCCTCCCCCTTGGACTTGGCCCCCTGATGCCCCCCCTCCCCCCTGGACGTGGCCCCCCCAAGCTCCTCCCCCCCCCTGGACTTGGCCCCCTGATGCCCCGCCTCCTCCCTGGACTTGGCCCCCCGAAGCTCCCCCTCCCCCCTGGACTTGGCCCCCTGATGCTCCCCCTCCCCCCTGGACTTGGCCCCCTGAAGCTCCCCCTCCCCCCTGGACTTGGCCCCCTGATGCTCCCCCTCCCCCCTGGACTTGGCCCCCTGATGCTCCCCCTCCCCCCTGGACATATCCCCCTGAATCCCCCCCACCTCCCGAACTTCTCCCCCCTCCTCCTCCCCCTGAGACTTCCCCAGCCTTTCCCCCATCAGACGTGTTCCCCCCACCGCCATACCCTCCTCTTCCCCCGCTACAATCACTCACTCAATGGTGGGTCAACCCGCACAAGAAACGCAAGACGCCGCCCCCGTTCGAGGCCCCTGCGTCGTGGACAATATGGCCTATGAATGACGCGGCGACAGCACCCCCTACTCCGCAAAGAGCCCAGGTGAAGGGGAAGAGGAACCGGGTAAAGGACCGGCAAGGCGCAGCAGGGACTAGAGCTGCTGTTGCTGTGGAAGGGGGGGAGAAAGAAGGGAAGGATGGGTTGGTGGTTCAGGCAGAGAGGGAGAAGCAGAGGGTGCATGAGAAGAGGGACCCAGGTGCTGCAGGGTCTAGAGCCACTGTTGCTGTGGAAGGGGTAGATGAAGAGAAGGATGGGTTGCTGGTTCAGGCAGAAAGGGAGAAGGGGAGGGTGCATGAGAAGAGGAGAAATTACGGAGCTATGGAGGGTGAGGGTATTGGTCTACACCAGATGCATCAACGTGTAGCACCGTAGGTGTGAAAGTATTATAGAAGAACACAGCTAGACTTACAGTGTTTGACTGTATTATATGCCACACTGGCAATTTGTGTTATGGGCAATAAGGACCCTGCTGTGCCCGGACTTCCATTCCATCCATGTATTGCTTGTGTTGTGCAAGTCTATATGAGCAATTGTATACTGACATTTCAAGATGCTCTGACATTTTCTAAACAGGTGTCAGTCTGTCCAGTCAACTTACAATCTACACCAAGACAAGAAAAAAACAGCTTAGACAAGCAAAACCCCAAGGGATGCGGCAGATACGGTAGTGGCTCAGGCCGCCTGGCCTGTCCATGCAGCCAGAACTACCAGCACTCCTGCAATGTGAAGTACGGCAAGAGAATGCAGGAGAAACGACAGCAATGGCATGGGGAACTGCAGGGTTGAGCAATCACGAAAGTTGGCCGACAATTGATAGCCATGAGGTGACCAAAAAGTTAAGGTAGGAAACAGGGAAACGAAAAAGGATGGTACCGTAATAAACAGGTGAGTGCGTGATTGATGAAAATCAGAGATTCTACGCGAGAAACAGAAGGAAACAAAACACAATAATAAATATGCAAAGTGATAGGGCAGTGAGTGATAATCAAGTAGGCAAATTCACCTTTCCAAAGGCGTTCACTCGCTGTCTTCGTCACTATCCTCCCCTCCTCCTTCAGAACCACTCCCCTCCTCCTCCTCATCATCATCGTCGCTCTCCTCCTCACTGCTCCCCCCTCCTCTTGCCACGGGAGGCGGAGGCGGAGCTCGTCCGCCTCTCCTGGTGCGGCTGGGGAGGATGTTCCGCGTATCCACCGAATCAGGCGGCTCCTCTACAATCCGCACGCGATCCGGATCGTCGTCGTCGTCATCGTCATCCCCACGCCGCTTTTTCCCTCCCCCACCGCCTTCGCCTCCGCTTCCGCGTTTCTTCTTCTTAATCCGCTCGTCCTCGCTCTGATCGCTCGCCTCGTCCTCCTCCTCGTCCTCGTCGCTTTCGCTGCCTCGTTTCGATTTCTTTCTTTGAGCCGGCTTGCTCGGTTTCTTGGCAGGCTTCGCACTTTTCTTCGGCCTTCGCTCCTCCTCCTCCTCCTCCTCCTCGCTCCCGTCAAACCCCTCGCTTTCCTCCTCATCATCATCGTCCTCGTAATCCGACCCCTTCCTTTTCGGCTTCTTCGCCTCCTTGCCCTTCCCCCCCGAATGATGTTTCTTGTCTGGCTTGCTCACTCGATCTCCCCCGTTCTTGCCGGAGCTGGAGCGGCCCTCCTTCCGGTTGCCGACCGCGCCCGACGCCGGAGCTGGGGCTGGCGGGATTCCGGCTCGGCGCGCTTGCGCCAGCGCTTCAAGCTTCTTCCTCCGATCGTCCATCTTGGCGAAAAGCCGAAATCACCACGCCGCTGAGTTACAAGCAGATTCGGCTTAAGCCTGGGTCTGGCGAGAAAAAAAACACCAACAAGGAAGCGTGAGAGCCGAGAGAAACAGCAGCAGCAGATGGAGAATACCTCTCAAGGCCCTTAGGGAAGCCTTATGTTCAGACCAGCTCAATTGGCTCTAACTAAGCAGCGGCAGATGGCAACACCCAGATTCGCTGCGACAGCCCCAAGTGCCAGATCTGCAATTGCCGCCAAACAACAGTAATTGCTTGAACTGGATACAACGACCTCACCTTGAATTTCATTCAGAAGCGTACAAACCCACCTCAACCAGCTCAGGACCATACCCAACCGATATTTTCAGCAGAATGAACCGTTGTGCAACGTAAAACATCTCACTGAGCCGTATTCAGACGAACGCGGGGGACACACCCTCGTCCGCACTGATCACCTCCCCAAACCCCCCGCCTCCCCAAACCCCCCCCGCTGACCCTGCCCTTACCTCTGCGTTGTCAGTCGCCATTTCTTTCAACTGCGGAAACTCGGGTGCCCCCATTGCACTCTCCCAGCTCACGATGGCGTCGTTCCAACTGTTGTCTCAAACCGCATTCGAATCATATCGGTCAACCGCTTACAGTCTTCGCTGTAAGGAAACTGACTCAAATTCCTGGAATGGGAGACATGTAGCTTCAAAGTTTGCGCCATGGAAGAAGTCGGGCAAACTCCGTCGAGGCATGTTAGTGGGAACGCGAAGAACAGGGTCGCAGATTGAACACAACTGGTGAGACGAATGAGCAGACCAGGGGAAGATCCATGAGAGAGGCACATCTGTTCCACTAGCTTGCTTCTCATGCCGCAACCTCGCTTGTCTGTCCGCGTGTTCTTTCCTCCTCTGCCAGGTTCTCCCCCCTTCCAGTCAAATGCCAAATCTTTCCAGGCACTCGACCAAACTCGCCCGCCAACAGCGGCAGCGGCAGCGGCAGCGGCAGCAGCAGCAGTGGTGGCGGTGGCGACGGCGGCGTGGAGAAGCATGCACCGAGCGTACTGCTGATGCGTGCATCGGCTCCTGATCACCTTCTAGCTGCTGCAACTCTTCGAACGCAGCTGCTGTACGAGTACCCTACTGGTTCTAGACGACCCAATATCACTTCTGACGGGGAGCGTATTGGGATTTCAGAAGCTCAGTCCACCGGTACTGGGACATTTGGTGCAATGGAGGAAGCCATAATAGCGGATATGTATGGCCTTCGCCTTAAGAATGAGTTTGACAGGGTATGTAGTCTGTGGTTCTGTAATGCTCCGTTCACTGGTTGTGTCTCCCTGAAAGCATCGTTTTCCCCTGACCCTTATCCTTTCTGCAGGACCTTTCATTCCGTTTGGTAAATGCACATGTCTTGACGTATCTCGCCATCTGTCCATGGGAACATATGGCACATAGAGTCCCGGTTCCTGGAGAGAGGAATTCGACCTCCTTACTGCAAACGCCTCCGCAACTGGACTCGTCGCTAACAACTTTACCAGATGGTGCACCAGGAGGAGTTTATGCTGCTGTTGCGACTCTTGACATTGATGTGAGTAGTAGAGTCCAGGTTTTTCCTAGAGACGTTATGTTAATTATGCAATTTGGTCTGTAGAGCACAGGCACACCATGTTGGCCGTGCTTTTGAATTCGGCTACCGCACGGAAGTTACTTTAAGCCATGTGTCCACAAGCCCGGTGCCTCTCTTTTGTTTTACGAGTTGAGATTCAGCTCAGTGAACCCTGATGCTCTCCACTCTCTCAAACTTCTTGATTCACTTCAGATGGCGGAAGAACTTTCTCACATGAGTTCACGGCCATGGGGCCGTGCAATCCATCGTGCCATGGGAGTCGATGCTGATGTCCCGCTAATCGCCAACGGGATGGAGTCGCAACATCCTCAAGCTCTCTCTGCAGTTGCTTCTGGTGGTACTGCCTACGTATTCAATCTTTGTGTGGCACCAGTAATGCGGCGTCAGGGAATAGCTCGTGGGCTGCTGTCATTTGCTTTAGACGACTTGCTGGAGCAGAGGGCAACTTCGTCAGTCCATGTTCATGTAGAAGTGTGCAACCATCCAGCAGCAAAACTCTATAGCTCGCTTGGTTTCAACTTAGTTCATGAAGAGAGCCTAGAGGATGAGGAAATGCTTCAACGACCTAGAAGGTGTCTACTCTCTTTCTACCCTGTAAGCTAAACACAAATACTAAGCCATATTCGAGCCGACACGAAGCGGTATATGTCTTGCCAGATCATGTATCACAGAGATTCAGGAAGAGCTCCTGCTCAATTCCGGCCATCAATGCATCAGTATGGCTCTAAGATCTTGTAAAACGGGATCCAGGTCCCTGTGATGCAGATGATCTTTGTTTCTTGAAAGTCTGCTGAATTGGTTCGACCACCTGCAAAAAAGAAGCAGCACGCAGTGAGAATAAGCATCTGATGCTTACAGAAGTACCAGTACCATGTGGAGCTTGTATATTTACCGTGCTGGCCTTGCGGACTCTTGGATTGCTGAAGTTGATGGTGTCCTGGCTTTCTTTCACGAATTCCAGCTCACCAAGCAAGCCAGGTTCAGGTCCCAGCTTCATCTTTTCATAGCCTGTTGAGCTGACTTCAGGTGGAGCCTTTCTGGACAATTTCTTGTCCTGATTAAAGGAGACAAACACAAAATTAGGTTGAGGTTTAAGATTGACTTTGAATTGGAACATAAGCTTGTGTGAGGATGCATACCTTCGCCAGAGAAGGTGGTTCCTTGAAACCACTGTCGCTCTTATACACTGAAGCTTCCCTTGCTCGAGACCTTGTCATGTCTGAACCCAACGAGCACACCTGAGCCACTGCAGAAGGGCTTGCGGTTTTCAGCTGGTCAGCAAGTGGACTCCTTGTAGAGGGAGATGGACAAGTAGCGTGTATGCCTTCTTTAGACTCATGCTTTTCGTCCTGCATCCCAGCCTGAATCTTCTTGGAGCGCAGAACCTTTCTCCCTGTATAGCAGAGTGTGACCATAGTCAGTAATAGGTGAATTCAGAAGCTGCTGAGGCAGAAGCAGTATTTCAGATCAGAATGGACCTTTCTTCCTGTTGCTGGCTGTGCTTTCAATGTAACCTTCAGATCCCATCTGCTCCAATATTTTTTAACAGCTGCTAAAGATGCAGCGCTTCCCAATATTGACTGGAGGTTTGCAATGGTCACATACTCCAGATTGAAGACATGCTCCAGAGCCTGTATGGTACCGCCCATGTCAGGGCCTGGCCTTGGACAGTTTTGAAGACGCTAGGATTTTAATGACACTGAACCGAATGCACACTTCACCTTGTGATACATCGCAGTGTGCTCATCCGATTCACAAGCATCCAATGGCTTCTGAAGTGGAGGGCTATGATTCTTCAGGCTGGGTTCTTCCTGAAATCGAAGAAAAACATAAGATTTGTGCCAAAGTTAAGCTATTGAAACATGGTGTTGTGTTCTCACCTGACCAATCACATCCCCATGGATTATGGAGTAAAGGTCCGCGTTCACAGCTTTTAATCTTCCTTCGCCAACAAGCTGGTCCATGATTTCTGGAAAGAAAACCCCCATCAATTTGCATGAATTTCTGAAAGCTGCATATCGTCTCTCATACCTTCAATGGAGACCTAAAAATGCAACAATGAAGGGTTAGCAGTCGAATTCCAAACCGAACAGCGGGTAAACCAGACAACGTGATACCCACCAAAGATGCATCCGGAAAGTTGGCAAACACATCCATGACATCAACGGTAATCGTTGGCCTTGATAAAATCCACGACCTGATAAGACTTAGAGCTGCAGTCGGAGAAGTGTTCATCAGCTTAGCTGCAAATATTGAAGAGTAGGTAAGTATAGGATGTATTTTCGAACAAACGCATAGCAAAAAGGCCTCCACGCACAGGTCTCGTCATCTTGTTTCTTCCCTGGAAGGTCGCCTGTTTTTCTGATGCTCCCCTCCTGACAGGCATGGAATGGAACATCCTTCAATAGGGCCAAGAGGACAGTTAACATGAAAGAATCTAGAGCCTGCTGACCTTTTTCCCAGAACCATTTTCGTCTTCCTCAGATTCTGATGACTGGCCCGAAGTTTCTGTTCCATTACTTTGACTGCCTTGCTGCTCCTCATTATTATCACATGGATCAAGAACACTCCGTACCTGAAAGGCTCGTTAAGAAGAATCGTGAACTTTCGCAAAAGAAAAGGAGCGAAAAAATTCAAAGCAGATTATTACTCACTTTCAAGGCTATCGAGTAGTGTTTGCTGTCAACATCACCAACTTTCATCTTCAGAGGCGTAATAGACCAGTTCAACTTTTCCTTGTCGCCACAGCTTCGAAAAAATGGCGGTTCATAGTCTTCAGGCTGCATAATCACCAAGTCAGAGAAGTATTAGGACCTCAGCTCCTAACCCAGCGCTTACCGTGACATCCTCGTGATATAGAAGCTTCACAATGATAGTTCTCTGGCATTAAAAAACAATACCTGTTAGTCAGTGTAGTTCTTGGTTTTGAACTCGGATCAAGCAAGGTGAACCACATGTAACAAATAGGGCTCACCTCATTTGGGACGTTGTCAAGTGTCCTCATGAGCTGCACGAGCGTCCGAACCAGTTTGCATGCAGAGTTTCTGTGGAGGCAGTGGCCAGTTTAGCTTGCACATTACAAAAGGAAAGGAGAGGAAAGAAGGAAACTAGGAGGAGAAGTGCTTACTTCATTTGTGCAGGAGTAGCATCCGACCCCACGGATTTGAACGTGCTGTCTTTATCCTTGCTTCCAGACTTCGATATGTTCAAAGACACATCCCCAGTCTGAGACGCGTACGAGAAGTTGACTGCGAGGAAAGTAACAGTGAAAGTACGTGGTGTTGGTCACAATCGGTAAGAAGCAGTGAAAACAACCCACAATCATATTTACATGTATATTCTTCCAAAAGGGACGTTCCATCAGATTCGCATATTGCAAACACCATAGTCTTCAGATATTTCTTCTGTAATGCGTCATAGACACCTGAAATTTCAGGACAGAGATTAGCTCGTTGCTACAATGTCAACGCCGTCTGTAAGTCCCGTGAGTCCCCACCTTGCTCCATCCAGTCAATTAGTCGCTTCGACTCAGGGTCAACGGGCATGAGCTTCTTGATCTTCATTTCTGCGAAAGGCAATTGTTGCCAATGCTCAAGTCACTCTTTGTTTTTCTCGCCGTTAAGGATAAAGTCTTACCCAGAGCAGGAACATATTTGTCGTCGAAATACTTCTCCGGGAAAAGGCCACGGATATAGCTAATGTTGAAGACAGCAATGCGCAATAGGTTTCTTGTCAGTTGCAAAGACTCTTTCTCGGAAATCGCCTCCCGTGTCCTTGCTGCTTGCGCGACCACCTGCCAAAAGAACCGTTGAAGCAAGTCGGACAGGAATCCTACGCCATTCCATCCTTTTCCAATAGAGGAAGCCTACCATATTGCCGAAGTGAGCGTGGTGACTGCAACGCAAGGGAGTTGCAAGACCTGATGGAACGGAAGGGAGAGACGAGGACACTGGCTTCGAAATGAAATGACTAGGGAAAATTGTTTGATAAGCTTGGGAGTCACTGGCTTGAAAATTGTTCAGCCTCGCATCGCCTTGGACAACCTCGAAAATACCTTCTTGGAACCTCCAGAATCCGCACCACAATCCAGAATAACGCACAGACACACTATCACAAGAAAGGAGGATAGACATATATTCACATGGTGGTATCCATAAGAGGTTTTTAAAAGTGTAGCATTTCTCAGATTGCATATTGTGAAAGCACAACTGCTTGTAATGCAGCAATGTCATCTACAAAATGATGGACGCTCTTTGCCAAAAGGGCTTTATCACTGCGCAACGGTTTATATGTATATGCTTATACTCATACAGTATCAAACATCCTGCATCCTCCAAAAAAACCGACAAACAGCACATGGAACAGAAACTTACAAGATGACAAAACAAGAAAACTGTTTTACAAGACTAGCCCTACAAAGTGCCTGAACATGCACAGGCTGCAACAGTAGGGTACAGATGATTTGCTGCTGGAGCAGCCAAGCAGCAGAAAAAGACAAGAGATCCTTACACACATAACGAGCCGGTGCAGTAGCCCCCCATATATGGTAGCCAACTGCAAGGTGCCACACTACATGACTGAGCATAGTATGAAAGGATGGGGATGAAGCTGGAGCAGGTTGCAACTGGCAGCTAGCTTCTTGTACCGTAAGTGTTCTGTGTCCTGCACCTGGCATCGTGGGAACCTGAAATAATAATGTCCACAGGGCTGTTGCTGCTGCGGCTGCTGCTGCTGCTGCAGTCACATTCCCACTTGGGAAGGTAAGTCTGAGCTAACAGATGCCTTGGCCAAACGAAGAAGAGTGAAAGGGGAAAAAACCCACACAGATGGAATATTTTGCCATTCCCATCTACCAATAGAGAAATCAGGCAATCAAGTGCACTTCTCCATGGAAACAGGTGGTGAGCTGTTGTCGCTTGATACCTTTGTTGTTCTTGGCACATGACATAACACAGCAGTAAGCCCACCACATACACTCCAGCCGCTGCTCTCCAAGAGGGCAGAACTTGAGCCATCACTTGAGTATTAAGGAAAACATGAAGTGGTGGTGGCGCCTTCGCCACCGCTGTTGCTGCTGCTGCTGCTGCTGGGCATCTCCGCTGCTGCTGCCTGCATGCTGCCATCACCGCTGCTGCTGCCTGCATGCTGCTGTCGCTGCTGCTGCCGCCGCTGTCGCTGTCGCTGCAGCTGTTGCCACTGCCGCTGTCGCTGCTGCTGCTGCGTAAATCAGTAGGTGTGATGGTGGTAGGTAGAACCCGTGGTTACATTCCAGCGAAGTACAGCTGACCTGATTGGAGCAGATCCCACCTCGTCTCAACCACCAAACGCTGAGACAAGATTGGCAAGACGTGTTACACCACACATCCTCAAATCACGTCCTCTTACTCTGGAACAGTCTCCATTCTACACATATCCCTCACCTCCCACTCACCGCCTCCCACTCCTATCGTCCCACCACCCATCCCCCCAGCAGCAGCAGCAGCAACATCACCACCCGCCCTCAACCCCCCTGCTGCCGCTTCCCCCCTGTTGGCACCCCACCCGCCGCACTCATGCCCTCCAGCCTCCCCCAACTCCCCCAATCCCCTCGATCCCCGACGCTCCCCCGCGCCCTCCAGGTCCCCCAGTCCCCCTAGGGCTACAGCCAGCGCCAGCGTCGCGCGCGGCTGTAGCGGCGCTGCTGCGCGCTTGCTGATGCCTCCCGCAGGGCGCCTGCCGGTTACGCCGCCAGGGACGGGGCAGGACGACGCGAGCGGAGGTAGCGACGGCGAGAAAGGAGACGAGGAGGATGAGGCGGCGCCGCGCGCGTGCGCGTGGCCGTCGGCGTGTGCGTGCGGGCTGCTGCGCTGGCGCTGGTGCTGGCGGTGGCGGCGGTTGCGCGCGGAGAGGTGCAGCGCGCGCGTGTGCAGCGGCGTGCGGCGCAACGGCTTGGCGAGTTCGCTCATGGAGCGGATGGCCGCCACGTCAGCAAGCGACGTGAATGAGCGCGACTTGCCCCCTATGAACGCCGACAACCCCTTCCTGTGATGCGCGCAGGGCCAAGGGGAAGGAAAGGTGCGCGGGGAAAGACAAGGGGAGAGGCGAGGGAGCGAAAGGAGAGGAAAGATGTGGTGGGAGGGGAGGGAAGAGGTGAGTTGATGGTTACAATCCGACGCGTGTGCGCGAGAAATCGGAATGCGTGTGCGTGAGAACTCGGGATTACGCTGTGAGAAGCATAACACAATCCGACGACTTACTGCCTCGTAAGCCCAGCGCCAGAAGCACCGTCACCAGCGCCAGCGGCAGCATCAGCAGCAGAAGAAGAAGCAGAAGCGAGGGACGGCAGCTTGCGGCGGGGCAGCGGCTTAAACGTCGACTCGGCTTCCATGTCCGCCTCGCTATCTCTCTCCCTCTCAATGCCGCTGCCGCTGCCGCTGCCGCCGCCCTCCACGCCGTCACTTGCGGCGCCCAGGCTGCTGCAGGAGCGGGAGAGGGAGAGCGAGAAAGAGGACGATTTAACGGTTTGGAGAAACCCCGCTCCGCCGAAGCTCGCCACGGGCTGCGGGCCGAACGTCCCCGCGCACCTCCCCGCATCTTCCCCCACGCCTCGACCCTCCATTCCGCCAGCGGCTGCGAGTTCCCCCTCCGCGCCCACAGCGCCGCCAGGCCGTTCCGCGTAGAAGTGCCCGCCTATGGGCGCCTGGCGCTGTTCCACCGATGGCGCAAAGGGCACCTCCGACTGCACTCGGCGCATCCCTTTCCGCGGCCCGCCTCCTCCCCCGCCCCAGTGTTCCGCCCATAGCTGTGCCTCCCCGCTGGCCCCGCTGCCGCCGCCACTGCTCGTGCTGCAGCAGCAAAGGCCGCCGCCGCCGCCATTCCCGCATCCCCCGCCGCAACCGCCGCTGCTACAGCTGCCCGGGTCGGAGCCCATCTTGATAAGCCGCGGCTCCGCCTCTCCATCGTGATCGTGCGGATGCAAACAACTCGAAGGATTATCGTGCGGATGCGCGCGTGAGTGGCAGTGGTGAGGCGGGTTGAGATAGTGCAAGTGACGAGGCGAGTGAAGAGTTGAAGGAGATACGAAGCCCTGGACGGGCGGAAAGGCGGCGTGCGCGGTAGAGACATTCGGGGCGCCATCGCCCGGTGCAGGCGGGGGCGCGGGGGCGGGGATACGCGGAATTGGGACCTCGGAGCTCCAATTGAGGAGCGGAGTCCCATCATGCTCAATTGGCGGAAACGGGGCTGCGCGGAAGCGGGGTTGCGGGGAAGGGTGCGGGTAAAGGCGCGCGAGCCGGTTGCGAGGTGATGTGGGGAGTTGAGGGGAGAACGAGGCGCCGGAGGGCAGGAGAGAGGGCTGGCTCATGCATGCACGGAGATGCGGCGGTGAAGCGAAGCTATCGTCCGCGTGGCGCAGAATTGAGGAAGTGGGAGGGGGCAGAGAGGAGAGCGGGGCTTGGGATTTGAAGTGTGGTTCCGGCGGCGTGCTGAGAGGGAACTGCGGCAGCTGCGAGTGAGACTGTCGTGACGATTCCTCGCGCAGCTGCTGCTGTTGTTCCTTTTGTTGTTGCTGCTGCTGCTGCTCCCGCTGTCGCAGCTGCTGCTGCTCCCGCTGTCGCAGCTGCTGCTGCATGTGTACAGACAGCGCCGATAGCTGCTCGAGAAGTACATCGTCCGACTCCGCCTGCTGTGGCATGGTGGAAAGGTGCGCTCCGGCAAGACATCTAACATCGGCGACACGCTCATTATCAGCCATGGCCGCCTTGCGAATATAAACAATCCCGCTGCCGTGTAGATAATCGCTGCGGCAATGGAACGTCCTTGTCTCGTCCCCGTCTCGTCGCTGTCTCGTTGCTGTCGAGCTGCAAGATATTGCCGAGTGGTGGTGGTGGCGGAGGTGGTGGTGACGTGAGCCTTGCTGCTGCTGCTGCTGGCGCAGGCGCCGGCGGACATGACATGTAAAGAAATCTGGGTGGTGGAGAAATTGAGTTGCTCCTCACAGTCGCTTTCTGACCAACAGTGCGATGTTGAGGTGTAGCCTGCCTCAAGGGCTTACGAGTGTAATCTCTTGTGCTATGGGCTGGGCAGATAACGAAAGCTGGAAACAACGCCAGCATGAGAAGCGGGAAGTCAAGGGCCTCCCAGTCCCGCACATATCCTCTCCACGCTTTCAGGCAGAAGGCGTGGGGTGCGTGCAGCTTTCTGGGGCTTTTGCTTCGGTTGGTTTCGCAATGACTGTGAACGCCATCTGTGTTTCCAACCTGCCCATCAAATCTCCATAGTCGTTCGGAAGTGTACAGTACACGATGCAGGTGGTACGCTTGGTTCAGTGGGTGTGGAAAACAAAAAAGGCTCCGGGTTGTGAGGGGGGGCAGCGGAAGAAGGGAAGTAAAGTTTGAGGGGGAGAAAGGGGAGATTTGGTGGGGGTGGGGTGTGTGGAGGCACTGACACTGGTTGGGATTTTCTTGTTCCCCGGTCTGTCCACACCACTCACGCTCTTTGCGTGAGTGGGTGGGTGGGTGGTCTTGGTGTTTTGTTGGACGGCGACTGTATTGCGAAAGCGAGCGAGACAATGTTGGGGCGAGCTTCCGCGCTGGTTACCACGGAAAGCACTGTAGAGCCACAGAAGCAGTTCCATTTGCAGCAGACAAATCGCGCACTCGAACATAGATTTTGCTGACAGAATGATGACTTGACACTGGTGTTCGAAGGTGTGGTGTCAAATGTCCGAGGTGACTTGGAGAGATGATGATTAGAAGATTTGTGACGTGGACAACAGGTGCTCAAAGCTGATTGGGAGCAGTTGCATGGCTGAAAGTGTACCTCGGCCTATCCCTCACTGAGCAAGTGGGAAAGCAGAAAAGTGTGTGGTGAGGGCAAGGATCCCGAGTGGGGCGTCAACTGTAGTCGATGATGTAAAAAGGGAAGGGCATATCGGGTTTTCAAAACAAACAGCACATCACCACGCACTGCAACCGCCAGCAGCAGGATTCGTTACAAGGTCATACATATGTCAAAACCAACCTCAGTGCAATCGTCACAGCTACAATAAAACTAAAGCCAGAGTCACTCAAGCAAGTCAGAAAGTTATCACAATGAACAAACAAATGCAGGTTTTGGTCTAGGATCAACATAATTCGTGCAAGAAAACTAGAGACAATCGGATCAACTTTGTTTCTGCTGACCACGCACTGAAGAGTTGGAATTATCATTAGTAGCTGAAGCGCCCCCATGTAACCAGCCAGCAGAAGCTGCGACACCAGGCACAGCAGCAGGTGCAGAAGTAGTAGAAACAGATGCAGGAGCAGAGGCAGCACTTGCTGATGTGCTACCTGGCACAGGCACACTAACAACTGTTGCTCTTTCTTTGTTCGGGGCAGCAACAAACTCTAAGTCAATAACCAGACGCTTGCCCCCATCTCTTGTTTCATAGTTTCTCACCAGCTTCTGCCCAATGATTACTCCACTTCCACCTCCACCTCGACCACCTTCCTTCCGACCGCCCCCTCCTCCCCTCCTTCCTCTTCCCCTAGACTCCCGACCCCCTCCACCACCACCACCGCCACCAGCAGCAGAACCAGCAGAAGCAGCAGCAGCAACAGCAGCAGCAGCAGCAGCAGCAGCTGCTGCATCATCTGCTCGTCCTCTCACAACTGCTCCTTGCTCAGTAAAGGCCTCCTGCGCTGCTCCTCCAGCAGCAGGCACTCTGCTGGTGGGAGAAGGGGAGATTCTCCCAGCAGCCGCAGCAGGCATGGGGGAGGGAGACGTCCCAACCCCAGGCACGGCACCAGAAGCAGCTGCCTTGGCCCCAGAAGCACCTGCTGCAGCTGCACCCTTCCCTGCCAGCGCCCTTGCTCCTACTGCTGGAGCAGCCGCAGCCACTGCCGCCGCCGCTGCTGCTGCTGCTGCTGCTGCTGCTGCTGCTGGCGCAGCACTAATGTCAGCCCCAAAAAGGAGGCTTGGGCGGGGAGGGGTGGGGGAGAGGGAGGGCGCTGCTGCAGTCCTGGAAGAGGCGAGTGGAGGGGCAGACTGGGTGGTTGCACCGGTTGCACCTGTCGCACCTGCAGGCGGACGAGGCCTGTCAGGGAGAGAAGTCATGCCGTGGAAGGCTGCACCTGCAGTTGCTGCGACTGCAGCTGCAGCTGCAGAACCGGCAGTGGAAGTAGCTCCAGGTTCCTGGGGTTGAGTGGAGAAGATGGTTGATGCAAAGAGGGAGCTGTACTGCTTGCGACACGCAGAGTTGCCCGCCCCTGCTCCTGCTCCTGCTCCGGCTCCGGCTCCTGCTTCTGCAGTTCCTTCTGCTGCTCTTGCACCTGCACCTGCTGCTGCTGTTCCTCCTCCTCCTCCTCCTCCTCCTCCTCCTCCTCCTCCTCCTCCTCCTCCTCCTCCTCCTCCTCCTCCTCCTCCTCCTCCTCCTCCTCCTCCTCCTCCTCCTCCTCCTCCTCCTCCTCCTCCTCCTCCTCCTCCTCCTCCTCCTCCTCCTCCTCCTCCTCCTCCTCCTCCTCCTCCCCCTCCCCCTCCAGGTACTGCTGTTACTGCATGGGTTGCAGGAGAGGGAGAAGACCTGGAGAGGGGCAGTGGCGAAGGCATGCCAGCAGCAACGGCCATAGCCGCAGCTGCTGCTGCTGCGGCAGACGTGGAGTTGAGAGGAAAGGGCGAGGCGAGGTGCAGGCCTAGAGAAGAGGTCGAAGAGGCAAGGGAAGCAGCGAGGGTATGGCTGGGGAGGGAGGGTGGCAGGGGAGGGATGGATGAGAGAATGGGCGGGCCTAGGGGCCAGGACGGGTCGTGCTGCTGGGCTGAGGTGGAAGAGGATGATGAGGGGAGGGGGTGCGATGTGAGCGAGGAGAGCGAGGAGTGGTGTGGCGGGAGCGGAATGTTGTTGGGTGGGCGTGTGGAGGAGGCATGAGGGTGGGCTGCGGGCGGGAGGGAGTGTGAGCGAGCAGGGTGAGAGGAAGAGAGATGGGGAGCAGGAACCGAAGCTGAGCCAGGCCAGGCAGTGGAGAGTGCTGCTGCTGTTGTTGTTGCTGCTGCTGGCGAAGCAGGAATGCGGGTGGCTGTGGGTGGGGCGGGGGACGTGTGTGAGGGGGCTACTGCAGTAGAGTTAGCATTTGAAGCTGCCAGGGAGGTGACCGCAGGAGAAGCAGAGTGGGGAGTGGGAGCAGGGGCCCGCACGGGCACGTGGCCAGCAGCAGGGGCAGGGGTGCCAGCAGAGGCAGCAGAGGAGGTATTAGCGGTTGGCAAATGAGGAATGGGCGGGGGCGGAGTGGCCGCTAGCGAGGGAGGGACTCGGAAGTTGGGCATAGCGGGTGGGTGGAGCCTGCTTGCCGCCGCCGCCGCCGCCGCTGCTGCTGGTGGTGGTGGTGGTGGTGGAGGTACCATTGCTGCTCCTGCAGACTGCGTTGCTGCAGGGTGGTATGATGATGCTAGAGGAGGGACTGGGGAGTGGTGAGAGCGAGGAGGAAGAGGAGGAGGAGGAGCAGGATGAGGGAGGGAGGACCAGAGCGGAGCTGAGTTGGTCGAAGTGGGGTGTGCAGCAGAGGGAGCAGGGGAAGGAGTGGAAGCAGCAGCGGCGGATCCAGCAGCTGCTACCGCTGCGGCAAGAGCAGCAGCAGAGGCAGCAGCGATCGCAGCTGCTTCAGGAGCAGGCACGAGGAAAGAAGAGAGGCAGGGGAAGGCAAGATCGGGGCCAGGAGGCTGTGGAGACGCAGAAACACCTGAGGCAGCACCTGAAGGAGCACCTGAAGCAGCAGCTGCAGCACCAGCAGCAGAAGCAGAAGCAGAGGCACTAGCAGTGCTGTTGCCCACAGATGAGCCATCGATATGACCAGGATAACTCTCCCTCTCTCCCCCCAAAGTCCCATTTCCCATCTCCCCTTCGTCCACCTCCATCAGCCCTTGTCCATCCCCTCCTCTACTCTCTCCCCCCATCTCATTCTCCCTCTCATTTCCTCTTCTGCTCTCTCCCCTCCCATACCCATTCACACCACCTACCCCATCCTCCTCTCCTCCTCGTCTCCGCCTGCCTCTCCCTCTCCCCCCTCCCCCACTCGTTTTCCTTCTCTTCTCCGCAACCCCCCCTCCGTCTGCATCCCCTTCCCCCTCCCCTTCCCCTGCACCCTTCCGCTCTTCCCTTCCTCTCTTCACCCCAGCCCCCATTCCTCCCCCAAGCATCCCCCCAACGTTCTCCCACACTCCCCCAGCAGTGCCAACATCCTCCCCCTCAGACAAGGAGGGGGGAGCGGGGAGGGGGAGGATGAGGTGGGGAGGGGGAGGGAGAGCAGCAGCTAACTCCCATTCCTTGAGAGCCCAGGGGGAGGGTGCAGGTGGGGGAGGTAGCAGCTGGCCTAGCTGGGGCTCTGATTGGAGGAGGTCTGGAAGGGGCCTGTCTGGAGGACACGTGGCGTCAGGTGATAGGCTGGTGGAGAAAGCAGGGAAACGGGGGAGATAGAGGGTGTTACGGAGAGGGTGATAGAAAGGGAAAGGATGGAAGTTTCGAATTACCCTTGTCGTTCTGTAAAAACTGTATAAATGCGATTGTGTGTGTGTGAAAATGTGGGAGTGGTGGGTCATGCACTGTATGCTGTGCTGTGCTGTGCTGTGCTGTTCTGTGCTGTGCTGTGCTGTGCTGTGCTGTGCTGTGCTGTGCTGTGCTGCGCTGTGCTGTGCTGTGCTGTGCTGTGCTGTGCTGTGCTCTGCTCTGCTCTGCTCTGTTGGTGGCTGACAGTGCTCTTGATATCCGGGCAGTTGGGGAAACTACTCTGATGCACAATGCAATGCCACACACAACACAAATGCAGCGCAACACAAGACAGCGCAACGCGGCGCAGTGCAATGCCAGACAGCCACTCACCCGGCCGCATCAGCATCAGCATGCAGGCACAGCAGCCTGTGCTGCACACGCACCCCTGCCTCCACTGCTTTCCCTGCCCCCCTGCTGCTGCTGCTGCCCCCTGGGCGGTAGTGAAGCTGACAACAAGCGAGCCAGCATCGGGGTGCGGCCATGCAGTGGCAGGTGAAGGGAAGCGCACGAGGTACCAGGCGGAGGAGGAGGGGGGCGAAGGACCCTCCGCCTGTTGCAGGCAGATGCACACGGGTGGGCAGGAAGGGGGGAGCAGGGGAGGGAGGGTGACGGGAAGGGAGGGCGAGGGCGGAGAGGGAAAGGGAGGAGAAGGGAAAAAAGGGAGGTGAGGGAGAAGGGAGGTGAGGAAAAATAGGGGGTGAAGGGGGAGGAGAAGGGAAAAAAGGGAGGTGAGGGAGGCGAAGGGGGGAAGGGATAGGGACAAAAGACGGTGGCGGATCAGATAGGGAAGACAAAGCGGATGAAGGGAAAGGGACTACGGGGGGGCATGATTTGCATTTCGGTATTCCTCACCCCCACTCCCTCCAATCCCGATTCCCTACACGCCCCCCACTCGCCTCCCTCCACTCTCCTCCTTCACCCCTCTCCTCTCCTCAACTTCCCCCGTCTCCCCTTCTCACTCATTCGCTTCCCGTCTCACCGATTTCTCCAGCAGCAGGGTCTCTGCCTCGTCCCTGGTGACACAGCCCATGATCCACAGGGGCGACAGCGACAGCCACGCCGGGCGCAGGTGCGGGCGCGAGAGAGCAAGCACGAGAGGGTAGAACCAGCGCCACACGCGCTCCCACTGCTCCCGCGTCACTGTGTCCCCGCACCCTGCCACTCGCTGCAGGTACTCCTTGTCCTGGGAGGGGACGGCACGGATGGACGGACAGACGGAGGGAGGGAGGAAAGATGCAAGCTCCGCGGCAGCACTATCAGCAGTGGTGGCGCCAGCAGAAGCAGCGGCAGCAGAAGCAACAGCAACAGCAGCAGCAGCAGCAGCAGCAGCAGCAGCAGCAGCGGCGGCAGCGACACCGGCAGCAGCAGTAACAGCAACAGCGACAGCAAGCAGACCTTGAGAGTGAATCTCCTGGCGAGGCTGCCCAGGGAATGCAGCAGCGCTGCCTCCAGGTGCTGGCACGCCCTGCCCCATGCCCCCGTGGCCGTGGGCGATCCGCCTGCAATGGCCTGCCATATGCGCGCCTCCTCCCCCAGCAGCGCCCATGCCATGCCCACTTGGTCGCTGGCACAGGTTGGGATGACGGGTTGCAGCACGTGGGAAGGATAGCCGGTGCGTGGAGCAGGGACACAGAGGGGGAACCGGTGAAAAGGGCCAAGGGAGGAGGATAAAGTGGAAGAGCATTGGTGATTGTGAAAAATGGGAACAGAGAAGAGGCAAAAGAGGGATCGGTGGTAAGAGCAAGCGAAACACATACACACATAATTGCGCACAGATGCCCAGCATCTCACGCTTGACTCGATTCAACCCACTCTTCAACCATTCCTCATGCCTGCTCCTCGCACTGCTTTCCTCTCTGCTTCCTGCTCTCCCTCCAGCAATCCTATCCCCCTAACACAGCACCCCCAGTGAAGCCAGTGAAGCCCGTGAAGCGAGTCAAGGCACTCACCCCTGGTGTCTGCACCCTGTGATCTCCGCCACTCTACTCCCCATGCGAGCCATCTCCTCGCGCCCCACGCGTCCCACCACAGCTTTGAGAAACTCAGCGCGCGCCCACGGCCCCTCTAGACAGTACCGGAACACAGCTCGCATCGGCACATTCACCACCACACCTTGCTCTCCCCTCCCCTCGCCCTTTCTCATCTCTGCACCACCACTCCCGCCTCCCCCTCCTCCTCCCCCTCCGCCTCCCCCGCCTCCTCCCCCTCCCCCATCTTCATCCGCACCCAGTTCCTTCTCACCTCTCGTCCCCTCATTCTTCTCCCCAATCCTCCTTCTCCCTTCCCCTTCTGCTTCACCTTTTCCTTCCCCTTCCCCATCCCCTGCTTCTCCCTCCCATTCCCTTCCACCCTCTTCCCGTTCCGATCCACCACCTCCACCACCATCACCAGTGGCAGCTGTGAGGGGCCTAGCACAAGGCCCCGGTCCCAGCACAAGACCTGCAAGCTGCTTTCCCACGGCCTCTGCACCGCGCTTGGTGAGACCAGACGCATCCACAGGCTGCGAGCACGCTTGCAGCGGCAGGGCGCCTGGCAGGAACGGTGCGAGTGGGTGGGCGCCGCCAGAAGCAAGAGCGCCAGCAGTGGACATAGACGGCAGGAGAAAACCTGCTGCAGCTGCTGCTGCTGCTGCTGCTGTTAGAGGCTAGTGATTCGGGAGAGAGAGCAAGAGGAGCAGTAGCCGCAGAAGCAGCAGCAGCAGCCGCAGCAGTAGCAGCAGCGGTAGCAGAGTATGGAGTTGGAGCAAGGGGCCATGGCATGAGAGTGCCATGGGGGCCAGGACCCACTTTCTCAGCACCACTAGTTCCCTTCTCTCCATTCGCTGCCTCCCCACTCTCCTCACTGTCCGCCTTCGCTTCGCCGTTCAAATCCACACACGGCCGCTTCGCACCTGCACGGTTGCCACCGTCACCCTCAGCTTCCCTCTTTCCTCCTCCTCCTCCTCCCCCTTCCCCCCCTCCTGCTTGCCATCCCATACCCCTTGATGCTTCTCCTCCCGCTCCTCCCCCTCCCCCTCCCTGTCTTCGTCCTCCTCGCTCCCCACTCACGCCTTTCCCCTCGCGACTCTCCCCGCCTGCGCTACCGCCCTCACTTCCTGCCGCAGAAGCATCCTTTGAGTTTCCTGTCTGAGACCCAGCCACGCCACCAGCACCACCAGCACTACTACCAGCCCCACCCCCACCACCTCCAGACGCAGCAGCAGCAGCAGCAGCAGCGGCGGCAGCGGCAGCAGCAGCAGCAGCGGCAGGGGGCATGTGGAGGAAGGGCGTGGGAGCGAGCCCATATGCAAACAGAGAAGCAGCAGCAGCGGCGGAAGCAGCAGCGGCGGCTGCAGAAGCAGGGTCGGCGGGATTGGGTGGGCGGAAGAAGTAAGGATGCGGGGTTGTTGGTGGGTGCGGCAGGTGCATCATGTGATGGGGAAATCCAGGAGGCAGGAGCACTGACCCTCCAGGTCCTCCCGGCCCTCCTGCTCCTGCTGCTGCTGCTGCCGCTGCTGCTGCTGCTGCAGCTATGCCATGGGAGGTCAAATGAGGGGGCAAGCTTGGTGGCAGCATTAGGGAAAACGGAGACATGGAGGCTGGGAGGGTTGCTGCTCCAACACTGGACATTGACGCGGAGAGAAGGGAGGATACAGCAGCGTCTGCAGCAGTAGTGGCAGCAGCTGAAGGAAGTGGCAGAGGAGGGAAGAGCGAGGAGAGTGGCGGAGGGGTGAGTCTGCCTGCAGTGGCAGCGGCAGCTGCAGCCATGGCAGCTGCTGCTGCAGGGGAAATGCTGGTGAGCTGAGTCAGTCCAGATGAGGCTGCTGGAGCCGCAGCAGTGGCTGAGGAGCTAGATCCAGCAGCAGCAGCTGCAGCAGCAGAAGTGGCAGCTGCAGAAGCGGAAGCAGCAGCAGGAGCACGAGCCGGCAATCCGCCCTTGAAAGACGTATTCCCCAGTGCTGCTGCTGCCGCTGCCGCCATAGCAGCTGCTGCTTGGGAGACGGAGAGAGGGGCTGCTGAGGCGCTGGGGAGAGGAATGGCAGCAGGGTTCAGGTTAGGGTTAGGAGTAGTGTTAGGAGTGCTGGGGCGTGGACTAGCAGCACGGTGTGATGAGGTTACAGCAGCAGTGGCAGCAGTAGTGGTGGGTGAAGCGGCAGGAGCAGAGGCTGTGGCAGAGGCAGAGGCAGGGGCGGCGGACGGGGCAGGGGCAGAGGCAGTGGTAGGAGGGGGAGGGGAGGCGAGGGAAGGGAGATTTGGAGACAGCGGGGTGATCTCTTGTCGGGCTGAAGGGGCACGAGCTAAGAGCTGGGGCGGGATGGGAGGGGGTGATGGAGACGTGAGGACCCTACGCTGCCCCCCACTACCTGCTGCTCCTGTGGCAGCAGCAGCACCTTGGGGCGTGGCTTGCTGCTGCTGCGCCTGCTGCTGCTGCTGCTTATCCATTGCAGCGGAGGTCACACCTCCCACCAGATGGCTTGTAGAGGCAGCGGCACCAGCTGCTGCTGTCGCGGCAGTAGAAGCAGCCGCAGCAGCAGCAGCAGCAGCAGTTGGTAGAGGCAGCAGCAGCAGTCGATGGGGTGGAAGCAGAGGAGGGTGTGAAAGGAGGACGCACACCGGGATGAGGTGCTGGGGTGGAGAGACGGGCTGACGTGGGGGAGGAGAGGGATGTTCCAGCAGATCCAGTAGAGCCAGGCTCCACTCCCCGTGCTCCTGCTTTTCCTGTTCCTCCTCCTCCTCCTCCTCCTGCTCCTCCTCCTCCTCCTCCTATTCCTACTGCTGCTGCTAAAGCTGCACTGCCAGCACCCCTACCACTGGTACTTCCAGCAGCAGCAGCGGCGGCAGCAGCAGCAGCGGCAGCGGCAGCGGCAGCAGCAGCGGCTGGCAGGCAGGGAGGAGACAACAGCAGAAAGCTCCTCCTTGGTTGGTGGCGCTGCTTGCGAGGCAGACCCACCGGGGAGCAGCGGGAGAAGCGGGAGCAGCTGCGGAGAGTGCAGAGCAGCAGACGACAAAGCAAGCCGGACACTGATGTTGCCGCCGCTGCCACTGCTGTTACTATTGTGACCAGCGCCGCCTGTTCTTCCTCCCCCTGCCTTCTCCGCGGATCGCTTCTCCTTCTCCCTTTCTCGGACGCCCTTGCCCCCTGCGCCTCCCACCTCTCTTCTCTCCCCCAGCTTCTCTCTCATTCTAACACCTTCCCCTGCCTTCTCCTTTGGCGCTTCTTCTTTCCCCGCCAGAGCTGCCGCTGCGGTAGGCTGCCCTGCAGTCCTGCTTGCTGTTCCAGCTGAACCCCCGGCCTGAGACTTGGCTGCAGCCAGAACAGCAGTCATGGACATGGGCGCACGTGGCTTACCACCTGAAACCACACCTGAACCAGCACCCGACGCCGTGCCACCCGCAGCAGCACTCAGTGAAGCACCTGACGCGTCACCTGAAGCAGCACCGCCTGTGACAGGAGCAGAAGCTGCTGCAGTAGCAGAAGTAGATGTTGGAGTGCGAGAGGGAGGAGGCGTGGTTGCATCCTGTGCGCCTTTGAGCTTCTTAGCAGCAGGCTCGACAGAGACTGGATCACCTGCAGTGCTGCCTCCACTGCCACTCTTGTCGCCACCACCACTGCTGCCAGCGTTGCCAGCGTTGCCAGCATTGCTAGTAGTCCCCCCACCTGCAGCACCTTGCACTCCTGCCCCTCGTTCTGCCTCCTTTGCTGCTCCTTCCCCTTCTCTATCCTCCCCGTTCACAGTCCGCGCTCCCTCCGTTTGCTCCGTCCCCGCACCTGCTGGTCTGCTCCTCTTTTCCAGCTGCTCTTTCTCATCCCTTCCTCTCGCACCTCCGCCACCACTATCACCACCAGCAGCAGCAACCCCGCCAGCACTACTAGCGCCACCACCAGCACCAGCACCACTAGCCCCACCAGCACCACCAGCAGCACCACTAGCATTTCCAAGGCAAACGGCAACGGCCTTACTCTCCTTGCTAGCCTCCCCCTCTCCAGCTCTCCCACCTGCTGGTTTCTGCTGCAAATCAGCTTCAGCCTTTCCGCTACCAGCATTTCCCCCATGTATCGCCTGCTTTCCAGCGGCAGTAGCATCTGCTCCCGCACCTACCCCTTCCCCTTCCTCCCTCCTTCCTTGCACTACCTTCGGTTGAGACGCGGGATCAGGAGCAGCGGCAGCGGAAGCAGCAGCAGCAGCAGCAGCAGCAGCAGCAGCAGCAGCAGCAGCAGCAGCACGGGCAAGTCCAGTGGGGGTCCTGGCAGCTGCAGCAGCAGCTAGAGTGGCAGGGATTGTGGATTGGGGTGGACGTATTGAGGCTGGTGCTTCACTACCAAACGACCCTCCAGTACCCCCTCCTCCTGCTCCTCCTCCCGCTCCTCCTCCCGCTCCTCCTCCCGCTCCTCCTCCTGTTCCTCCTCCTACTCCTCCACTACCAATCACACCCCCTCCGCCTCCTCCCCTTGTTCCACTTCCTGCTGTTGCTGAAGCAGCAGCGGAGGGAGGTCTAGAAGGGGCAGTGGAGGGCAGGCGAGGAGTGGCAGCAGAGAAAGGGAGAGTGGTGCGAGGGGAGGGGGAGGGGAAGAGGAGGAGAGGGCGCGGCGGTCAGCAAGCAGAGAAGAGATGGTGGATAGGGGAGGCACGGGAGGGGGGTCTCTTCCTGCTGTTCCCACTGCCGCTGACGGTGGTGATGTTGCTGCTGGTGCTGGTGGTGCCGCCGCTGCTGCTGTTGCTGTTACTGCTGGTGCTGCCGGTGCTTTTGATGGTGCTGCTGGTGCCTTCGATGGTACTGCTGATGTTACTGCTGGCGGTGCTGCTGGTGGCTTTGATGGTGCTGCTGATGGTGCTTTAGGCAGCGCTGCCGGTGCTGCTGCTACCGGTGCTGATGCGAGTGCTGCTGTTGGTGCTGCTGCTGGTGGCGCTGCTGTTGGTGGTGCTGTTGGTGCCGCTGCTGGTGCTACTGCTGGTGCTGCTGCTACTGCTCGTGCTGCTGCTGGTGGTGGTGCTGCTGCTGCTGCTGGTGGTGGTGCTGCTAATTGTGCTGCTGATGGTGATTTTGATGGTGCTGCTGATGGTGATTTTGATGGTGCTGCTGATGGTGCTGCTGCCGGTGCTGTCGGCAACGCTGCTCGTGGTCCTGCTGATGTTTCTTTTGATGGATCTGCTGGTGGTACGACTGATGGTGCTGCAGACGGTGCAGTCTTTAGCGGTTCATTTCCGGTCACCACCACCGTTCCTCCACGAGCCGCTGATGCTGCTGTGCTTGCTTGTGCTGCAGTGCCACCATCTACTATAGCACGCTCTGCTTGCCCTGCTGCGCCCGCTGCTCCATTCTTTCTCAACGCTGCTGCACCAGTCTCACTTGATTTCCCTGCTCCATCCCCACTCGACTCCAATGCACCCACACTTGCACTTCCCACGTGTGCCGGACCTGCTGCTGCTGCTGCTGTTTTTCCTGGCCTCACCAACCCATCCTTTGTACCTATTATTCCCACTGCTCCTGTTGCTGCCGCTGCTCCAGCCTTTGCAGTTTCTACCCCTGCTGGTGCCACACCCGCAGCTGCTGGTGCTGCTGTTTTGAGAGCTGTCTTGGAAGTAGAGCTTGTGCCAGAGACCATTGGGGGCACAGGCACCACTGAGGCGCTAGCAGAGGCTGGGGCAGCAGAGAGAGCAGCAGAGGGAGAAGAAGAGGTAGCAGCGGAGGGAGCAGCAGAGGGAGAAGCAGAGGGAGCAGCGGAGGGAGGAGCAGACGGAGCAGCAGAGGGAGCAGAAGAGGGAGCAGCAGAGGGAGTAGCAGAGGGAGTAGCAGAGGGAGTAGCAGAGGGAGCAGCAGAGGGAGCAGCAGAGGGAGCAGCAGAGGGAGCAGCAGAGGGAGCAGCAGAGGGAGCAGCAGAGGGAACCACGTTAGAGGCCGCAGCAGGAGCAGAGGGCGTTCCAGAAGCACGGGCAGGGGTGGGGACAGGAGCAGGAGCAGGAACAGGAACAGGAACAGGAACAGGGGCAGGAACAGGATCAGGGGCAGAGGCAGAAACAGCAGGAGGAGAAGCAGCAGTAACAGGAGAAGCAGGACGAATAGCAGGCACAGCAGGAGCAGTGCGAGGAGCAGCAGCAGGCGCAGAAGCAAGAGCAGCTGGTGGAGATGTTTGTTGAGCCTTGGCAGCAGCACTGCTTGACCCGGGCTTGCCACCTGCAGCACTGCCGGATTTAGATGCCGTGGGGGACGACAGAGGGCGCGCTGCAGCTTGCTGCACTGGCGGGTTCTGTGATTGGGGCAGGAGGGCGATGAGAGAGACAGGCGAGAAGATCGGGGATGGAGGAAGAGGCGGGCGTGAACGGGGCGTGGGAGGGGTGAGGATCCAAAGGAGTGAGTTCGGATGACAGAGCAAGACGATAGGAGGTGCAGCAAGGTCCAAGACTGGAAAACACATACATTTCACCCACCCCTCCTTGCTTCCACTCTCTCTTCCCTCCCAGCAGTCCTTCTCCAGTCCTCCCCTTCTCCCCCCCCTCCACGTCTGCCCGTCCGTTCCTCCAGCCTCACCTCAGCATAATGAGTGGCGACATCTGCAGTGGGCAGCAGCCTCACATGGTGCACGTGCGCGCGCACCCCTCCCCCTGCCCCTCCCCTTGCCCCTGCCCCTGCCCCTCCCCCTGCCCCTGCAGAAGAGGCACCCCCACTGCCATCGGCGCCTGTCAGAAGCAGGGGGAGCGACTCTGCAGGTGCAGAGGCGTGGAGAGGGGCGGAGGAAGCGGCGTGCTGTGCTGCCTGTACGCGGTTGATGTACAGGCGAGCTGCATGCGGGCGCACCTGGTGTGGATAGAGAGGGGCAAGTGGGACGGGGATTGAGACGTCTCAAAACAGGAAGCGGCGTGCTGTGCTGCCTGTGCGCGGTTGATGTACAGGCGAGCTGCATGCGGGCGCACCTGGTGTGTGGAAACAGGGGAGCCGGTGACGATGATTAAAGGGAGGAATGAGGAAAAGAGGGAGGCGTGATGAGGGGAACGGTGTGGGAATGGAGAGAGCAGAGGGAGCCGGGACGGGGAGGGGAACAGGAATGGAAAGGCTGGAATTGGCATAATAGTTCTCTTCCTCCTCACCTCACATGCGACGTGTACCCATTCCCCTTCACCACACGCCCTGTCCGCTGTCAGCACCATCCCTTCCCCACTCCCCGCGTCCCCCTTCCCCGCGTCTCCTTTCACCGCGTCCCCTGTCCCCCCTTCCTCTTTCCCCGCGTCCCCTTTCCCCGCGTCCCCTTTCCCCGCGTCCCCTTTCCCCCCATCCCCTTTCCCCGCGTCCCCTTTCCCCACATCCCCCTGTGACGCTGCTGCTGTCGTCACGTCTAGCGGGCCAGGAGGCGGCACGGGATGCAAAGAGAGGCGCCGGTCAGGACCCAGCGTAAGGAACGGGAGTGTCGCTGGCGCGTTGGGCCGACCCTGATACCAATGGGAAACACAGAGCGAATCACCAAGGGCGGGAAGAAGAAATACGCAGACTTTATTATTCTTCTTCTTATTCTGAACTCTCAGAAACTACGGGAAACACAGAGCCAAGTTTCTGCCGCTGTCAGCTTCGTGGGCAGCAGGCAGCAGGCAGCAGGCAGCAGGCAGCAGACAACAGGAAGCAGGCAGCAGACAACAGGCAGCAGGCAGCAGACAGCAGGCAGCCGCTCACCTGTCGGATGAGCACCCCACTAGGAGACTCGGGCGCTATGCGCATCCAGAAACACAGAGTGAAGCCTCCACGGAACTGCGAATCCCCGGCCTCGACCAGCACGGACAGGCGATCCAAGGGAGTGTACTTTGGCTCAGTGGCAGCCGCAGCAGCAGCAGCAGCAACAGCAACAACACGGTTAGACGCAGAAGCAGCCGCAGGGTTGGGCGCTTCTGCAGCAGCGGAACCAGCATTCAATGCAGAAGCAGAGAGATTGGCTCCAGAAGCTGCCGGGGCTAAGGCACCAGGAGCAGAAGCAGCAGAAGCGGCAGGGGCAGCAGGAGCGGAAGCGGGTGCAGGATCAGCCGCCGCATCCGCCACTGCCTCGCGCGCGGGCGGCGATGGTGCTGCTTGCTGTGCCATTGTAGCAACAGCAGCAGCAACCGGAGCAGCGGCAGCTGGGGTGGGGGGGGGGGAGGAGGGGAGGTGGGGTGTAACGACAACCACCAGCTACTATATCGCGGCTGCCGCTGCTGCTTCTTTGCGTTTATCGCGAGGCGCGAAAAGCCGCGGCTTTACCATGCGAGGCCGCGAGCGGGAGAAGATATTGTTTGGAGGTTCGAAGGATGGAGGGATACAGCGCGTGCTGTCGCAGAGCCGACAAGAGCCCCTGATGCGCTAAAAACGATTTTGTATGTGGTTATTGAGATAGTTACGCTACAGTGTTACAAACAACGGCGTGGTAGGCCGTCAGTTGGAAAATCCATGCGGGAAGAGAAGATGATTCGGGTAAGCACGACTCAAGAGAGATAGTGGAAGTGGAATAGCGGTGGTGGAAGTGGTCCCGGGGAGAGATTGATGCGGTTACAGCAATTACAGTACGGAGCGCGAAGAGAGCTGAGCAGAGTACATTGCGGAAGTGGGGCTGCCTAGGGCGCTTGTACACTCAAGGTGCTGGTGGAGAAGTGGTCAGGTAGAGGAGATTAGGGGAGCCGAGTTGACCGTCGGTAAGAAATTACGGCGTCCGATTTGTAGGGCTGGGGTCGGCACTGATCCGGTTCATTCTGACTATCTAAGCTTTGGGATCACCGTGGCTGGAATGCTGACCAGCAACATTTGCGTAAATTGCATAATTCTGGAGAGACGGGCCCGAAAAGGGGGAAAAATCGACGGACTTGGTTCTTTATTTGCACGGCAGGCGCCAGGTTAAGAACGCGGAGACATAGCACCGATTAACAGATATCGTGGGCCGAAGACAACCTGGATTAGGGTGTGGTGCGGGTCAGAATCATTGAACCAAACACGTCCGTGACGAAGCGCATGCAACGCGGGAGACATTGCGCGGCTAGGCTGACGTATGAGCCTTACGACCCTACTCGAACGTGGTATAAAAAGACGACACCAAACTAGTAAGGCATGTGTAAGTCGCAATATATTCCAGGTCGAAGAGTGAGCGAAGTCAGAAAACAGGATGATAGTCCAATTGACGCTCTAATGGCTTGGGGAGATAGGGTAGGTTGGGAGGGAATAACCACGTATGGAGCAGACACGGGACGGGGGTTTGGTTTGGGTCACCAGGAATCGGCACTTCGGCAGGGTAGAGGGTGGAAGCGCGGAGATTGAAGATGAGGGTCACTCGCTCACTCGCCGCGTAGAACGCGGGGAGTGTGGCAAGCGGGAAAAGCGGAGGGTATGCGGTAGGATTTTGAACAGGTCAGCAGCATCACACGGCTGGCGGCAAGAGGAGTTGAACAGCTCGGCAAATGTCCAGTTTGGACGATTTGGTTGAACTAGGCTGAAGTCCAGTGTCTGATTGCTGGTTGTGCTTATAAAGCTGTTGGGGGTTACGTGGCAACATGGCGTTGTAGGAACAACTTACGCCAGCCCGCTTTCCCTCAAAACCCTACCAAGAAGTGGAAACTCCTGAAGTCGGCTGAGATAGCACATATTCTTTCCCCCTTTGGTGGTCTAAGGAGAGGAACAATATAATGACAACTATGACATTAATGTACCGTACAAACATTAGAATTGGCTTAGAGACTGGCATTGTGCCCTAAACAACCTATGAACCTGACAGACCAGACACCTTAGTACTGACATCAACTATGAACCTAACTTGCTGTGGGGAATGCAGCAAGAGCAACACTTCATGACAGTATCAGACACTGAGAATGGTCATGATGTTACACGGCTGAGTGCCTGACTCCAAGCCAGGAAATGACGACGACACAATACCACTGACAGACATGTGGACTGACACAACACAACACAGGACGACAGACACATGCACAAACACTGCATGGGTGACCAATGACCGACCTCACATGGCGTTCAGCAAAGGCTTCCATCAGCAGAAATGCTGGCACTGGACTCAACCAAAGTTGAATCCGCCGCTCGGGACCATGGGCTGACTTTCTCCGAAGGCATATGTCTGCTGATTGGCATCTACTTGTGGAGCCAGCTGCTGATCCTCATCCTCATCCAGGCCGAAGTACGTCTCCAAGATCTTGACAGCCTTTTCGTAAATGTCGTTGTTCTGGTGCGTCTGGAGGTTCTCAATCTTCTCCAAGCCTTCTGCTTCATCAATGTACTGAGCGTACAGGTTGATACCTCCTGTGTGACCCAGCTCCTTCTCAGCTTCCCCAACCTTAAGAATGTTCTCCAACCCCTCAAGCGCCACCGTAACAATCCTTGCATCCGACGTCAACAGAAGGTCGCACAGGGGCTTAATGCAGCCTTGGGAGACAAGATACCTAAACGCACACAAATGAAGTCGTTTAGCAAGTGGCACACACAGAATCACACTACCTGTCACCCTCCAAAAAGGAAAGCACTTACTTGATTTGATCATGTGTACCGCCTGAAGTAGCATTAGAGATCGCCCAAGCAGCCTCCTTCTTGATGTCGAACTCAGCAGTCTCAAGCAGATGCCGGAGAGGAGGAATTATGTTGGCGTCAATAACAGCCTGCACAGTTACTCGCCTTGTGTGAATCTGTTGCTTACCAAAGGCTCACAACGCATTCTCGTACAAGATTATTACCTGAATCTGTTCCTTGTTCCCAGCAGTAATGTTGGAAATTGTCCAGCAGGCCTCTTTCTTAATGCTCTTCTTATGATTGGTGGTCAAGAGGGCTAGCAGGCATGGCAAGGCATTGTTGTTGATAATGACCTGTGAAACACTCGATATAGAGCTTTTAGAAAACAAACGGCAGCACGACCATTTTAAATACAGAACCGAAGAACACGCACCTGTGTCTGATCATCGTCCCCGGTGACGATGTTGCCCACGGTGCGAAGTGCAGGGATAAGAACGGAAGGCGAAGGATGCCTGAAAAAGAGGCGTTTCACACCAGTAAAAACGGTGGAAAGGTTGACGAAAAAACAGATACCGAACGGATAAGAAAAGTCTTACAAGAGAAGCTCAACCAGCCTTCGGCACACATTAGCCTCTATGACTGCCTGAATCTTGTCATTGGTGCCATCCGACAGGTATGACAAAGCCCAACAGGCATCCGTTAAGACCTCCTCGTCGGTGGAGTGAATAAGCCGCTCAAGAGCTGGCAGAGCAGGTTTGGACTGCAAGCATAGATTTCAATGTTAGTACCTCAAGGCTACTTAAGAGGTAACGAATCGCATGCTGCACCTTGCCATACCTGTTCAAAAGGAGGCTGAGGCTTTCCGCGGCAAAAGTTCGAAAGGGTCCACGTCGCGTTGCGAAGCATGGAAAGCTTCGAGTTCTCGTTCAATTGTGCAAGGAGCGGTCCCATAGCGTTGTGGCTAAGAACCAAATCTCTGCACTTCGGCGAGTCTCCCGCGATGTTCCCCAAAGCCCAGACAGCCTGCATACAGTAAAGCACGTCAAACTTTAGTGTATTGCAAAACAAGACGGTACATCAAACAGAGATATTGAACGAAACTTACCTGCTCCCGAACATCATCACTGGGCGAACTGAGAAGCTGAACGAAAATAGGAACTGCGCCGTGTTCAATCACCACACGGGTGTGGTCTGAAGTACCAGATGCAATGTTGGTCAAGGCCCACGCAGCCTCAAACTGTGGCACGACGATAAAAACAAGGTGAGAAGGCGGCATGGACCAGAAACAAACGAACTCGGCAATGGTGGAGTAGACAAACCTGAAGCTGGGGAAGTTCGTAATTCTGCAAAAACTGCGTGAACCGAGGGACGACCCCGGCTTTGATGACTTCCTCGATTGGGGGACTACGTTCTGTGCACATTTCAAGTAGCACGAGTTAAACACAGGAACTGGCGCAAGAAACTAACGACAAACTATGGGGACTGACTTACCAATCGATAACAGCTTCCGAAACTGTGTGGTTGCTTCGACCTGCGTTTGCGGATCCTCTGACCATACGCCTTGAACCATGGCAGGAAGGCTTTCTAGCTGTGACTCAGCGAACAGGAAAACGTGTCACCATTAGATCTCTAGAATTGTTATACACGTCCTATTTAGGGTTCAAAACAGAGACAATGAAGGACAAATTTGAAGTGTACGCGATGAAGTACCTTTTTCTCGACCGTAGCAACAGGAATCTTGGGAAGATCTACTACTGCTTGCATCCCCTCCTTGCGCTTCTTCAGCAAGCTCTCCTCCCTCTTACTCTTCCGAATCTCCACCATGTTGTCCTCACGGCGCCTACGCGCCTCATCAGCGCTAACGGCCTGCTTGTACGCTGACTTCCTGGCCTCAGTACGAGCACTAGGACGGAGAGACATGGCGCCTGGACGAAAAACGGCCTCACAAGACTGAAGGAGAATGGGGAACGGTAGAGAAAGGAACTAAATCCAACAGTAAAATATGAGCACAAGGCAAACCCCAAATTTCCCCACAGCAGGTCACCAGGGCTAAGCCAAGCCGAACCTGTCAGAGATGTGGAGACGTTGTGCGAAAGGCGAAGTCCAACAGCACCCCGCCAAAACTTTACATGTCCGACACAGTTCTATCGAAAGCAAATCAGAGCGCGCCAGGTCAGGTGCGAAACTTTTATTGCAGGAAGCATCTGAGGCTCTCATGTTGCTTCACCACCAATTTTGGCATCGCGGGCAACTTTAAATGTTGGGTGATCCCGCGTAACAGCCTGTGTCAGGCTTTGTGGTTGCCCACCAAGTTGTGTTGATTGCTTTCTCCACCCAACTTTTTCCCATTCCTCAGCCCTCCTCATCCAACCTTGGGACCCCGAACACTCTTCTCGGAAAACAGACTTCACGTACGTATACCAAACCAGCCTCTACCTCCGGTGTTATTCGTGCGATCATACTTGTGGATACATCGTTTTTGTAACGCATTCGGGAGTCGCGATGTGGGGATTCTTGCAAGCCGTATTACTTATTGTAAACTCTCTGGCAATTCTTAATGAAGAGCGCTTTCTAGTCCCTTGTAAGACGGCTGTTCTGTGCCTTGAATCTGTAAAGATTTCTTGCCGGCGCATGTCCTAACCTGATTTCACACATCGATGCTTTGAATCTTAGTTGCCAGGCAACCGCTAACAAAATCAGCTTTGTAGTGGAAAATATTTCTCTGATGCTATTTTCTCTGTTGCTTTCAGACGGTTGGGGTTTCCAAGAGATGTCCAGTGGCAGAATATCCCCATTGAAAGCGCAGATCATTGGACTACTTCATGCAGTGCAATACCTACGAGGTAGGCAAACCTTGCAGCTATCCTTCTCCTGGTCGCTACGATCCGCTTACATGCAGTATGTCACGAGTCCCTGTCTTGGTTCATTCCTTCAAGCGTTCTTTGTATATCGATCTGCAAACTCCCTAAGTGGGCCGGATTTGTAATCCGTTCCGATCCGTGAGTCTAATCTTTGTGCACCTTGCTTGTCCTTATCTTTGCTTCCTGCAGTGCCATTGATAGGTTTGAACATCATCACAATAGTTTTCAAACTTCTTTTTGCTTGACCATGGCTTTCATGGTCTGATAGTTCAAAGGCCTGCTCAAGTGTGGCTGGCCTGTAGCCGTTTTCCAGAGACAGGGACACTCGCTGAATGCTCAGCGCTGTGCGTTTCCTGTATTACAGCAGAGTGGAGACGTTGCAGCTGTAAGCCAAGTCGGCAGCTGTGTAGTAACCACCAATACTGGCTAGCTGTCAGTTGGCTGTGGAATCTGAGATGCGGGTGAGGGTGAAGCCACACTTCGCTAACTGCACCATTGCGTGCAACACACTATTAACACATTTATCACATCAGTGAAAGGTCATCTGCAGCAGCAAACAGTCGTTAAGCTGGCTTCCCATGGTTGGTTTTCAGATCATGCATCAATGTTTGAGGCTGGTAATATTGGCCCTTGTGCGTGAGAAGTGCACAGTTTGTTTCACTAGGTACCTCAAACAAGGGCGGTAGACCATTACACGATGCCTACACATATCCTATAGTCGGTTCACATGGAGGTGAGGAGATGCCTTGGGAATCAGTCGGGGGCTGTGTAAAATCCGTTCACTGGTTATTTGTACACAATCATTCCAATGTCTAAACCACTCACAGAAACAATATCCTTCACATGCCACGAAAAAGCTCGCAATTTCAAAAACAAAAACACGTATGAATTTGCTCGTAGAAACTCCTATCGTGTAAGGCACAAGCACTTTGCCGAGCAAATAAACAAATCGCAGCAAGCGATAACGCAGAGATATTTACACACTAAACGAAAAATCCTTCTAAGTGGTCGTCACAACGATCTAATGATTCGAGCAGCATCCAAACAATGAAGAGTGGCGAGGCGGACGACAGTGGAAGAAGGGAGGTCATGACGCGACGAACGGAGCATAACCAGGTCCGTTTCCAGCTCCTCGAGGCACAGCTCCGCAGCAGCCTTGCGCTCCAGCCACGCAGTCCCTCCGCGCACGCCCTGACAGCAAAGCATGCCGAAAGAAGTCGAGAGTATTGAGGGGGGGTCGAGAGGAAGAACAGGCTTGATGATGATGCCTGCAAGGCGTGCAATGATGTTGCATCTCATAACGGGTGTGGCCTCAAAGAGGCACTTGCCGGTTCACTTACGCAACACGCAATCCGCGCGTAAAAGGCAACTTACTCGTGTGGGATGACCCATCATCGCCACCAACCCAATCCGCGCTCTCTCCACTACTGCAGCTCCCGCCGCCGCCAGGCTAGCCCCCGATACGGTGACAGCGGCGGTAGTCTGCTCAGCACCGGATAACGAGACCGCCGAGGAGGCTTGGCTGGTGCTGGGAAGATTTTGCGAAACACGACCGCGCCGAGGGACGTTCTGCAGGACGTTGGCGAAGGCGGAGAGAAAGGCGGACATCGCGTGGGCGGAGGGGAAGACGGGCGTGGGCGGAAGGGACGCGAAGGCGTAAGGCCCGGATTCAAGAGTCCCGGAGAATCGAGCAATCGTTAGAGTAGCGGCTGCACCGGCGGCGGCGGCGGCGTCGTCGTCCTCGGTGATATCTGTCGCTGGGGAGAAGAATTGCACGGCTTGTGGTTTCGGCTGGTCGCGCACAAGCTGAGTGAAGGAGTCTGGAGCACGGTCGGCGTCAACGTCGCTGGGAGGTGCAAGAACAGCGGGTCCGGCGGAGGCCGCGTGAGGCACCGTTGAGGCGTGGCGGTTCAGTGTCGATTCAGTTGTTAGCGCAGCGGCTTTAGCCGGAGGGGAGGCGAATCGGGTGGTGGTGGTGGAAGGGGGGGGAAATGCAGGAAGTTGTTGCGCGGATTGGGAGTGCGGGTAGGAGGAGCCTTGTGCAGAGGCGAAAACGGGTGAGAACGTCCAATGCGCTCTGCTGGAGGTGATCGCCATAACAGGCTGGGCGGGACTGTGCAGGTAGCAGGCAGCCATTGGCGCAAGCAAGCAGGGACGTATTGAAATGGAACTGACAACGGTGAAAGAATGCAAGAGCTCGATTCCGAAAAGACGTTTCCGCAGTGCTCTTGAAGGCACAATTGAGGTGAGGTAGGGGTAAGGTGACGAGCTGGGTAGAGTTGTTTCGTATCGTCACATTTATCACGAAATACCGCGCTGCACCGTACTTCAACAAACCAGACGATGTCCACAGCACAACATTGTGGAATGGTGTGATCTGATGTCATTGTTGAGTTTGAACGGAATTTGGCCAGCTTCAAGGGGGAATAGAGAGTGAGCTGCTGAAATGATGAGCTGCGTGGGAATGAACAGTGGCAAGCTGTGAAGTGCTTTTCTGGCACGTGTCCGATTCATCCAGAGCAACCAATTGTTGAACTAGGAATTCGCGATTTCTTCTGCATTCAGAGCGTCGGCGCCAAGAGGCGTGAAATCAGCCAGGAAAAGGGAATCAAAAGGGAGTTGTGGAGACGTTAGGTTGTGGACATCTAATCTTTGATTGCCACGTGGAGGCTGAACACATCCCATCACGTGGGACTTGCCACGCGAGGAACTCGCAAGCATGTCTTCTCACCAAGCGTGCTCCCTGATGCAAAATGCGGGCGACAATACCTTACCCTATCGTTTTCTTTTTTGTTCAAATGAGTACCCCAGAAGCTTCTTATGTGACATATTGCAGACACACATTCGTCTACACCACAATCAAGGACACTACGGGCACACAAAGAAAAGAACTAACAATCATCTCAGAAACTCGACATGATTGCTTCCAACAATCCACAACAACCGAAACTTCATTATCCGAGTCACCATGGTCTCCAAAATGCTGCCGCTCGTGGTTTGACACGCTCGTGGTGACAAATCAGGTCCGAAGAAAACATGGGGTCTTTCATGCACGCCTAGTGGAGCTAACTCAAATGACACGTGCGCCACTTCAGACATTCAAGTTCCCCGATAATGCATCGATGTGAAGTGGAAGTGCTCCACGAAAACTGTGCCAAAATCTTACATTTACTCTACTACGGTACATCAGGCTTTCTTAGTAAATACCATCCACTCCATCTTTACATCATCCACGTTATACCATGTTATATAAATGGGTAAAATTACATAATATAGATCCCATCATCTCTAGCATAATCTTTACATTGATGAATTAAGACTACAATTTCCTCTTAGATTTAGTATAAAATACGGATGAACCATAATCGTGAGTGCCTCATTTTGTGATTTTGTATGGCCAGTGAACGCCTGCAAACTCTTCTACTTGGAGCTAAGCAGTTTATGGAGTACATCTAGGGGTGTACTCCATATTTTTACTATCGCATCGGACCCCTCTGATGGCTCTGGTCGCTGTTTGACTGTCGAGGATCCTCTCTCCAACGGACTGTGCATTCACACGTGGCGCGCCGCCTCTCCATCCCAACTGGTCGGTTCGGTCTTACGAACGCGGTTGTGACAACTTTGCCCGAGCCGCGACGATTTTACAACGGGGAACTGATCCGTCAGTTACCAACGGGGTGGTGATTCGTGATGCGGCGCTACTGCGGTTCGAGTGATGCGCGATGGGAGGGAGGAGGAATTGCGAGCCGCGTGAAAAAAGGAGATTCTGGGTCTGTACAGTACTCTTGAGGGGATGGATGGATGGATTGATGGATGGAGAGGAAATCTTGACCATCTCCGCAGGGAGTGGGTTTTGGGGCGAGAGACTCACAACGGAGGGACCTAAAGAGGGCATTGGAGGTGGAGAAGTGGGTTGCGGGAACAGTTTACAATGACCGCTTGATTTAGACTCAAGGCGTCTAATTTTAGGCTCGAGTCTGAGATGCTCATGAGGTATACCGTCGTCGCAAACGAGAACTGACACAACTCGTAGCCAAGAGCGAATGTCGTCCCTTGAGGTCACGGTCTCACTGACTGTACGTTCGTCGATCTCAGACGGCCTAGCTAAGCCGTGTAGATCCGTTGATGTAGTCGCGTAACAATACGGATTGATTCCACTTTGCCACGGCGTCAGCCCTTCACATCGTCAGGTCGCTCTCGCTTGCTCGAAGGTCATTCTCAGAACCAGGACTTCCCAAGATGCAGCTTTGCGCGGCCAGAGCTTGCGTTGAGCTGCAGGAGCAATTTTTCTAGGTCGTAACTCTTTCCTCGTTGCTGTTTTCTACATTCTCGATTCGAGTGTTTGCGAGTTGCGCTTTTGATGGGTGCGACTGCGGCAAAAGAGGCAGTCGCTGCGCACACAGCACCGTACAATCCCCACTGTTGTCACGATCGGAGCCGCCCGCTCGCAGAACCAACGAGCCGCGACGATTTTAATACTAAAACTCGGTACGCCTACGATAATGACACGTGGCGCGGTGCCGGACAACGAATCGGCTCCAGCCATGGCGGCCGCCGAGGCGGCAATGGGGGAAGAGGCAGCAGGGGTGGCTTAGGCGGCAAAGGCAAAAGGGGTGGCGCTAGGCGGAACGACGGCCTGGGTCCGAGGCTGCGCGATGTGGGTCGTGATGCTTTGGTATGGCGGGACGAATCGTGCGTTTACCCTAGGTGTTTCGGCGGAGTCTTGACGGAACCATTCACCCGCCACCGTCCTTCGCCGCACATCAGCCGGCGCGGCGGCCGGCGTGGCGAATCTTTCGTCGGCTCGACGGACGTGGGCGCAACAGCAAGTGCGGGGAGCGGGGCCGGTGGCGCAGCCAGGCAGTCTCGGCGCGGGATTCTCGGGGACGGCAACGGATGCGATAGGTGCGGTCTCTCCACCTTCCATGCCGCGGCAACGGCTGCCGCGAGAGTGCGACCGGCGGAGAACACGATGGGCGCAGCGATTGGCGGAAAGAAGGGCGGTGTGCTGGACGGAACGGCGGGCCGAGAACTGGAAGCAATCGTGCCAGGGACAGGTTTTGAGAACGAGCGCGGAATGGCGGAGGAGAAAGCAGCTTCAGGACTAAATCTTAGACGTCGAACTTTGCGCGGCGCTGACACGAGAAGCTCGCTGACCAATAGGACGGGTAGTGACGACGACCCGACTAAGCCCTGGGCGAGCCAGGGGGGCGCGGGAGGTACCAGTGGCCGCAGCATTTGCCAGAGCAGCCGCGGAAGCAGCGGGAGAAGCAGCTGCGGCGGCATGTGCAGCAGCAGCAGCGCGCAAGACACCCCAGTCATGCTCACTCGCGCCGCCTCCTCCCCCTCGCTCACTACATGCTCTCTCCCAAATTCCTCCCCTTCCCCCCTCCCTTTCCTGTCCGCCTCACCTCCCCGCTCCCCCTCGCCTTTCCCCTCTCCTCGCTGCCCATCCCCATGCGCGCATTCCGCACGAACCCAGACTTCCCCAGAAGGGTTTTCTCCGTCGTCCCCGCCGTCCTCCCCGCGCGCGCAGCCGTCGTGTCTTGGCGCGTACCGTCTGCTGCCGAGCGGCTGCGGGCGCGCGAAGGGCGCGGCGAGGCCCGCTTCAGGAAGGAGGGCGCGCGGAGCAGTGTCGGAGGCTGTCCCCGCGGGGCACGTGGACGCCGGAGGGCTCGATTCGGGGGGGGAAGTTGCAGGCGGAGAGGGTTTGGCGGATAGGTGGAGGCTTGACGCGATTCCTAGACTGGCGGGAGGATTTTTATCTCCGGAAGGACAAACGTTGGCGGAGGGTGAGCGTGGCGCAGAAGAGCGCGGGAGAAGGGGAGAAGGTAGAAATCGCTGGGACAGTCAGCGAGGCGAGTGGTTCGCTGGGCGACTTGTGGGTGAGAGTGTGCGATTTATGGGCGACCATGTGCGATCGCTGGGCGACAGCTGGGCTGGCGGTCGCAGAGGTGGGGACGAGGTGAGAGCGAGCAGCCACGGAAGCGCGCAGCAGGCACGGCGACCGACCATTCCGTGCATTCCGGGTTATTCGCCGCCAGTCGCGCTTAGACGCGACGCTGCTGTGACGCAGCCTAGACCACCGCGCATCCCAGGGCTCTCATCGGATGCACATGGAGTAGGGAAAGGAGGAGGTGGTGGTGGAGGAAGAGGAGGAGGAGGGGGGAGGGGAGGAGGAGGAAAACGAAGAGTGAGAATAGGAGGAGGAAGCGGGGTGAGCGGAGGAGTAAGAGGGGTGAGAGGAGGAGTAGGAGCAGCAGGAGGTGCGGCAACACAAGGAGCAACCCAATGGCAGTGGTATGAGAGGGGGTGCAGTGGAGCACTGATGCTATCTCACTTGAGTTGCTATGGGCGTTCCTATCCGCGCTCGGCTGCTACATCTGGCTCTAGCACTGAAGTTCAAGGGTCTGGATCATCTCAGGGGCTCAGGCATGGCAGTAAGGGTATGTCTGGAGATGGGTGTGGTGCTGATGAGAACGCTTGGGAGGAGAGTGGGGAGGAGATGGATGAGGGGAGGCAGCAGGAGGAAGGTTTGGGAGAGGATGATGACGCGGGGGAGGCAGAGGAGGAGGCGGAGGAGGAAGAGGAAGAGGAGGAGGAGGAGGAGGAGGAGGAGGAGGAGGCGGAGCAGGTGGAAGAGGAGGAATGGTGGATGCATCACCCGCGGCCGCAAACCCCGATGATGCTGCTTGAGTGGCAGGATCTGGTGGTGGGGGAGATGGGCGACGAGGAGAAGGAGGCTGCGGGGTTCTGGAGGAGTGGAGGAGGGGTGCTGGGTGGGGGTGCTGGTAGCGGCAGTGAATTTGGCTGGAGGAGGGAAAGTGGGAGTGAGTGGGGCGATGGAACAGAGAGTTGGAGGGAGGGTAGCATGGAGCTGCAAAGGGAGCAGTCAGATGCTACAGGGGAAGCAGCAGACACAGGTTTGCATAATAGAAACTCATGGTTGGGTCCACCCACGTGATTGAAGCTCTACGCGAAATCATCACGTGCCTGCTGTAGATTTTCCTTTTGTAGGTCGGCGTGTGGGTGGGTGTGCCATGTGGGTCGCATACGCTTTCTCATGTCCCGTGACCTATGTGGTGGAATAGCATATACCGTAAAATACTTAATCACCTTGCGTTTGACACTCCTGTCATGTACCGTAGCATCATTACTTGTTGCTTCGAGACAGTAGTTCGCACTTCACAAGAATCGTTCTGTCCGTTCGTTTCTTCCAACAAGCAACCAATTCGTGTCGCTCGTGACACGAGCAGCTAATGCGATCGGAATAAGCAACAAGTGCCTATTATTACGTGTTTAGAAAGCTGACCTTAATCACCGGCCTGTCCTTGGTCATGGTACCGTAATCTCCGATGACGCGCACACATCAGGGCCCTGATGAGGCTAGACGGAGGGGCCATACGGTACTAGCAGGTGGTCTAGGGCGGGGGGGCCAAGAAAGGCACATGGTCTGAGGGAGGAGAGAAACAGGGTGGACTGGTGGAGAAGCGGAAGGAAGTGGTGGACCGAGGGTACAAAAAAAAAAAGGGAAAGAAAATAAAACAACCTTTGAGTCCTGTTTTACGCTGGGTCTGCATAAAAATGCGCTACATCTAACAAATGTACCCTCTATAATACGAGCCAACATAGCCTGCTTATTACAGATGCATATACCGGTACATGTGTGTCGGTACCCCCCCCTTTGTACGTTCCCCTCCCATATTTGATTTCGTTGTTAACATGGTATCATGAGTAGGTTAGGTCACTCGGTCAAGGCCCACCCACCCACCTAAATAACCCTCGCGCCCTCAGAACCCTTCCCATCTACTAGATCCTCACTACATTCTACAACAACTACAGGTTCATTTATGCATGAATGATCAGAAAGTGGCTGCCGAACATATCTCAAGTAAATGTGTTAGATACGAAGTGTGAGAAATCACAGACGATTTCCGTTTCTTAAAGACGCTGTTACTAGTGAGGGTCGACCTTGACATTTGTAACTATATGAAAGATCTCATGTTTGTTACCATTGACATATTTTCCCTTTTTTTTTTGTATCCTTGCCACCGTGCGTAACATTTCCCAAGCTTCCCGCCATGGCTCGGAACCAGGGCAATGGTTTGACGGCTAGGAACTCCGGTGTTCAAGCTGAGCACGCCAGAACCGACCGAGCACGTTCGGGAACTCAAAAGCACGGGAACAATTTCGAGGGGGACAACAAGCAAGCAAATGAACAGCGACGCGGAGAGAGCGCTGCGGGGGCGAAAACAAACGGGAGTGGTGCTGGACTCACCCCACCAAGGCGAACAACCAGCCCTGGGTTGGACTGTTGGTGAATGGCGCAACGGTTGGTCGTGCTCACGATGGGGGTCTGCAATGTTTGCCCAATTTCACGAAAACGCCGCGACGCCCACGAAACGCCGCAAAAGCAGGAGAAGGTACGGGTTGTGTGAAGAAAAGCTCGCCAGCAGCCGAAAATTTCGAAACCCCCCCTGCTGAAGCGGTACGTGGCTTGGATCTCCATACCCTGCAACTGACAACAACATAAATCCTACCAGCAGCCGCACTTCCCTGCATCACAAATTCCTTCCTCAACATCAATCGCCTCTTCCAACCTGATCTCGTTACTCAAATCCCAGCAGCAATTTACGCAGCTGTGCTCGCATCTTGCAAGGCTCGAGTGGTCCTGTTAGATTTCCCTGTCCACAAGCCATCGCTAAGAGATGGCTGTCGCACCCCATAACTCCATGAGCCGCGCGTTCTTCCTGGTGCCCCTTCTCGTGGTGCTCGTCTTGCTTGCAGCGAGTGCAGCAGCAGCCACGGCACAACAAACCAGCGTACGTTTGTATTTGGTTCCTCACAACCAAGCACCGTGTCTGCATATCCGTTTAGCTCGAAGATTTACCCTTACACTTGACGCCCTTTACTTGGAACACAGCCTCGTTCCGAAGTTGTCACCCGCTTTTGCTCACATCCCGCGCGTACCTACATACTTTCTCTGTTCTCGTATTGCAGCGGCTGCGAGGGAGGTCGTTGGCTGCCTTTAATACGCTGGAAAAGAACGTAACACGGGTAAGCTGTCCTTCACACCCGGACTCACCTCCTCACCACTCATGAAAATTACGACTCGATGAATCGTCTTTGTCGTCCGCTTTTTGCGGTCCAAAGCCATCTGCCTCCGCCTCGCTTTTGGCTTCCACCTGCATCCGCTTTTCCTCCCGGCCTCTAACGTGGACATTTTTTCCGTACGTCTTTGCAGCCGGTCAAAACCCCCCTCGACGACATGAAAAAGAACGGCGAGGGGTCAGGAAACAACGGGAACAACGGGAACGGCGGGGGAGCTACTGGCGCCGACGACCAAGAAGCAGCGGACGAGGCTGACGCAACGTTAAGCACCGACGACGTTGGTGACGAGAACGAGCAATCCGGTGACAACGGGTCGTCCGATCACGACAATAACCACGACGACGAGCACGCCCAATCCAGCCAGCCCACGCCGACGCCTCCGCCGTCCGATGGCTGCCCCACGTCCCCTGACGTGTGCAGCTTCGTGTTCAAGGGCTACGAGGACTCGATCCCCGTGTTCCCGCTTCCCAAGACCGCCGACTCCCCGATCGGCCCTACCATCGAAGGCAACGTGAAGGGCAGCTCGATCGTCGTGCGCACGCTCAACTCGAAGGACGCGGTGTACCCGTGCACGAAGAAGAGCGGCATGGAGAAGCTCAAGGACCAGTTCTACGCCGTCAACGATGTGAGCTTGCCTGACTGCTTGCCTGCTAGAACAGCTGTTGTCGAGCCTCCTTCCCGTGTGCTCGCCCCTCGCTCGTCCGTCCTCGCCTCTCGTCTCTCAGCTTTCTGCGGTTGTTTTCCTGATTTCTCTCCTCCCTTTCTTTCACCGGTTCTTCTCTCCCTCTCTCGCTTCTCACCCGCTCTCTCCTTACTCGCGCGCCCCCCACCCGTTGCGCTGCGCCAGGTGATCCAAGTGCGCACCATCCAGTCAGAGGACGACAGGAAAAAGCTGAGCGGCGAGATCGTCAAGGTGCGGATCTCGGGCGCGGCGATCGACGTGTTCAACGAGCTCTTCAACCTCAACCCCGGCGATGGCTCCACGTCCTTCCCCGAGGAGAAGCGCTGCGTCGTCTTCCAAGTCGCCTAGACACCAGCCGCGCCCGCGGCGCGTTACATGATGATTAATTGATACTGGCGCTGCAAGGAGCGGGCAGGCTGAGCACCGGCCACGCCACCAATTATGGCGGGGAGTAGAGCCGGGGACCCTACTCTTCATAAGCTCTGATACCAGTCCCCTAATGGTGTGTTGTTATACATGCCGGTGGTAGAGACGTTTTAGCAACAGCAGGCGCGTAAACTTTGAAGTAGAGAAAAGAGCTACTACTAGGAATGTGTAGTTACTTGTAGCTTAGTTCAGGCTAGGCTTGAATACCTTGTCCGTGCGTCAAACTCATTTTTCCAAATAATAAAGCTTTGCAGCCATTATAGTAATTATTCTGCTGCTTAAACACTGATGAGCTCTCTTCTTGACTGCCTGCATCCTGGTGATGGTTCTCAGTCTGAACATTGAACAGTCAGGGCAGCATTCATGCAGTCTTTTTCTTGCAATGGTTGTGGTACTTCCCACTAACACAAGCTTCCACATGAGGAGAGCTTCATGGATTTGGTATAGATTCAGATTAGTGTTCTGTTTGCCTCAGCACGAAGGAGTATGTCTTCTTGATCCGGGCTTGGAGTGTTTTGTGTTCTGAGCATAAAATTTATTTCCAGGGTTTCGGGTTCTGTGGAATGTACCACTGCATAACATGTGGACTACACATGACAGTGCCACCACCGCACCGCCACCAGCCACCTCTCCTGTCCTCCACCCCCCCCCAGCGCCGGAATTTTGTAACTAGACAGCCAAACGCCACTGAATCGTCAAGCCACAACACACAGCTGCAGACTATTTTTTGCCCGTGCGAGTTTTAACGAGCGATTTGTTCTCGCCTGAACCGGCAACATCCGCAGAACATATTGGACGAGAAGTACTGTAACCCTAAACTTCCCAGATTTTTGGATGAAATACAGTAGCTCGTTGTTTTCAAAGAGAGATGCATCTTCTAAAGGAGCGCTTGTGACGGTGCCTTCCTTCACATTACGGCACGTGGAGCATTACGGCACGTAGACCTCAGGGCAATCCACAACCCACGTGTTTAGTACGAGCAATATCGCAAGTGTCATTCCGCGAATCTTAGATAGACTCATTATGGGTGGGGGTGATCGAACGGCTGAATCTACTCCCGTCACTCTTCTTCCCGATGCCAGCGGCGGCGGCGAAACCAACACCCCTACGCCACCCGCCTCCTCCGCAACCGCCGCCGCAACCGCCGGCGTGCCTATCTCCTCGCTGCGTTTGCCCGGCCTTCAGTCTCTGATTCTGCTCTCCGTTGTCGCGTACGCGGCCGTGATTGGTTTCTCGCTCTCCGTGTCGCTTAATCTTCCCGCCACTACCGCGCAGCTCGAAGCGCCCGGCGGCAGCCAAGTGGACGTTTCGAGCGCCGACGGCGGCGGTATTGGCGCACGCGTGAATCGCGGAGGAAACGCGATTACCATTGGTGAAATCCTCCGCGAACCATGGCGGTTGATCTTCCCCGGGGGGGGCGGGGCAGACCTGCTCAATGCGCGGCTGGGCTCTGCGCGGACGGATCGTCTGGAAGGGGGAAGCAGGCGGTGGGGGAAGGTGGGAGCGCAAGACAGGGAGCATGAGAAAACGGGGGAAGGGGGAGATGCGGACGATATGGATGGCACGGGGGGGGCGCAAGGGGGGAGACATGCGTGGGGGGAGAAAGCGGGCGCGGATGCGGATTGGAGCGATGAGCAGGGGTTGCTGCAGCAGTTGATGTCTCTAGCCGAAGATGATAGCGAGCGGGGCGGGCGGGAGGGGGAGATGGCGGACGAGGCGGAGGAGGAGGGGGAGGAGGAGCGATGGCGTAGCAAGGAGGAAGACACGAGGGAGAAGGAGAGCGAACTAGAGCCGCTGAAAGTGTTCCTGCTGCCTCTCACCCGGGAGTTCAACTTTGGCATGCTGCAGGTGAGGTGACTTTTGATTCGACTCAAAAGTCAACTTTTATTGCTGCCACACAACGAAAGAATGGATCGGATCCCAAATGGGGTTTTCTTTTCTACCACTTCTGCTGCCTCTCACCCAGGAGTTCAACTTTGGCATGCTGCAGGTTCGATTCCTCTGACTATGAGTTCCTGAAAGTGTTCCTGATGCCTCCTACTCTTCTCATAGCCCATCCCAATATATTTCTGCTCACTCTCTGCCTTGCCTTCTCTTCTCTCCCACGAGCTTGCTCACACATCCACGCTCTCAACCATCTTCTCCGCGCCTTTCCCCCCGCCGTCCCCCACCCCCTTCCTTTCCCAGCAATTCGCAGACGAGGGACATTGGCACAACGTCTTCCTGCCACGTGGCATGCCCGCGTCATGGCTGGCCGTTGCTCCCTCTACACCCTCCTCCCCTTCCTCGTCTTCCTCCCCTTCTTCCGCTGCCTCCTCCCATTCCTCCCCATCTTCCGGAATCTCTTCATCAACGTCCACTACCTTAGCGCCCACTAGCCCCTCCACTCACTCCTCCACTCTCTCCACTCTTCCCCCATCGCCGCTCTCATTGGATTCGCCCCTCCACCCTACTTCTGTCGAGGAAATGCCTTCGCTCACTCCTCCCGCACTCTCGCTTCCGGGTTCAGGTGTAGGTGTGGTAGGTGTTGGGAATGAGCCAGGGGATAAGAGCGAGCAGAGTAATGTGGAGGAGGAGGAAGAAGAGAAGGAGGAGAAGGAAGAGGAAGAGAAGGGTGAGAAAGTGGAGAGGGAGCAGGAGGAGGAGGAAGGGGAAGAGGGGGGAAGAGGAGCAAGAAGGAGAAGGTTGTTGGGTGATGAACGGGCTGGGAGAGCAGGGAGAGACGTGGGTATAGCAGGCGGTACTGGTGATAAGATGGAGGAGGGAGAAGATGGCTTGCCAAATGAACCCACCAGGGTGAATGACCAGGGTGGAGGGATTACAAGAGGAGAAGCAACAGCAACAGCAACAGCAACAGCAACAGCAACAGCAACAGCAACAGCAGCAGCAGCAACAGCAGCAGGGTTAACAGCAGCAGCGTCAGCAGCAGCAGGGGGGGGTAGAAACGATGGTAGTGGTGGGGCGAGTGTTGCTGGCGGGGGTGCAGGGAGCGCAGTCATAGACACAGGGCCGTGGGTGCGTGGGGGCAGCAGCGCCAGCATTGCACGCTACTCTGACCTGCCTTATGAGCTGCAGCACAGCGCAGAGTACTGGCTCACTCTCTCGCTCCTCACAGGCACGCTCCCTCCCCTCCCCTCGCCCCTCTCGCACCGCTCCCCTCTTGCACCACTCATCTCTCTCCTCTCTCCTCCCTCTATCCTCTCTCCCCTCTCGCTCCCCTCTCTCTCCCCTCTCGCTCCCCTCTCTCCCCCCTCTCGCTCCCCTCTCTCCCCCCTCTCGCTCCCCTCTCTCCCCCCTCTCGCTCCCCTCTCTCCCCCCTCTCGCTCCCCTCTCCCCCAATACTCCTCGGATCTCTTTTCTTGTCCCTATTTCGTGGCTCTACAGCCCATGCATGTGTGTGCATGCTCATCCTGATGCTCGTGCTCATGTGCCTGTGCGTGGGTCCTGCCTGCCTGTCTGCCTGCCTGCCTGCCTGTCTGCCTGCCTGCCTGCCTGTCTGCCTGCCTGCCTGCCTGGCTGCCTGCCTGCCTGCCTGCCTGCCTGTCCATGTGTGTGTGCAGGTGTACCGAGTGTGGAGGTGGTGGAAGAGGAGCAGCAGGCAGACGTGGTGTTTGTGCCCTTCTTCTCCTCGCTCGCACTCCTCCACACCTCTCTCAACCACTCCTCCTGGGCGCACTTCAAGTGAGCCTCTCCCGTGCTTCCGCTCTCCACCCCTTTACACCCATCCCCATCCGCGCCTCCTGTCTGCTGCTTTACAAGCTCGCACTCGCACCTGCACTCCCCACTGCAACCCCTCCTTTCCCAGCGCCCTGCGGGAGCGGCTGTATCACTCGCGGCATCGCAGGCAGGAGGGTGCATGGGTGATGCACAGCGAGCGGACGCGGCTTTGATTTGAGAGACGTGTTCTGAACTGTGTGCATTCAGGCTTGCTTTGACAGCATTCCAAATCCCACTGCAATCCCCCCCTCTCCCAGCGCCCTGCAGGAGAGGCTGTGCCGTGGTGTCACAGGCAGCAGCGCGTGGGTGAGGCGGGTTGACTTGGCTTTGAGTTGTGAGACATGTCTAGACGTGTTAAGGCGTGCTTTGACACGTCTCTCAGATCCCACTGCCAACCCCCCGTTCCCAGCGCCCTGCAGGAGAGGCTGTACCGGGGCATCACAGGCAGCAGCGCGTGGGTGGCGCACATCGAGCAGACACAGCTTTGAGTTGTGAGACGTGTTCTGAGATCCCACTTGAAATCCCACTGCTACCCTTCCTTTCCCAGCGCCCTACAGGAGAGGCTGTACCGGGGCATCACAGGCAGCAGCGCGTGGGTGAGGCGGGGTGGGCGCGGCTTTGTATTCCCTGCAGGGCACCCGCTGAGCCTGGACCCCATCGTGCACCGCCTCTCCCATGCCACTTTTCTTGCCGTCGATTTCTGCTTCCAGCCTTACCAGGTGCGCACTGCTCTGCACCGCACTGCACCACACCGCACTGCACTGCACTGAACCACACTCTGCTCCCGCCGCTTGCTTTTGAGCCCACTCAAAGGTCCCTGCAGGGCACCCGCTGAGCCTGGACCCCATCGTGCACCGCCTCTCCCACGCCACTTTCCTTGCCGTCGATTTCTGCTTTCACCCCACCAGTTGTGCACCGCACTGCACCGCACTCTGCGCCTGCCGCTTGCTCTCTATTGCACTTATCCATTGCTGTGTCCCACCTAGCCCCGCCCTGCCCTGCCATGCACTGTGGTGCCTCCTCCTTCTCCTCCTTTGTTTCCTTCACTTCGCACCTTGCTGATTGTATCAACATCACCCCTACCTTCTGGCACGGTAGGTGATGAGGAGCAGCAAGGATGTGATTGTGCCGTACGTGCCAGTGGTCACTAAGTACGAGGATGACCCGGGGGACTTCACCCGTCGCCCCACGCTGCTCTTCTTCCAGAGCCACCTCCTCGCGCGCTCCCATGTATGCAAGCCTTGGAATGCAACGTCTCTCAACTCTCGTGCGCTTTCTACTTTCGCCGTGCGGTTTCAATCTCCATTTTTTTTTTTTTTTTTTTTTTTTTTTTTGTCTCTCCTTGTTTCTTTCTTATGACAGCGCACTGGAGAGTCTCACAAAAAAGGGCGGCTGCCATGCTCTCCTCACCTCCCATCCCCTCTCCTCGCCCCCCCGTCTCCCCGTCTCTCCGTGTGCCTGTCTGTCGCCTGCAGGGCGGCTGGCTGAGGCAGCGCGTGCACGAGGTGCTGGCGGGGGAGGCGGCAGTGACATTCACGGCAGTGGCGGTCTTCAACGAGCACGCACGGGCGTCCAACCAGGCGCTCATGCGCTCCTCCAAGTACTGCCTCGTGCTCGAAGGTACCGTACGCCCACGTTCTCATGTCACCCCATGGTTGGATTGGAAGGGCAGCAGTTCGTTTGCTAGCGCTGCCGCCCGTCAAACCAGGCGCTCATGCGCGCCTCCAAGTACTGCCTCATGCTCGAAGGTGCGCCCGCCCACAGGCCTTTTGAGGCGCCTCAAAGGTCGCAGGAGGCAGCAGCGACGTTCAGGCAATGAGCGTGTTCCATGACCCCGCACGGGCGTCCAACCAGGCGCTCATGCGCTCTCCTCTAAGTACTGCCTCGTGCTTGATTGAAGGTAGTATGCACACATGCACCACATGCTTTGCTCGCGCCGTGTTGCGAGCTGCCGTGCCGCCTTGTCAGATGCTGGGTTGTTCTGCTGCCTTTGCTTCTGCTTCTGCTGCTACTGCTGCTGGCAAAATTCTCCCACCGGAACCAACTTTCCCCTCCTGACAGCACACCCTCTTCTATCATTGCCCACTCCCACAACCCACCACCCAACACCCACCATCCACCACTTACCACACACCACCAACCCCCACCCCCCACCAACCACCGCCCTACCAGGCGACACATCGTCATCGGGTCGTCTGTTTGACGCGGTGGTGAGTGGGTGTGTGCCGGTGATAATATCCGACGCCCTCAACCCGCCCTTTGAGGCCCGCCTCGACTACACACGCTTCTCCCTGCCCGTTCCCGCCGTGCTGGCTGCAATTCCACCACCGAATCCCCCCTTTTCCACCTGACAGCAAACCCTCTTCCATCATCCTCACCACAGAGCACCAACCCTTACCTCCTACACCCCACCCAACCCCCCCCACCCACCGCCCTACCAGGCGACACATCGTCATCGGGTCGTCTGTTTGACGCGGTGGTGAGTGGGTGTGTGCCGGTGATAATATCCGACGCCCTCAACCCGCCCTTTGAGGCCCGCCTCGACTACACACGCTTCTCCCTGCCCGTTCCCGCCGTGCTGGCTGCAATTCCACCACCGAATCCCCCCTTTTCCACCTGACAGCAAACCCTCTTCCATCATCCTCACCACAGAGCACCAACCCTTACCTCCTACACCCCACCCAACCCCCCCCACCCACCGCCCTACCAGGCGACACATCGTCATCGGGTCGTCTGTTTGACGCGGTGGTGAGTGGGTGTGTGCCGGTGATAATATCCGACGCCCTCAACCCGCCCTTTGAGGCCCGCCTCGACTACACACGCTTCTCCCTGCCCGTGCCCGCCGTGCTGGCGGCTCGTAGAGGCTTCCTGGTGCGCTACCTCTGGCAGCGCACTGCTGCGGAGTGGCACTCGCTGTGGCTGCAGCTGCGCAACGTAAGCACAAGCACGCTCTTGTTAGTTTGGGCTTGTGTGTGCGAGTGTCTGCGAGTGTGAATGCTTGTGTGTGCACGAGGGTGTGTGTGTTCTTTTGCTCTGTGTCTCTCTTTCTGCTGCTCTTCCTACCCATACCTCTGTATATTGACTTTGAATGCCTAACTTCCGTCCTTCTCTGCGTGTAACAGGTTCGGAAGCACTTTCTATTTGGGAGCCCTCACCGTGCCTGGAGTCCGGAGAACCTCATATGGCAAGACGTGCGTGCGAGGGTTCACAACCTGACATTTACCCAGAACCGCCGCAGACGAATCCAGCGGCTTAGGTCGATACTGCAAGAGAACAAAGTGTCTGTGTCTGCTTTAATGGATCGCCCTCGTGGGAACTTTGCAAATATATGAAGTGTACATATTTTGGTGCATCCAGTCTGCAGGTTTTGGTGGCCTGCCTGTTAGCATCCATTCCCACCCATTCACATACAAAGGAGGTGATACATGGTGGTAACTGGTGCGTGTCAAGGCCTGTAAGAGTGGGCATTCATGCAAGCCGCATCCCTGTATCTTTTCAGCATCCGTTGGAGTGGCTTCTTGACAAAGGAGTCTGATTGTCGGGGTCAAGGGACGTTTTAGGCAACTTTCATCCTGTTCTTTGGAAAATGAGATGTGGTTGCTCACCTTGCTTAGTCCCTACAAGGTTGAACGGGTGCTTCATTGAAGTACCTAACCTCTCCAAATCATAGGAATTAGGAATAATAAGTTGTAATGTGGACCTTGACCAGTTTGATTATCCTAAGTTTAACGCTGATTTCCTATTTTGGTTTATCTGGTTAAAAATGCGACTGGCAGAAGTGGGTTGGGGAATGATTGGTCTGAACTACTTTTAGAGGTGTGGGTGCGATCGAACGAACACATCGCGGTTATGATCGGGGAGGGTGGCAAGAGACTGGTTATGGTAGGGTGAGTGACCCACTACGGTGTAGTCGAACTGAGGCAGTAATGCCCACTGAGCGGTTGGATCGAGGAGCAGGTTTTGTGGCTGAAGTGTTGCTAACGCGGAAACCCCTTTTTGTGAGAGAAAGACGATTTCTGCCCTGAAATCATATTCTTAGGTACAAGACTTTTGCTTCCCGCGTCGAACGAGGAGGATTTGGTGTTTAGCGTGGGCCCTCAACTCGAGCCACGAGCCTAATGGATGGCCAATGAGCGGTAGCCACGAGGAGGATTCTGGCACGACTTGGGCTGCGCGCCAAGTTTGGAGTCTTGATATCATCCTGCCTTTATGTACAGTGTTTTTTTTCTCCAAACCAGGAGGCAACGCACCAATCATCAAAGCTTGCTTCAACTCGGCTCCAAACCAGATTGTGGTGGAGGCAGGCTTTCATGGAGGAGGCAGGGAAGCAACTGACATGGCGGGTTTCCAGACCTCCCGCTAAGACCAATCACTTGGCTAAATTCCCAACCTGACAAACAGGTTTGATTTTGTTTCAGCGCCACACCTGATACGCGAACCACAAATCCTCATCCAACACGCGAACCACGCGCAGCTATTGTAACCACATCCCCAACGGCTGAATGCTCCGAACGTCCCAAAGAAAGTTGGTAATACCTCAAAAACCGACTCAACCGCCTGAAGTCATATGAAGAACAATTTTAAACCATTCGAACCGTATAGAAGCGAACATAGACCCACTTGGCCTAACGATTTCCTTCTCCGCATCCCCCCTAGAGTCCTAGTTTGGTTTGGCTTCCGTTGGTTATGTTAGTTTCGTTTTACCATTCCGTACCGCTCTGCTCTCCCTCTCTCGCTGCTTCTTTCTCAACCCACGCCATCCACACATGTGCTCCTCTCCCCAGCGTGTCGCTCCGTCATCTTCACATCATCCATCCTATCAACGCATCCTCTCCTCTGGCGCTTCCGTGTCAGCCGTGAGGGTGGTGTGATGTGCTGCAGTGTAGACGAGCACCAAACCAAACCTGTTAGAGCTTAGTGTTTCTGGATGTGTTGTCTGCTGACAGTATGGACCGGAGATAAGGATGGAGCTTTAACAGCCTCTTATCACACAGCCCGCTTCAGCGTTCCCCCCTCTTCCTAGCTTATTCAAACGTTGCGCTGCTCACCCACTTGTACAAAAAAACAGCAGCACCTTCGATGTACGCGCGTTCCTCCCGTATTGTCCTCGAATGCGTTTGTCTTGAATCCAGGATAACACTGACCCTTGCTCGCATCCACGTCGTGCCGTTGCGTCGCTGTCGTGTCGAACCGTCTGAAAGCCCTCGCCGCGAGCCGCGATCGACGCCTTGCGCACATGACTTTGTGGCACCAGGTTAGGGAACTGCCAGCTGCACCGCCAGACTCGTCGTTCCCTCGTTGCCAGCAGAGCAACGCACCCGCTGACGGTTCCGTCTCTTCCTCCTCTCCCTCCTCCTCCCCCTTCCCGCCGTACTTTACCTCCTCCTCTCACTTCTTTGAGAGCGTCAACGCCGTACTTTCCGCTGCGACGGAACACGGCACGGCGCGCTCGTCGCTGGCTCGCAGAGTGCACGGCCGGCACCAGCAGCTGCAGCGACTCCTTGGAGCCGCGTGACACGCAACGCATCGCAACGCTCCGTGCCGGAAACCACTGGCGATGGATGTCTGAACCCGGAGATTCCTCGCAGTCCGTCCGGTGGTCTCAGTGGGTGTGCTCGCAGTGCTCGCAGTGCTTGCAGTGGTTGCAGTGGCCCAGTTTGAGTTGATACAGCAGTTTGAGTGACAGGTGCAGCGCCGATATTTCAATCTTCACGATTTACGTACCTGCGCGGGAAAGAGTCCCGGCAGGTGCATGCGAATTCGACTTCTTAACTTTCGCGCAGTGAGTTCAGTGGGAGCTTCTGGTTCTGAACCAAATCCTGTCGGCTTTTGTTGCCCTTGATTGAACCCCCCATTAAGGTCGAGCGTTATTGATGCCGATGCTGCTTTTGGTTTCAGCGTCACCTCCTTCCGTTTGAACCTCTCTTCTACATCAATCCCTGAAAGCAGTAGCTATCCGCTTTTGTTGTGGAGGTTTCTTGTAAGTTTATCCTCCTTGTATTTTGCTCGGTAAATTCACGGTTATCCTGCTCCCCCCTCTCCTTCCCCGCGTCCTGCCTTCATTCCTCCCCGTCCTGACGTCGTTTTCCCATGTCGCCTTCTCCTCCTGCTATCGCAGGTCATTTCAGGCTTCTTTTACTGCCTGGGTGCCAACTTTACTCGCAACGTTCTCTTGGCTTCACCCTGGAGTTTCGAGTTTCCCGCTCCGTCGTCATTCCCTTTAATTCGGAGCGCTCCAGTTACGACTACGGTTCCTCCGCTCGCTGCAGCTTCCAGCCGGACGTCGTTAATTTCTTTTGTACTCTAGGGAGCGTTTCGCGACTGTACTGCCGCGTCACTGTGCCGAAGAGCTTGCGCTGACTGCTGACCTTTCTGAACCACTTGACTTAACATTCATTCTCTTTATTCGGCTATAGGCGCGCGCGCGCTGGTACATCAGCTGCATCAGCCGTCCTCTTCCTCTTTGGCTCCTCGGCGCAGCGCATCGAGCAGACAGCCACCCTTGTGTATATTACTCCCTAGGATTCCCTCCTCATGCCGCATCCGTCCCGTGTGCATAGGCGACGTTAGCTCAACGTTCACCTGCTTCGAATTGACTGTCGTGGCACGTTTGTGGATAGCGCGAGAGTAGAGAATTCGGCTCGGAAGTTTATTCAGGCAGTGCAGCAGCAGCGTCAGATACACGTACGACGAGGTACCGATAGGTGCAGGGCTGGTGCAAGGAACGCTTTGAGAGCAGTTTCCTCCCAGTGCGACGTCTCTAATACAGCTTCGCAGCAGGAAGCTCTACAGCAATAGCAGCAGCAGCAGCAGCAGCAGCAGCAGCAGCAGCAGCAGCAGCAGCAGCAGCAGCAGCAGCAGCATTAGCGGCACAGCCGAGCAGTCAGGGCCAGCAGGCATGGCGTCGTCGTCGTCAGCGGCGGTGTCGAGCAGTCGCGCGCGCATGGACCAGATAGTATCGGAGTTCCTCGCCAAGAGCCTGCACATCATCCTCGACTCCAGGCTGCCGTGCGCTGCTCATGCACCCGCGGCACCCGCAGCGGCAGGCGCAGGCGCAGGCGCAGGCGGAACCGCAGGCGCAGGCGCGCAGCAGCATCTCGACCCAGCCGTTGGGTTCTCCGGTCCTTCGCCCCTTCCTTCCCCTTCTCCGCGCCACGCTGGGTTTGGCGCTGCTGCTGATGTGGCAACCGGGGAGGGTGGGGGTGGGACTGGCAGTCTCACGAGCAGCGGTAGCAGCAGCAGCAGCAGCAGCAGCATCGCGCGGTCTCCGCGTCCCCCTCCCCTGCCTCCTCCTCTTCTTTCTCCTCCGCGCCCTTCCCGTCGTCGTTCTCCCCGTCCTCCCCGTCTCCAGGGGTAGCCGCCGCCGCCGCCGCCGTCGCTGGCCGCGCCGGCGTAGCAGCAGCTTCTGCGCCGCTTTCCGCGCCGTCGATCTCCGACCGTTGGTTCAATCTGGAGCTGCAGCAGGGAGCGGCTGTGATGGAGGCAGTGGATGGGTGGCGCCGTTTCCCGGTAGAGCCGTTAGTGATCGACATACTGCTCGACAGACCCGCCTCCCTCTCTTCCCACTCCTTTCGCGCCCCCTCGTCGTCCCATCCTCACTCTCACGCTCACGCGCCCGCTCCCTCTTCTGCTCCCGCGTATGGTCCATCCGGAGCAGGTGCGGGGGCAGCGGCCGCCGCGGGAGGTGGCGGGGGGGGTGTGGGCGGGGAGGCAGGGGCGCTGGCAGGCGCGGGAGTGGGCCCCGCGTCCCGCAGTAGGAGCCTGCGCCAGCACGCGCCTTCCCCGGAAGCGTTCATCAGGCTGTCCGCCCCAGGGGTTGCGTCGGGCTCAGGCGCCGGCGTAGGCATCGCTGCTGCCGCTGCTGCTGCTGACGCTGCCGCTGCGGCGTTTGCTTCTCTCGGGACCGGTTCTGGTCTAGGCTCGCAGTTCGGTGGTTCTGGCTCTGGGTTGGAAGCTGCTGGGCTGGGCGATTATGGAACGGGGCGACGAGACTCGGCGGGTGCTCCCGGTTCTTCTGCTGGTAGTGGCGGTAGTGGTGGTGGGGTGAGTGGCGGCGGAGTCAGTGGGCCGCTGTTGTTGGAGCGGTGGGTGGTGCGGTACGAGAGAAGGCGAGGCGGCAGCGGTGGCGTGGAGCTTGGTGATGGCGCTGCTGGCGCTGGTGGGGGAGCGGGAGGGGCAGGAAGCGGCGGGGGGGGCGGAGGCGCAGGCGGAGGGGGAGGCGGAGGAGGAGGCGTGGCGGTGGATATTCCAGTGGTGTACAAACATATGGTTGTAATGCTTCGCTCCCTCTACTCCCTCACTCGCACGCTCCCCGCTTACCGTCTCTACTGCTCCCTGGCTGACGCTGCTCTCTCCTCCTCTGCCGCCTCCTCCTCCTCGTCCTCCTCTTCCTCCGCCGCCGCCGCCGCCGCCGCCGCTGGCGCCGCCGCTGGCGCCGCCGCGTCCTTCTCCCCCGCCCCCCCTATCCTGACCTCCGGCTCCGCCCTCCGCCCCACATTCGCGCTCGCCTTCCGCATCTCCCCCAACCCCGCCGCCGCGCTCGCGGACGCAGCTGCCGCGTCGTCCGCCGTCGGATCAGGCGCGGCGCAGTCCGGAATGAACTCGTGGGAGCTGAAACCGTTGGATCTCCCCGGCGGGCGCATGTCTGTCTTCGTGGTCTACAGACCCGGGGCGGCAGCAGCAGCGTCGGTGGTATCTGCTGTGGAGGTAGCGCCGCCAGTGATCACGCGAGTGATTACAGACTACGTGGGTACGGGCGGGTCTGTGGCGGAACCCCCGCACCACCGCCGCCCCATCCGCCACTACCAGGCTCCCCCAGCGTCGCTCCCCCTCTCCTCCTCGCTCTCCTCCTCCGCGTCCTCCTGGTCCCCCTTCTCGCGGAGAGCGTATGGGCTGCTCGCGGGGCTCCCCTTGCTGGTTTCCCCCTCCCCGTCCCCCTCGTCCTCCCCCTCGTCCCTCCCGTCGTCTTCCGCCGCGCAGCTCTCGTCGCTGTCCTCCCCCTCCGCCGCCGCCGCCGCGGGGCGCGCGCTGGTGATGTTCGCGCGCAGGCACAGCTTCGGGGGGATGGAGGAGAGGCGCGGATCCGCCGTGGGCCGTTCCGCCTCCGCGGCCGTGGGTGCTGGGGGCGGGGAAAGCGGCAGCGGGGGAGTGGGCGCAGGGGTAGCAGCGGGGGGAGCAGCGGGGTTTGCAGGGGGGAGTGGCAGCGGGGGGAGCAGCAGCGGGGGGAGGGGGCCCATGGGGGTAAGGTCCGCTGTGTCTGCTGGTTCGTTGATTGGTACTGGGCTGTCGGGATCTGGCAGTGGGACGGCAGCCGCAGCAGGAGCGGGCAGCGCAGGGGTAGGGATGATACAAGAAGCAGGAGCGACAGTAGGAGCAGCAGCGGGAGGTGCAGCAGGGGCAGCGGTATCAGGAGGAGCAGGCATGGTGGGGGTTATGGGAGGGTACCAGGTGCCTATTTTCTACCGGGGGATCTCGCCCCCGTCGCTGTCGTCGTCTCCGTCGTCTCACCTGTTCGGCCGCCCTATCACGATCTACGAGCAGGAGCAGGACGACAGTGGGGTGGAAGGCGCAGCAGGGCAGGAGGTGGGAGCGGGACGACCGGCGCCTGCTTCGTCGTCAGCAGCAGCGCTGAACGAGCGCCAGCAGCAGCAGCACGCGCAGCAGCAGCAGCAGCAGCAGCAGCAGCAGCAGCAGCAGCAGCAGCAGGTGTCGCACTATCAGCAAGCGCACCACGAGCAGCAGCAGCAGCAGCAGCAGCACTACCAAGCCCTGTCTCACCGCCACAGGCTTCCCCCGTTTGTCTCTTCCCCGTCCGCCCACCATCCCTCCTCTCTCCCCAGCCATCCCTCTTCATATGACCATCACTACCACCACCACCTCTCCACCTCCCCCTCCCCTCCCCCGTCCCCGTACCCCCCGCACCACCCCTCCGCGCCCTTTGCGCGCGCCCCCAGCCTCCCGTCTCTCCCCAGCGCGCCCGTGTCTATCCCCAAGATCAACTCCCGCGGACAGATCATCCCTCGTCGCCCCTCTAGCACGTTCCATCCCAGCAGCGCCAGCAGCAGCAGCTGCGGAAGCAGCGTGGGAGGGGGCAGTGGGGTAGGGGTAGGCAGCAGGCCAGGCAGTGGGGTAGGCAGTGGGGTGAGCGGCGCTGGTGGCGGGGGTAGCAGTGGGGGGCGGAGCGTAGGAGGGTACGGCAGTGGCAGTCAGGAAGCGGCAAGGGCTGGTGGAGGCGGGGGAGTGGGGGGAATGGGCGGGGCAGTGCTTGTGTCAGGAGGACTCGCTGTTCCTGTTAGAGCCGTTAGTATGCCCCCTGTTCACACAGGCGATCACATCACCTCGCACACAGCCCACACCCACACAGCCCACACCGCCCACGCAGTTCATACACCCCACGCTGCTGAGACGACTCATGCACATGCTGCTAGAGCCACCGGTGGGTTGTTGCCTTGGGCGCCAGCTCGAGGGCCCATGCCCCTCCTCCCCTCGCACCACACTCCGCCCCTGCTCATCCCTTCCGCCGCCCCTCACCACGTACCCTCTGCACCAGTCGCCCCCACTGCTATTACGCATGTAGGGAGAGCCGTGGTAGGGCCAGGCGGAATGGGTATGGGTACGGGTGTGGGCGCTGGTGGTGGTATTGCTGGCGAGCAGCTGTTAACCCATCGCCAAGGCTCGTGGCGCCCTTGCTCCGCCCCTGCTGCTGCTGGCGGCGGGCTTGCTGCTGCTGGATTCCCCCCCGCGTTCCATGCCGTGCCGGCAGTTGTGGCAGCGGAGACGCACGTCCCCAGATTCACCTGGCAGCAACCGGCGTCCGCAGGTGCAGGAGTGGCAGCAGGAGGGGGAGCAGGAGCAGGAGGAGCAGGGGCAGCAGGTAATGGAGGGGTGAAGCCTAGCAATGGAACTTCGGCTCTTACAGCTGCTCTTTCTGTCGCCTCTGCGGCAGCAGCAGCAGCCGCACCAGGTGCTGGTGGAGCTGCTGCTGGTGGTGGTGGTGGTGGTTATGGTGCAGGAGCAGCTGCTGCTGGGTCATCCGCGTTGGGCATGGGCCAGGGATATATGGGCGCTGGTGGGGTGCGGATTGGAGGGGGCGTGGGAAGAGCAAAGGCAGCAGCAGCGGGAGGGGAAGGAGCGTGGGGCGAGAGGGGGAGAGGCGGGATGGGAAGGGGGAGTGTTGGCATGGAGGGGCGTGACAGTGGGCGACCGCACTCATACGGCAGTACGCAGCTGGTGAGACACGTGTGCTGTTGTGGGGGCATGGGGTCATGGGGATGGTGGGGGCATGGGTGGTGGGCGCATGGGGTTATGGGGATGGTGTGGGCATGGTTAAAGTGAAGGGATTGTGGGTTGATGTGGTGTCATGGCCCGCATGCCTTGGGGCCATGGTGAATGAGGATGGTGGTATTGTTCGCAGTTTGTGCCACGAGATTGGGTCACCCATTTATCAACCCATGGCAGCTTGGTGTTTTTTCACATGGCATGCTCTTTTTCCTCCGCGTTCCTTCATGTCATGTCCCTCGATATTCTTCCCTGTTCCAGTCCCCCTCCCCTTCTAGTTTGCCTCTCCCCTCCCGCGTCTCCCATCCCTCCTCCCTCCCCCCCTCCCTCCACCTATCCCTTCTTCGCAAACCATCCCTGTTCTCTATCCCTCTATCCCTGTTCTTTCCCATCTATCGTGCAGGGGTGGGAGCAGCAGGCATCGAGGGCACCGGTTCTAGAGGGCAGTGGAGTGGAGGAGGAGGAGGAGGAGGGGCACCTGCTGCTGCCCTTTGCAGTGGATGACGAGGACACTGACTCGCCCTCACCCACTGCTGCTCTGCCCGCTGCCGCCCCTGCCGCCCCTGCCAGGTGTGTATGTGTGTGTGTGTGCGCGCGCGCGCGTGTGTGTGCGTGTGTGTGAGGGTGTGCATCTGTGCTGTTGTGCTGCTGCCTAAGCTCATGCCATGTCATGTCATGGCGTCGCATGGAGTCATGATGAATGAAGGGACTCAAGCATCGTGGAGAGGAAAGCATAGAACTGTCCGATCACGGTGTACAGGAAGGGCATTCTGATGAAAGCAAGCATTCACATGCAACACGAGAGACAGAAACGCAGGCCATCAGCTGATACCCGAAACAATTCCTCTCTTAACGTGCACAAGCATTCTCATTGTTCCCACTCTGACCAACCTTAGCGGCACCAGAACTTGAGCCTCCTCAAAGGGCGTCCTTTTCTCCATGTATTCTGCTTCCATCGCCTCGTCCCCCTTGGTTCTTGCGTTCTCCCTACCCTCCCCAACTCCAGCCATGATCTCAGTGCCAACCGTGCAGCGGCGGGCGTTCAGAGCCGCCAGTTGGATTCCTCCCACAGGGGGGCACGCGAGTCCAGTGATTCCCGCGACGCTGCCGTGGGTGCACTCATCCGCGTCCTGCGCTATGCCCCTCCTCTCCGCGCCTTCTCCTCCACCTCCTCCTCCTCTGCTGCTGCTGGTGCTGCTGCTAACCTGTCGGTAGGCGGTGCAGGCAGCACATCATCTGTTAATCCCGTGCAATATGGGGCTGCCTTTCCCCGCAGCAGCTCCTGCAGCAGCACTGGCAGTGCTGGCAGCGCTGCGGCTGCTGCTGCTGCTGCTGGTGGCCGTAGTGGCAGCGGCAGTGCCCGCAGCAGTCCTTATACCACAGGTGCCAGGGCTGCTGCTTCTACTGCTGCCGCTACTGCTATTCCGATCTTGGCCCCTCTCTCCGCTCCAGCTGTTGCTGCTACACCTGCTGCTGCCACTGCGGCTGCTAGTCCTGCTGGTGGTTCTCCTGCTGCTGGTGGCTTTGTTGGTGGTTCCTTTGCTGTTGGTGGAGGGATCGGAGCAGAGGTGGCTGAGGGGGGAGAGGGTGTGGAAGGTGGGGATGGGGCAGCGAGGGCAGCAGAGTCACTCTTGGATGAGCTGTTTGGGTACAGCGAGATGAGGGAGACACTGCTCAGACAGAGGGGTGTGGCGCGCAAGTGAGGAAGGAGTGAGTGTGTGTGTGGGTGGGGTTGAAGGGGTGGTTGCGGTGGTGCGCTGAGGGGACAAGGAGGCACGGAGAGGAGAGGAATTGGAGGCATAGGGGAGTGGAGTAGGATAGAGCAAGGGGGGGGGGGGGGGAAGGTTGTGCAGGGTAAAAGAGTGGGGAGTGCAGGTGAAAGGTGACAGAGTGCAGGTAGGTCCAGGTGCGTGTGCGGTTGGGCTTCTGGAATGGGAAACGGTGATGTGCCCCTACTCCTGTTGGGAGTGAGTGGTGTGTTGGGAGGGAACGAGAGGGTGTGTGGCTGATGCTGGCTGCTTGGTGAGCCTGTGTGTGACTTGATGAGGCGTGATATGGAGGTTAAGTTGTGACTCGGGCTGGCTGGTGAGCAACAGTGGTTGTGACGGAGCACACAGAAAGACAGACAGACAGACAGACAGACAGACAGACAGACAGACAGACAGACAGACAGACAGACAGACAGACAGACAGACAGACAGACAGACACACAGACAGACACACAGACAGGTTGTGATATATCAAGGCTGAACGTTCTACATGCCGGGGAGCAGTACGTTACTCTACCTTTACTGCAGTCTCTCTTGACTTAAGATGCTCTCTGCTGCACTGGTGCTGGCTGGATAGGCTCCTATTGTGAGCTCGTCTTATGATGGATGAGCTGTGGGCTGGAAGAGTGTAGGCTGAAACCGGTTCTCGACTCGAATGTAGAAATCAAGAGTGATCAAAGGCTAGGTTGTACATATCGTTAGCTTAGTGGCTAGTTTTCAATGCCTTCTAAGCTGTTACTGGCTATGACATTACTGCGTCTTCCCTGTATACATTGCTATACCTTTCTTAACTAGTGTACACTGGAACAAACTGCTCTGTATGGGTGTTATGGTCAGAGGAATTCCGGGCACAACTACTGCGTTTAGAAAATTGTAGAGAAACCAAGGTTTGCCAGGAATAAGGTAGAAGCCGTATCATCCCTCGCATCTATGCTGGCCATTGCTCTAAAACAGGGAAATATGGTATGCCATTATATATGGTTCTAGTGCAAACATCATTGTTATAGTGAAGCCCGACTCTTCATTGTGCTGTAACAATATTTCCTACCCATAGCCCTCTGCTGCTGTCAAATGGTGTTTTGCGCCTGCAAATTTTCAACCTGCCGTGCTATGCGTGGTACTGTAGGGGCTCCCACCACGCGGCTCGACGGTCGTCAACCAGTCAAGGAGGGGTCACCGTTTCTTTGTTGCCGCGAACCTAGCGCGTTTGATGCATCAAGCTAGAGTATAGCTAGGGTAAATGTATGTCAGCAATGAGTGCCCTGACATTGTGCAGTGAAAATCCATTTTAGGCTCCATCGCCTTCAGTTGAGCAACTGGGCATGGTTGTTGCTAAGGAAGAGCATTCTAACTCGGTACAACGAGTGTGTAAGTAATCGTGTCGATATTATAAATAGTCGTGGTATCAGGAGTTTCCTGAAGTATCAAGCCGAACTTCCTTTTTCTGGTCTAAACACTGAGATTCGTCCACAAGTTGAGACGTCAAAGACATCCCCGAACGGAACTACTGTACACACGACGAATCAATGCACCCCTCCCATCACAAAGCCCACCAGCAGTTATTGCCACGTCAGCGAAAAGCTGCCCTTGTTCTCCGCGCCACGCCATGAGCGTCCACAGAAAGTTCCACGATTCGGGTATTGGCATCCATCCATCTTTCTCTCGTCTGCCTGCATCCCACCCATTCATCCATGATCCATCGCGTGATCCCACCCATCCATGTCACATAGGCGTCTTGAACGTTGACCATCAATGTCGGACCCTACCCTACCCATGCATCATCTTTCCCAACGCGCCAAACACAGAAGGCTCTCTCTTGGAACTGGAACCCCGTCGCACCGTAACGCAAGAGCCGTCGCCTCCGCCAGCAGTCGCGGCACTTTCAAGGGCAGCACACCGTAACTGTTTGTTGGGTGGGGCGGGGGGAGAGGGACCTTGGTTTCCTCGCCGCGTCGCGAACGAAACCCTTGCGACGACAAACGACGTGGGAGAAATCTCGTGGATGACGCAAGGTGGAAAGATACTTCGGTCGCCGACCCACGCCCCTCTCCTCCGACCAACCCATGCGATCTTCGAGGAGAGCGCATCCGTCGCCCAATGACCGATTGGCGCCTCGGGGCTGGGTTGGTCGGAGGGGCGGGGCATGGCTTCGATTCTACAGCTCCAATCGAACCCAGCCTCCCTAGCTTTCTCCTTCCCCTCCACTTCACTCTTCATACCTAGTGGAATAAAGAGTAGAAACCTCTTTCCTTGCTGTGCCGCATGCTGCTTAGCATCGCTCATGTTTTACGTTACACATCTCGTACAAAACAAGGATGCGCACCAGGCTCAGTGGCCCGAGGTTTCCATTTCTTTTTTGAATCCCTAGTGCCTGATTGAACCTAGGTTAGAATTTTTATTGCCGATCCTGCTATGGAAACGTGAGCAGGAAGCACACAAACGAAGTCCACTTCCATGACAGCCAACGATCTCAAACAGCAGCAGCAGCAGCAGGGCCAAGGATGGCCCTGGTCATTAATTCCCTTAACGCCACCCACCTCTCGCCCCTCGAGTTACTCCATAGTCGATATCCGTACAGTCGTTTTACCAGCTCTGACTGTCGCCCTGGACGTCGCATGCACGTCGGATCGATACGCCCAGGTAGCTTCCGAATGTCGCACGGCCATGCGATGTCTCTCCGCCTCCGGTGCGACGAGCTCTCACGAAGCAATCGCCGCCGCTACCACCTCGATTACCGCTAATCTTAAAACTCCTGGTATCCGAAGCGCGGTGGTCACGGACGCTGATATAAGGGAAGCTGATATAAGCAGCACGGACGGCTTTTCCACCCCCTCGATCCTTCCGAGGAGATTAAATACAACTACAATCACCGCCGCTTCGGCTAGCGGCTGTGAAAAAGTAGCTGAGGACTCGGGTACTGGTCGTGCAGCTAGTGTCGCTTCAGCTTTAGGCAATCGCGTGGGAGATTCGACCAGCAGCGTCGCCGATGCGACGTCTATCGGTTCCGATCCTGCAGGCCGTTATGATCCCGACGGCAATTCCGTTGGGGCGCACGACTGGCTCGTCGCCGGAATCCTGAACGGTGCACAGGGGCGTGAGGTCCATAGAGAGGAGAATTGCGAGGTTGGGAGCTGTGATGGGATCCAGGATGTGCGCTGCGAGTCTGGGCCGGCAGGGAGTGTTGTTACTGGTTGTGTGGGCGGTGTGACAGAGTCCCCTGACGAGAAGGCCATCGCTAGACGTCTTGTCTTTGAGGAGGAGAGAAACGAGGAGCGAGACGAGGAGGAGAGAGAAGAGGTTTATGAACGGGGGGAGGCTGAAGAGGAGGGAGAGGGTGGGGAGGGAGAGGAGGAGATTGAGGGGGAGGAGGAAAAGGCGGCGGGGGGAAAGGCGGTGGACGATGATGGGGAGCAAACGGGAGAGGAAAAAGGAAAGGCATCGGTACAAGCGCAGTCGCACGCGCAATTTCACGTGAACGCTGCAGGAAATATCAATGATGCGTCGAGATGCATTAAGGGCGGTAGGTGCAGTGCGTGTAGCAAGCGGGGAGCGGCAATCACCAACGCTATATTTGACACCTCATGTCTCGTCGATAGTTCGCGAGGCGAGATTCCGCCGCTCGAGGCGGAGACGCTGTTGCGCCCTCTGCTCTCCGCGTGCGCCGCCGCCGCCGCTGAAAACTCGCCGTTCGCTTCTGAACCCGCCGCTGCTGCTGCGGCCGCCGCCGCAGCTGCTGATTCTGCGCCGGGTGCCGCAGTGGCCATCGCGGAACACGGCGCGACTAGCGGCGCCAGTTCCGGCGCGGACTTCTCGCCGCGACGGGGCAAAGCGGACGCCGTGAGCGCGGAGAGTATGGCGGTGGCCGCGCTGGAGTGCTTTCAGGAGCTGCTGATGAGGGGCGCGATTAGAGGATGCATCGGGGATAGGAGATGCGCGTGTAGGGGGAGGAGAGCGGAACGGGTAGGGACATCCGGAGATAGTGTGGTGGGTCTGACTGATAAGGTTACAAGGAATGGCGGCGGCTCTGGTGGTGGTGCCGACTTGAGGCCAGGCGCATGCGCGTTACGTGCTGAATTGGACGGTGGATGTGAAGCTAATTCGACCAGTAGCAGCCGCGAGAGCAAGCGCAAGAGCAGCAGCTGCAGAAGGAGCAAGAGCAGCAGCTGGAGCAAGAGCAGCAGCAGCAACAGTAGCGGTGCTCGCAGCAATAGCGGCGTTGGTGTGGCAGGACGTATTCTGGATGCCGTTTGCCTCTGTGCCGGACTGCCTCCTATCGTCCACCCTTCGTCCTCCTCCACGCGCCGAGAACACACTCTCCCACCACCTCCATCAGGCTTGCACGTACCGAATGTGCCACCATCGAGCACCGCCCCTGCTGCTGCTTCTGCGGCTGCTGCTGCTGCTGGCGCGACGTCGTCTGCTGTAGCTGCTCTGCAGTACCAGGCTGTCCGCACTTTCCTCGCCTTCGCCTGCGCTCCTTCCCTTCGCCTCCATTCCTCCGTCCTCCTCTCCCTCTTCCACCGTCTCTTCTCCCTCAGGCTCTCACCTCTTCCCCTCCCGCAATCCCTCCCACTCTCACCCCCACTCACCCTCGCTCCGACGTCCGTGCACCTGCACCCTCGCCCTCCTACCGCTCGCGTACGGCCCTTGTCTCTCCGATCTGGCAGCAAGCACGACCAGTCTTCCCCCATTGTTCCCGCAGTTGCGCCCGCGTCTGTTGCTTCCCGACGGGAGGTTATGGCGCTGGTTCGAGGGGAGAGGGAGGAGTTGGGGCGGCCGAGAGGGGCGGTGAGGAGGAATGATCGATTCAGTAGCAGCGCCAGCAGTGCCAGCAGCGCCAGCAGCGTCAGCAGCGTCAGCAGTAGTAACAGTAATGTCAGTACTGGGAGCAGTGGCAGCGGCGGCAGAAGCAGCAGTGCGAGTAGGGGCGGTAGTGGCGGCAGTGGTGGTGGCTGGAGTGTGCGTGTGAGAGGGATTAGGAGAGGCCGTGTTGCAGAGGGGGAGGAGGAACACGGTGGTTCAGATGCACAACAATCGGTGCACGGAACAGGAGAAGGAGGAGGAGGAACAGCAGCAGCAGCAGCAGCAGCAGCAGTAGCAGAGGCGAAGCAGAGGAGCAGGGATGCAGCATGGGCGGCAGCAGCAGGCAGGGCGAATGGCAGGCTGAAAGCCCTCGCGAAAGCGGCTCTAGCACACATGCTGACATACTATTTCACAGGAAAGGAGGAGCGGAGTGACGCAGGGAACAGGGATGGGCCTTGTCGTACCTGCTGCAGCTCTGCTTCGTGTCCCCCCTCACTTCTATGTGCCGCCCCGCTGTGGGAGAATGGGCGAGGCGAGGAAGGGCTGGGAGAGAGCGACTGGGAGTGGGTGCAGCAGCAGCTGGTGCTGGCTCTGAAGCAGCACGGAGGGACAGTGGGAGGGAGTGAGGTTCGAGACTGCGATGCTTTAGAGGTTTGTGGGAGGTTGGGCAAGGGAGGGAAAGAGGAGGTAGCGAGGGGAGGGTGCGTGGGAGTGTGCATGGGAGAGGCAGGGGAGGGTTCTGTGTGCGGGTGTGATGGTGTGTGGAGTGGGCGTGTGGGGAATCTGGATAGAGTGGACGCACGTTTCATGCTCGCACAGGCAGGGGTGAGAGGAGTGGTAATTGGAGGTGTGGGAAGAGAAGTGGTGGGGAAAGGGACGGGCTTCAAGCAAACGGAAGTTATGAAAGTGGTTCAAGCAAACTTGCGGATGTGTGTGGAGAGCAAACAGGTGAGCACAGGGGACGAGATCTGTGGCAGTAGCAACAACAGCCATGGGCACGCCAAGCCTCCACTGCCGCCGTCTATCCAGGAGAGGGAGGAAGAACCACTGGCACAGCGGCCAATGCAGCAGCAGCAACAACAGCAGCAACAACACACGGACGAGGGCACGGACGCGGAGTCACAACTCTGTTCCTTCCCCTTGGCTACCAACGGCAGTAACCCTGCCGATTTCACCAACAGCGTCACCAACAATTACAACACGAGTGGCTGCGGTTTTAGCAGCAGCTCTGTTGCTGCTGCTCCTGCAGCTGCTGGTGCATCTGCTGCTGCTCCGACTCCTGCTGCTTCTGCTGCTTCCGTGTCTCCCGCGGCTGCGACTGTGCGCTCCGGGGACTGTGATGCAGAGCTTTTGCTGGCGGAGCTGTGCCATCTCGCCGTGCATGGGCGAACAGGCCGTGGGAGGCGAGGGCACCACGGCTTGGAAGAGGAGGGCCGTTGTGAAGCAGAGATGCATGAGGAGGGGTTTAGACAGGGGGAGGAGAGTGAGGAAGAGGGGGAGAGTGAGGAGGGGAGCAAGGTGTGTGAGGAGAAGGAAGGAGGGGAGGAGGAGCAAGGTGGGGACGAGGAGCAAGTAGGAGAGGAGGAAGTGCGGGTGGCAGCTATGGAGCTGCTGTGCTGGGTTGTGGAGATCAGTGCGCCTCACCTTGCTTCTCACCCCTGGTAAGTCTCTCTTCTCGCCTCTCATAGCCCCTCCTTGCTTCCCTTTCCAACCACCACTTCACACGAGCTCAATCTCCTTGACTTGAATTCACGCTTTTTTCCTACTCGCTCTCACCCTGCATCCGCGTCTTTATCCCCCATGCAGGCTGGTCAATCACCTCAAGGACTCCCTCTGCTTCTCCCTCATCAGCAACGTCAACTCAGCAGTCACCGCTTCCTCTCCCCCCACCACTCGTGCCACCAATACCTCCTCCCCTCACCCCTCTTCCTCCCCACCTTCCACTCCGCCCACCACAACCAACATCACAAGCATCACTGCCACCAGCACTGCCACTACCAGCACCACCATCCAGCTATGCCACCTCTCGCTCTCCCTCCTCCTCCGCCTCCTCACCCTCCTACGCGCGCCACTCCACTCCCAAGTCCCTCCCCTCGTCGCCCACATGCTGCTCGCGCCCCTCAGCAGCCGCGCCCTCCCCCTGCGCGCCAAGGCGCCCTTCCTCTGCGCCCTGCGCGCACTCCTCACCCTCCCCCAGCTGTGCCTCGACCTCTTTCTCAACCACGACTGCTGCCCGGGTGGGGGGACGTCGTTCTCAGGTGGGTTCTAGGTGTTGATATCTTAGTCGTTTAGATAGCCTCCTCTCCCTCCCCCAGCTGTGCCTCGACCTCTTCCTCAACCACGACTGCTGCCCGGGTGGGGGGGACCTCGTGCTCCGGTAAGTTCTAGTGGGGGAGGAAGGGGGATTTCTTACTAGGTAGGTGACTCATGCTCGGGTTAGAATCGGTGTAAGTGCAGGTGACTGTATGGCCAATCAAGGAAGGGTGAAGAACGAAGGTGCGCATAATGTTCACTTTGTAAGGGTTTCCACTGTCTTCCCCCTTGTGTATTCACTCACACACTCTCATCTCCACTCTGACTCTCCCTCTTCCTTGTTCCCCTCTCTTTTCGTTTCCCCTACACCTCCCGTCAACTCCCCCCCTTCCACCTTCCCCCCTCTTGGCAGGTCTATAAGCACCCTAGCAGATACCATTTGCACCCCTCTCGAACCAGACACACACCACGGCTCCCAACTCAAGCCAAGGCAGCAACGGCACCAGCAGCACCACCACCACAAGCACCACCAGCAGCAGCATTTCCTTTCTCCTGCACCCACCTTTCCAGTCCAAGACCTGACAGCCTACCTGCCTGCTGCTCCCTCTCCTTCTTCTTCCTCTCCTGCACCCTCGTCCTTTCTCTCTCCCGTCATCTCTCCCTTTTCCGCTACACCTGCTCCTGCCTCGGCCCACATGCCCATGAGTCTACACAGCAGCTGGTGCATCCATAGCTGTAGCAGCACGAGCAACACTCCTGGGTTCTACAACAGCCAAAGCACCACCCCCACTTGCACCAGCAGTACCTGCAGCACCACTTGCAGCACCACTTGCAGCACCACTTGCAGCTGCATCTGCAGTAGCAGCAACAGCAGCACCACAAGCTCTTCTACCACCTTCCCATCGTCGCTCTCTCTCTCCCGCTGCCCCTCCTGCTCCTCCCTCCGATCCTCCCCCTCCTCCCTATCCATGTCCCCCTCCCCATCGCTCTCCCCATCCCCGTGCCTGTCCCCCTCCCAATCGCTCTCTCTCTCCACGCCCCTCGCTCACATCTCCCCCCCCCCAATCTCTCCGCTTATTCTCAGCCCCGCAAGCCATGAACCCCACCGTATTGCAGCACTCTCTGCCTTGGCGTCCCTGCTGCGATCGCTGACTGATTGGGCTAGCGCGAGGGAGGAGTATGGCAGAGCCAAGCGGGAAAGGGAAAGGGGAGAGTTGGGAGGGGGAGGAGAGAAGGAGGACGAGACGGGTTCTCCAGATGGTTCTGCTGCTGCTGTGGCTGCCGCTGGTACTGGTGTCACTACTACTGCTGCTGCTGCTGCGTGTGCTGATGGCGATGCGGCTGCGAGACTTGGGGATACAGACAGGTTATCATGGGTGCATATGTGTGAGCAGGTACAGCGCAAGCTGCAGTACCATGCCACCATCCACCGCTTCAACGCCCATCCGCACTCCTCTTCCCTCTCCTCCCTCCCATCCTTCCCATCCCCCTCTCCTTCCTCCCCCCTCGCCCACACCTCTTGCATCTCTCCCTCCTCCGCATGCGCCACACCTCCCGCCGCACCTTCCCCCTCTTCCTCTTCCTCCCCTTCCCCTAGCACCATAGCCGTCTTCCTGCGCACGGCGCCTGCGCTCTGTCGCACGGCCATAGGCAGCTATCTGGGGGAGAGAGGCCCGCACGCTGCTGCTGTGCTCGCTGCGTACATGGACTCATTTGACCTCAGGGTACCTCCTTTCCGCCCCCACTCTCTCTTTTTTACCTTATTCACGAGGTTTGATGTGACTCACAACGCTGCTGCTGTGCTTTCTGCTTACATGGTTTCATTCGACCTCGGGGTAACCCCCTCTTTTCCCTCACATGCTGCTACATGCATGCCCGCTCTCTCTCCCTGCATGCGCCTCTGTTTCCATCTAGCCATCTGTTCTCCCCTTTTCCCCTCCGCCCTCACTAACCTGTTTGTCGCCCGTATAGATATTTCTTTCTCCTCCGATTGAAAATCACTCCTCACTATCCCCAAAACCCCCTGGCCGTGCCCCTTCCCTCCCCATCCCCCCCCTAATCAGGGACTGGAGCTAGACGAGGCGATTCGGGTGGTGCTGCAGTGGTTCCGCCTGCCGGGCGAGGCGCAAAAGGTTGTTTGAGCCAGCTCACCTCTCGCCCGTCCCTTCCACCCCCCAACCCCCCACCCCCTTTCCCCTGCCAGGGACTGGAGCTAGACGAGGCGATTCGGGTGGTGCTGCAGTGGTTCCGCCTGCCGGGCGAGGCGCAGAAGATCGAGCGGGTGATGGAGGCCCTGGCAGCGCGCTACTGCACCTGCAACCCTTCAGGACCCCTCAGCGGGCGCCCTTCGACTGCGCACGTGCTGGCCTACTCTATCGTCATGCTCAACACGGACGCGCACAGCCCGTGCGTCAAGAAGAAGATGACCGAGGCCGAGTTTATCCGTAACAACCGCGGGATTGACAACGGCAGCGACCTTCCCGCACCGCTGCTCTCCGCGCTCTACCACCGCATCACACGCAATGAGATCCGCATGCACCATCCCGCCCCTCCTGCCACTGCCGCCTCCTCTTCCTCTTTCTCCTCCTCCTCCTACTCCCCTTCCTCCGCATCCTCCTCCCTTCATCACAACCACTCCCCTTCGTTTTCCTCTCCCCAACTCACTCCTCCTCTCTCTCACTCTTGGTCGTCGTTTTTCTCGCCTACTAACTCCCTCTTCTCCTCCTCCTTTTTCCCCTCTTCGCCCGCTACCCCGTCATCTACTCACTCTACCACATCCCCTTTCGCGCGGTCTCGCTCGCTCCCGCCCCGCACCATGCATAGGCATTCTGAGACTGATCCCCATGCCAGCAGCAGTGGGAGAAGGTGGAAGGGTCTAAGTATGGGGGTGGGAAGGAGCGTGCGAGTTACACTCCCAGCTAGCAAGTCTTTTGGTGGGAAGTGCAAGGAGAATGAGGGGCTGCTGCGTTCGCAGCGAGAGGAGGAGTCGTTATCTCTTACACGAGTTGGTGGTGTAGTTACCACACGTCGCCAGCCCGCAAAGCAGGGCTATCAGCGCTCCTTGTCCCGAAACAAGCTGGGGCATGCGAAGCAGTGCCACCACCAACAACAGCAGCAGCTGCTGCTGCAAGAGGAGCAGTGGTTGCAGCAGCAGGAGCTGCTGCGGAGCATTGAGAGAGAGGAGAGGATCCTGTTAAGGGAGCAGGTTCGGGCAAGCAGTCAGCAAATCCAGTACGCACTCAAACTTCCCTCCTCCTCCTCCTCCTCCTCCTCCTCCTCCTCCTCCTCCTCCTCCTCCTCCTCCTCCTCCTCCTCCTCCTCCTCCTCCTCCTCCTCCTCCTCCTCCTCCTCCTCCTCCTCCTCCTCCTCCTCCTCCTCCTCCTCCTCCTCCTCCGCCTACTCTTCCTACTACTAGTCATATTCATACTCGTCATACATATCCTTGCGTAAAATATGGAAACTTATTCCACATGATCAATGCATCCTGAAGTCTCATTTCTTCTTAACTGTTAACCTCGCTCTCTCCCTTCGTCTCGATTCTCTTTCCTCGGTTTGCTCCCTTCCTCCCTGCCCCTCTGAAACCCCTCTCCCCTCTCCCCTTTCCCCTCTCCCCTTTCCCCTCTCCCCTCTCCCCCATTCAGGTATCCCTTTTTCACTGCCTCAAGTCCCTTGGTCGCCCGGGCCTTGCTCCTGCTCCTCACCCCCCACCTCACACGCGCGCTTCTCACTCTCTCCTCAGCCATTCACCCATCCCATCCCTCCACCCTCCTCCCGCCCCTCACACACACTCCCTCTCTCTTGCACACAACCACCACCGCAACTGCATTTGTCCCCTCTTACAAGACTCCTCAACTCCTCCACCCCCTCTCCTCCTCCAAAATCTCCCCTGGAGGGTTCTCCCCCACTCTCCCTCGCTCCCAGTCCTACCTCTCCTCCTCCTCCAACCCCATTGCCTTCGTCCCTCGCTCCCTCACCCTCTCCCCCTCGTGCTCCTCCTCCTCTCCCTTCACGCCGCTACACCCTGTGCTGCTGCTGTGGGCTCAAGAGGTGCTCGCAGCGGCAGCAGCAGCGGCATCTGCGGTGGGATGCGATGGGTTGAGTCGAGGGTTCCTGCGGTACCATTCAGCTCTGCTTCTTGTGCATGGCTTTCCCTCCGCTGCTGCTACTGCTACCGCCGCTACTACGGCCAGTAGTGCTGGTGGCAGTGATGTTGGTGATGCTGCTGGTGTGGCTGCTGCTGATAGTGTTGGTGCCGCCCCTGCTGCTGCTACTGCTGCTGCTGCGCCGGTGTACTCAGCAGTTGAAGCAGCTGCAGTGTTGTCGGCGGCAGCAGCAGCCGTGGCAGCAGCAGCGGACGAGGCAGCCAGTGAGTTGCGAGCAATAATTGCCTTGGCAGAACCGGCGTTGGCCCAAGGGGCATTAGCAGGAGTGCAATCAGAATCAGGAGCAGCAGCAAAGGCAGTAGGTCCAGTAGGTCCAGTGGGAGCACAAGGAGCAATTGCGAAGGCGGGTGTGAAGCGGGCTGGTGATGTCATGGGAGTGACAGGCATCGGGGCGACAGGAACTGGGATGGCAGGTATTGAGGCTACCGGCACACAGCTGGCCCATGTTGGTGCGGGCAGTTGCTTATCAGGCAAAGTAAGAACCACGCGCTTTTCTGCCCGCCCTATTTGTACTTGTTGCTCGGCTCTTTTCTTGCTCTTTATTCGGCTGTTTTCTGTCGCCAGTTCTTTCTCCCTGCCTGGCGTGCTGTTATGTCGGCGTGTGTGCCTGTGCGTTCGCGTATTCTGTTGAATTTTGCAATTCCTCTGCCCTTCTATCTCGTCTTCTGGTATTGACATGCTCTCTTTTCTTTCCTTTTCTTTTCTTTACAGGAGAGGGCTGCTTTAGAAGCGGCATCACCAACATCGCCACCAGCATCAGCACCACATTTCTCTTCTGCTACAGTGCCCCCATCACTTATGACCATTGCCAGTGCCCATACCCGCACCACGTGCAGCAGCATACTCACAGTCCCAGACGTGGCAGAGTCAACTAACACACTCCAAGGGACAGATACAACCTCCCCCACCGCCACCTCTCCCAATTCTACCTTCACCAGCAACGGAATCCACACCAGCCCGACCCCATCGTCCGCTTTCCCCGGCCCCTTTTGCTCAGATAACCTTTTCGGCCTTTGGCAATGCTCCCTCTTCTCCTCGTGTGTGATCAGTACTGCACAATAGCTGGGTAGGAGGGTGCAAACTCTCTCTACCCTCCTCTTTCCCTCCTCTTTGCTCCTTCCCTTTTGCCTACTGCACTCCACTCCATCACGGCCCATCCCAAGCCAGGGCCCTTCCGCTTCTTGTTCCATCCTTCCCTTCTGTGTAGCCATCAAGCAACATCCTCACTGTAGGGCTGCTAATACACGTTGCTGCCATGTCATGTGGCGTACTCAGGCGTATCCGAACAGAAATGACCAAACGAATTATAGAGTGTTCAATATTATCGTGAACTCTCGCAGACTTGCGCTGGAAAGTAGCAGTCCTGGTACTATCCAGGTCTGACGGTTTAGGTAACCTTTTGCTCACTTCTATATGTGCTTGTAGTACTATATTATGTTCCTTATTAGAGTTGTGAGACCCATGCGTATTTAGCGCATAAAGGATATGTGCGTTTGCGCTTACGCTGCACCAAAGCGACGTACATTTGCAGAAACCATTGCGTGCGGGTGTTCTAGGCTGAAACCCCGTACCTCGCCAAGAGATATCGACCACAAGTCAGCCCCATGCGACTCGACCCTGTCCACGGGCGGTATGGGCTTGCATCAAACAGCTTTGCAGTTTTGGGCGGACGGGCATACAGTTGAAGGCTTGAATTGGATGAACCAGACGAATTTCATCGCATACAATGTTCACTAACATTGTGTGATTCGCGATTCGATACCTTTTGTTTCAAGAAAGACGCTAAGGGCGGATTCCTGGCTTCGGGACATCAGCTCTTTGAGTCCTCCGAAATTTTGGGAACCAATAAAAAATTCCCAATTTCGAGATTCAGGATTTTTGGATACCACGTTTTCGGATGACTCAAAGTGCAGATGTCCCGAAGCTAGGAATCCGCCCTAACTCCGATGCGAAGATCCGCTGTTCAGTTCTGTAGCATACGACTCGACAGAGATGCGTTCAGTCTTTTGCAACCACACCAGCCCTTCTCCAATCACATTCTTCCCCGGCAAAATCAATGATGGAAAATATCTCTTGGCATTCGATTTCCATGTGTGCTGCCCGTGAAACTCATGGTACAGTTTAAACTACTGCGTTTCTAGTGTAATGTACAGTTCAGAACGTCACAATCCTCCTGGATTCTTGCTTTCCCGCCACTCCGGAAACTGTTTACAGAAACTAGTAGAGACAGCAAAAAATATGCACGCGGAAATATCTCAGCCACATTCCGTGAACCCTGTCCTGGAAAGTGCTCCCACTCGCTGTTTCGTCATGATCCTGGCCAATGCTTTTGCTGCAGGCCAGGTGGCAGGATTTCACAATTCAGCCAGGTCGGACGCAACTACACGAGTCGGGAAGGGACAGGAGTCGGGCAATATCTTTCTCATCCATCCTCAATCGACGGACGCTGGGGTCCCGTTCAACAAGCCAGCAGCAAGCGACAGATCATACCGTCCATCGCACCAGACTCTTCAAGATAAGCCTCAAGTAGCCCCGACCACACATGGCACCTGTAAGCAAAAGTGGCCGATATTTCATTCATCGCAGCATGCTGACGGGAAAAGCGCACATTGCTCACGTGGCACTACCTTGGAGACCTCGATGCTCGCTTTTTCCAGCGTAGCTGGCGGTCCGACGCGGCAAGACGCACGTGATTGGTGCATCAAGTGATTTTTTCACTTCGCCTCTCCCCACTCGTGCGCACAAAGCTCGAGGTGCTTGGTGCTCTCCAACCACAGGCTGGCCCACATGCCTTTATCCCGCCTTTGTCTCGCTGGAGCCTGCTTCGGTTCTCGATGCGCCAATTTCGCCGCGCCATTCCCAATGACACGCATGGCGCAAGCTTCGTTGCCGTCAATTCTCCTCCACCTCACCACTCATCCGACAGCGCCAAGTCGTTCTCCCCATCCGTCTCCGTTTCCGCCACAGGAAGCTAGCGACTGGACTACAGTTTCCGCCTACTCCGCCACTGATTTTCCTTATCCCTATCAGGTACCGCCAGCCGAACCTCTTTGAGCATCCCTGCCAGCCATTCACCAGCACGGAAACAAAATCGGTGGTCTTCCTTGGCCCTCTCGTTTTTGTAGGATATATCCAGTTTGTGTGTATTCCAGCCATGGTCGTCGTAGCTTCTGTGCCTGCCCTTCCTCTCTGGTTTCATTTTGAATCTTTGCCTTTACGAGGAGAATCTTGTGAAGTACTTGAGCAACAAGAGACGTTTGTCGACTCCTTTCGTCCTTGACAGCATATTACCGTTATATCGGGTTGTCCATTTATGCAAACGAGCAGCTTATTATCGGCAATAATCCTCTATCCGCCCGCAAGGCAGCAGTACAACAGTTCTCCTGCATCGCATACATGACGTACAGCCTGCAGCGTATGGGTAACTCGGATGTGCTTGTACAAGGTGCTGACTTCCAGCACAAGCGGCAGAGACCTGCGCCGAACTTTGGTGAGGAAGACAAGGAAACAGCAGGGCTGTCGACCCCTTGCGCTGAGTCCCAGAAGCTCAAGCGGCAGCGATCGCAGCAGCTAAATCTCAATCCCTTGTGTCTCCCCACCCTTCCTTCCGGGACTCGGCCAAACGTTCCTTCCCTGGCTAACGGAGATAGTTCGCATGGCGCTGTGCATCCAAAGAAGAAGAGCCTTGTCCCTGTAAGTGGGTCAGGGCACGGTGGACGCGTTCCTACAACAGCAGGAGCAGGAGCAGGAGCAGGAGCAGGAGCAGGAGCAGGAGCAGGAGCAGGAGCAGGAGCAGGAGCAGGAGCAGGAGCAGGAGCAGGAGCAGGAGCAGGAGCAGGAGCAGGAGCAGGAGCAGGAGCAGGAGCAGGAGCAGGAGCAGGAGCAGGAGCAGGAGCAGGAGCAGGAGCAGGAGCAGGAGCAGGAGAAGCAGCGGGAGTCCGTGGAGAGAGCTTTTTGTGGACTCGCTGTTGGACGGAGGATGCTCACAACGACTTTCTTAACTGGATGGAGTCGGAGTTCGTATCCCGGATGTACTCGCGGGCTTACTGCCACGAAGACATATGTGGATTGAGCAGCGTTCCAGTGCCGCACGGACAGCAGAAGATGAATCCAGAAGGAATGACACGAGATTTGCACCATGTTTTGAGGCCTGCACACGACCAGCTGGAGCAGCAGCAGCACCATGGTCAGCAGCCACGAGGCTTTAACCAACCATTCTTGAGCCACCATGTCAGCGAGCAGCAGGAGCAAGAGCAGCATCAGCATCAGCAGCAGGTGCAGCAGCAGCAGCAGCAGCAGCAGCAGATGTTACAACCGCAACAGCTCTATGCTCCATGGAACAAATTTCTTTCTCAGCGCCCCGGCCTCCCAACCCAGTACGACCTCACGTCAGCTGACACCGGCGCCACCCTTGTTCCAGGAGCCTCCGTCCCCACTCTTGCTGCTCCGTGCTGCAGTGGCACCGGCTCCTTCTCCCCGCATCTGAACTCGGAGTTACTTGTTCCAGAAGCTTCTGGTTCTGTTGGGTCTTGCTGTCGTGCTCAAGGCGATGCTAGTGGTGCGGGGGATCCGTGTGGGGAGGAGGAAGAACCGGGCGAGTGCGCTATTTCTAGTTCGAGGTTTATAGACAGTGAGGACGTGGGGGGCCGGAAGGAGGTAGGGCTAAGGAATCTTGAAGAAGGTCTGTCAAGAGGACAGCACTTGCAGCAGGTCACCATTCAGAACACCGGCTGTTTTGGCGTGCCACAGTTTGTGAAGGATTTGAAGTTTCCAGCCACAATTGTCGGGTATGCAGTCCCTCCCTTCTGTAGGGATGGTGTAGCAGTGGCCTCCATGGTTCCTTCCCTTGGCCTTCCTGTTTACCTACCACCTGTTCCGCCTCCACTGGGTGCTGCTGCTATTATGGTACCCTCAGCTGCTCCATCCATGTGCGTTATGCAGGCATCGGGTATGCTGCCCAGCATAGGACCAGGCTCTCCATTTCCCCGCACCAACAGACCATGGGTGTTTCAGGCTCCCAGGGATGCTGTGTCTCAGCCTTCTTTCAGGAAATAAGGTTCAAATAGTAGTTCATCCGTAGTTCTATGGTGCAAAACTTATCATTCCGGTGCATAGTTGCCAATTTGTAAATAATAATAATTTCTATGGGTTGGCCCCTTAGTTTGTGGTAATGTTTCTCAAATGTGCGGTGTTCTGGGGAAAGAGAACTTGGAAAAGCTAGTGGGGCTGCTCCAATGTTTGCCAGAATCTTTCGCAGTTGTCACGCTGCCGCGAAGTTCGCCATCGGTTAGAACATGCCCAGCTTCACTGTTGCAGCGCACATCGATTGTGCTGTTACAACTGCATGTCGGCGCACGAACCAAGCATCGCACAGCCAACTTTGTTCGCACAGTGGACAAGTTCCAGCTCGCGCCGCGGAAGCTCGAAAGTCAATCCCAGAAGCGAGATTGCGCCTCGTGGCGAAATTCGCTATATGGTCTGGTTTCGTCGGTATTCGTCAACATAGACGAAGTCCTCTCATAGATTAATTTGGCCTGTCGCTCGTGGAGAAGTAACCAGGTTTCGCTGCTTGTGCTGCTTCTTTGTTGTTTCTGTTCTACCCTCTCTCCTTCCCATCCATCACTTCCCTTCACGGCAAACCATCCTGCTGGGCGCTGTGTTTTCCTCCTGGTCCTTTCAGACGTGCATGGCATGGCAGGGCATCACCACCACCTCCAAGTTTCAACCCTTTGAGACGCGCTAAGCCGCTCTAACACATCACAACCGCGTAGCGATACTCAATAAACCTGCGGGGCTGGAATCAAATCGCGCCGCACGCGTACAGCGGGTAGCATAAATGACTGTAAACCACATCCTCTAACACCAGCGAATGCGGGCGAAGATATCCTATTTCTCAACGCCAGCCTTACTAATGTTCGACAATTCCGTCGGAATTCTATCCTATAGCGCGACACTGCTCGACCGGCACATTCGCCCGCTTCGCACATAAATCGCCAACTTTATCTCACGACACGGGAATGTCCGCGTGTCGCGCATCCGGTCGAGGATTGGCCGTCGCTGCAGCCACAATCCTCTTCCTCCTCTTCCCGAATCACCCCTCCATTCCGCTCTCTTTAATCCCGCTCACCGCGCAAGCCGCCAGCAGCAAGCCATGGATGGGCGTGAACCTCGGCGTGGGCCTCTCCTCGAACCCCGTGTCGCTCACGCGAGCCGTTGCCATCATCAAGCAGCGCGGCTTCAGCGCCGTCAAGCTCTTCCAGCCGGATCCGACGGCGCTGAATGCGCTGGCTGCATCGGGCCTGCAGGTGATGACGTGCGTGCCCAACGAGCGCCTCGGGGATTTCGCGAAGAGCGACTCGGCGGCTCTCGCGTGGCTGGACGCGAATATAATGCCATTTATGTCGAAGACTAATATACTCGCCATCGCGGTATGTCGATGCCGCACGGATTTGTGCTGCTCAAATTTTCCCGTCTCGCACGTCCCGGCTGGTTTTGCAGTTTCCTCCCGTTTCAGCACACCTTCTCACCTACTCAACGCACTTCCTCACCCACCCAGCAGAAGTGTTCTCTCCGCCTTTCCACCCACCTTGCATTTCACTCTCTCCCCCGTCCTTCCAATCCATTCCCGGCGTTTCGTTGCAGGTGGGGAATGAGGTGCTTTCCCCTGACAACCCATTCCTCGGTTATGTCGTACCCGCTATGGAGTCACTCTACAAGGCACTCACGGCTCGCAAGCTACACCGCAGAGTGAAGCTGGTCACGCCGCAGCACATGAGCTTCCTGCAGGACACGTACCCGCCGTCGAGCGCGCAAGTGGTGCCGAGCGTAAGAGACGAGGTCACCAGGCTGCTATCGTTCCTCAACCGAACAGGTAGGCCCTTTCAACTCATCAATACACGTCTGAACCGAACAGCCAGGTCCTTTCATTGCGCTGCAACACACGCTCAGGGGAGCAGACCAGAAACAGAGCAGCTTGAGAGTTAACCTTATTACCTACAAACTCGCCCACCCATCTGCGTCTGTGCTGCCCCCTCTCAGGCTCGTACGCCGTGCTGAACGCCTACCCCTTCTTCTCGTACCTCGCCGACCCGGTCAACATTCCGCGCGATTTCGTGTTCTTCAAGGGCGGCGCGGGGAGCTACGACGACAAGGGGCGGCGGTACAGCAACATGATGGAGGCCACCATCGACGCCGCGCTCTGGTCCTTCGAGAAGCTCGGCTTCCCCAACATGCCCTTCGTCGGTGAGCTTGCCGTGGCAGGGAATTGTACCTCCCTCACCCACTCGCATTTCTGCTCCGATATCTCCCTCCCCCCCCCACCTCCCCCCTCCCCCCCCCCCTCCCCACCCCCCCCCCACCACCACCACCACCACCAGCAGCACCATCTAGACTCTCAGTCAATGCTCCCCTCTCTCCACCCCGCCACTCCCCACTCCCCCTCCCGTCCCCATCCAGTGGGCGAGACAGGGTGGCCGACAGCGGGAGCAGCCATCGCCTCCCCTTCAGCAGCCAAGGAGTGGAACACGGGGCTGGTCTCGTTCCTGCTGTCCGGCCGCGGCACGCCCAAGCGGCGCAACTCGCCCATCCGCGCGTACCTCTTTGAGATGTTTGACGAGGACCGTAAGGACACGACCATGGGTGGGTTTGAAACCTCCTGGGGGCTGTATACCATGCAGGGCGACCCCAAGTACTCGTTGAGTGTGCCGGGTGGTGCTTCCAGTGGCGGTAATGGCAGCAGCAGTAGCAGCAGCGGTGGTGGTGGTAGCAGCAAGAGCAGCGGTGGCAGCAGTGGTGGTAGCAGCAAGAATAGATCTTCTGGAAGTGGTAGTGGCAGTAGTGGTGGTGGTGGCGCTTCACTCAAATGGTGCATTCCAAAATCCACTGCGACAAAGCAGGCGCTTAGTGACGCAGTCGCATGGGCTTGCTCTAGCAGTGGAGGCGGCATGAATTGCGGCGCTCTCATGGCCAAGTGCCCTGACTCCAGCAAAGCTACTGTCGTTTTCAATGAGTGGTATCAGCGGGAGCGCCAGCACCCTGCTGCATGCGACTTTGCTGGTGCTGCAACGACCACCACTAAAGATCCTTCCCCATCCTCCCAATGCAAACTAAGAGGCCAACCCTGAAGAGCGATTGGATAAGCTGTTGGTGTGTGAGGATTACCACACCTTATTTTTGTTTGCCTGTAAGCTATTAATAACATTAGTGTATACATTGTGTAATGTATGAACCCAATGCCTAAACCCATGATTTTTGTAACCTATAAACCTATTGCCTCGCATTTTACAGGAGTGCGAGTTGGGCTGTGCCCTCTACAGAACATCTTATTTTTGTGCAGTTGTCTGTACTACCGTAAGGCTTGTTCGTAGGGTTGATGGCGATCCATCACTTTTTGTATCTTTGACAAACATATACGGTGTATTGAAATGAGTTTGCGAACATTGTAACGGACACCGACAGAGGACGAAGATTGGGGGACATCTATTCCGCCACGTAGATCCCCTCTGCTCACCTCCACCGCCAATCGGTTCCTTGTCGATGACGCCACATCGTCAGCAGCAACACCCAAGATTTGGTCTTCCTTATCCACGTGTGCTTCGACAACGACGCGAATATTCCTTCAACCGTCTTCAAACGTTGAGTACCGAGGTTCCAGCTTGTAGGGGTGGTTTTGACATTTCTGGGCGATACTGTACGGTTCTTATTAATGTAAGAGCGTTTGAAATGTTTGCGCTTTGGTAACTGGACATCAGAAAATTGTTCTCAACTTATGCACAGATCCCCCCGCAGCTTCAATCATCGCTGCAATTTGTTCGGTTCCTAGGTTCTCCACTTCCGCGTCGCACCTTCACATCGCTGATCGTGTTGGGCTTACTGGACGGCGGAGTTGGTAAATCGGCCCCAGCGCGCAGCATGGCGTCTCTCGCCAGCGTTTCGTTGACGACTCCCGTTACCACCGCCACCGCACTCGCCGCTTCTTCAAGCGCGGCACGTGGCAACAACCTGAACGTCAAGAGCAGCGTACCGTTGCGATGTGTCACCCCAATGGCGTACGTTCAGTACCGTGTCGGAGTAATGGCCGCACGCATATCCTTCCTGTTCGACGCATTTCGTCACAGTCGCTGTTTCTCGATTTCTTCTCCCCTCCTCCACTCCCCTTCCCCTCCCTCCCATCCCACCCCTTCCGTCCTTTTTTAGCTTTAAATATACATTTCTTGTTGGACTTTTTTTTTACAATAAGAATGCGCATCTCCCTTCCCCATTCCTTCCTCCCGTTCCGTTCATTAGAACCAGATAACAGAACAAAATTTAGTACCCGCTCCCCTCTCCCCCCTCCTCCCCTTCCCCCCGCCCCCCTTCTCCCCCACCCCCCCTCCCCCGCACCTATATCCGCGCCAGCCGGCCCGCCGTTCGCTGCCAGGCGGAGCCAGCGCCAGTAGCGGCGGCGGCGGCGGCGCCGTCAGCGGTAGCGGCCCTGCCGTTCCGCGTGGGGCATGGATTCGACCTGCACCGGCTGGAGCCGAACCTTCCCCTGATCATCGGCGGGGTGAACATTCCGCACGACCGCGGGTGTGACGCGCACTCCGACGGTAAGAGCACGGGGGGGGAGGTGGGGAGGGGAAGGGGGGCGGGAGGGAAGCGGGGGAGGGAAGGGCGGGGTGGAGGGGGTCGGGAGGGGAATGAAGAGGGGAGGGGGAATGTACAGGGCGTGAGGGGGAAATGAACAGGCATGCCGAAGCAAGGAACATTGATTCAGGCAAAAATCTGTATGGCGAGAGGGGAGGGAAGTGGGTTTGGCGCGAAACTGGGACTGCGTTCTGCCCCTAATTAGGGTTGCGAGAGCATATAAGGAAGGAACGACAAACGATATGAAGAATGGGAGAAGGAAAAAGGAGCAGGCTGTTACCCTTTCCCCACACATGGCGCCTTGATTCATGCATCCATGCTACCATGCCTCTCCACCTTACACACGCCGCCCCTGCCACTCCTCCTCCTCCTCCTCCTCCTCCTCCTCCTCCTCCTCCTCCTCCTCCTCCTCCTCCTCCTCCTCCTCCTCCTCCTCCTCCTCCTCCTCCTCCTCCTCCTCCTCCTCTTCCCCCCCCCCCCCCCACCCCCCCCCCCCCTTCTTCCTTTCCCGCTCCTCGTTCCCGTCCCCCTCCTCCACCCCGCCCTTCCTCCCTCCCTCGCTCGTCTGCCCGGTTCGCCCATGCCCCACCCTCTGCTGCGTCCCTCCTCGTCCGCTGTACAAAGCACTTGCCCTCTGCTTTCCTGGTGAATGTTCCAGACATTGCTCACATTCATTCCCTGGTGAGCCTCTCTCTCCCCGTGTTCTTAAGCAACCTCACATTCACCCCACTTTTCTCCCTCTACCATCTGCCACCCCCCTCCTCCGCCTGTGTGCTGCCCGCCTGGCAGGTGATGTGCTGCTGCACTGTGTGGTGGACGCGGTGCTGGGAGCGCTGGGGCTGCCAGACATTGGCCAGCTCTTCCTGACAACGACCCCAAGTGGAAGGGCGCTGCCTCCCACCTCTTTCTCGAGGAGGCGGTGAGTTGGTGGACGGGAAGAGCAGCAGCTGAGGACCTTGTTGGCCTTGGATGTGGATTTTCAATTGCTGCTTTTTATTTTGTTTCAGTGCTGTTCCACTCGCCGTACATGCGTACTTCATGCATAGAGTGAGTCTTTTCCCTCCCAATGCCCTGTGCCCTGTGCCCCCTGCCATGTGCCCTGTGCCCTGTGCCGTGGCGATGTTCTTTGGTGTTGTGCGTCTGTGTGGGGTGCAGGTGCGGCGCATGCACGAGGCAGGGTACACGGTGGGCAACCTGGATGCCACTGTCATTCTGCAGAGACCCAAACTCAGCCCGCACAAGCCCACGATCAAGGCCAACCTCGCTGCCTTGCTCCAGGTTCGCTCATTCCTGTGTCTCCTATCCTGTTTTCCTTCGTTACACCTCTCCCCCCTCGCCCTTCTCCTTTTTATCTCATTTCTTACCCCACGGTACATTGATCACATTATTGTGGATCGTTTCGACGAGGATCTAGCGATTGTGGATGTTTTGCTGATCATGATTTAAGCTGATTTTTTTTTACGGCATGAACTTCTTGACCTGTCTTCCACAGGCACCAGAAGAGGTCATCAATGTGAAGGCCAAGACACACGAGAAGGTGGACAGTCTTGGGGAGAATAGAAGTGTTGGTTGCCACTGTGTTGTGCTTTTGATGCGCAAAGAATAAACCACGGGAATACTAGAAACTCTGAATATGGAAAGCGCATGGATTGTTGAACGTGAGAATTGTTGATCGTATAGAGTGCAAAGGTAATGCAAACATTGTTGTCATGAGCAATCATATGGATATAATATGTGGTGGTTTCATGCAACCTAAGAGAATTTGGCCAGATAATTTGGACGTACCTCGTTACAACGTATTCGTCACTGTTGTAGTGTACAAAGCTGCTCTAACCTTCCCCAACCAGACCGTGAGCCCTCGCGTCGCGCAGCAGCCGCCGCCGCTCTGGGTCAACATGAGGAAAAACACAAGGATGTTCGCTCGCTACCTCCCCTCTCAGGTACGGCTGGGGCGTGTGCCTCCCAAATGTTTGTGACAGTCGAATACCGCACTCACTCGTTAAAAACCGTGAAGCACCTGAGGTAACCGCGCTGGAACAGGTTCAATGGAAATGGGAGAGAAGAGATTCTGTGGGGTGTTGAATGGCAGTTGGTCGTGCTGATACCCCGTACGGCAGTGATTGTCTCACCAAACGCCGTGCTTGGCTGAACTGCTAGGACGGCGGTAACGTCACGGTGCATTAGCTCTTTTACTATACCATTCCTTACTGCGCGTTCCGTAATACAGTAGAAGGTGTCGATCACGACAGCTCAGCACCTCTCGCACGCCTCTGCGGCTCACGGCTGTGAAGGAGATGCAATCAATCCTATCCTAACATGTTTTGCATGTCTGTGCCTGCGTCACGTGGTCGCCGCGTGAAATAACATTGCTGGTACTGTTTCTGCCACCAGTGGAGGAACGTTGCATCTGAAGAAGCAGGATCGATCGATCGCAAGAGAGCATCTTCCGCCAAGAAAACTCTGCCTATCACGTGGCTCTGTGTGAAAATCGACGTCGTGTCGACGTCGCCCGTCGCAATCGCGTCGACGTCGCGCCGCAATTGGGTCGAGGCCGCGTCGGGCTAATGTGACCGTTGTCGTCAAGCTGACGCCGAGGTGTCATTTAGCGCAGATTTTCGAGGCGCCTCTGAGTCAACTCACGCGCCTGATCCGACGACCACCGATATGCGCGCGAGAGCACATCGGGGCGCGTTAGAAGCTAGTCGCAGGAGTCGCAGCGATCGCAGCAGCAGAAGCAGAAGCAGAAACTGTCGCAGCGCCGGTGATCCCCATGGTAGCTGGAGCACCGACGGTGACACAATTACAACCACCACCCGATTCGTTGAACAACGACGCGATGGTATGCAACTGCTGCGGCGTCCACGCGAGGAGCCGGACGAGCAGCAGTGGCAGCAGCGACGGCAGCAACGGCAGCAGCAGCGGAGAGCGACGCACGCTGCTTGCCTGCCACAGCGGCGGCACTCGACTACGCGCCGCGGCCGCGTAGCTCGCGGCATAGTAGGTCGTGGCGGCTCCGTGCCGCGCGACGGGGCGCTGCGCGGCATGCTGGTGCCTCTCGTGTGTCTCGTGCTCGCTAGCAGCACGGCGACCAACGCGCCGCACCTACTCGCCGAATCGCGGCCCTGCGACACCTCTGCTCCTCCTTCTTCTGCTCCTCCTCATGCTGCTGCGGCCTCGCCTCCCCGCGCCCGCAGTTCCGCTGCTCCCGCGTGGTTCGGTCCGCTGCTGCTTGCCTCCGCTGCTCCTACCAGCAGACGCCTCTCGGTGGGTGCAGCTTTTTGAGTGGCGTTGGAAGGTGGAATGGGATGGAGTACAGTGCAGTGCGGTGCGGTGTGGCAGCAAAGTTTTCTCGCGCGTGCTTGCTGGCTCAAATAGAGCGTATATGTGGAAAAGGGGGGGAGTGGGGAAGGGCGGAGAGGGGGGAGCGGGGCGAAAGGAAGGGGGAGAGGAGGAGGGGAGGTGTGGAGAAATAAGAGCCGGTGTGTGCATCTAAACCACTATTATCGAGCCAACTTCAGTCGACCCAAACACTGCTGTGTGCATTTGCGCTTGTTTCCTCTCAATTCTCCCCCTCCTCCTCCCCCCCACTCCGCCACCCCCACACACTCTCCTCCCACGCACTCTTGCCCTCCAGCCTCACCCACCCTTCTTTCCCTCCCTCTCTTCCTTCAACCCCCCCGCCCCCACCTTTCCTGGACAGACAGCAGACAGTGAGGTGTGGAGGGCGGCGTGGGCTGTGGGTGGGTGGAGCACGCGGCGAAAAAAGGTGAGTGCAGGGCAGGGAGGAGGGCCGGAAGGGGGGAGAATTGGCGGCATGCAGTCCTCTCTCTTTCGCCGCTGTCCTTGTCGTGCATTCTTTTGAGGCGCCCCAAAAGTCAGCGGCACCTCTCACTCACTTCTCTCTTGTACCTCTCTCTCCTTCGCCCCTGTTCCGTTGACATGCAGTTTCCACGAGAAGAGACTCTGAGGGACGCGAAAGGGAGTGGCAGGGAGGGTAGGGACGGCAGAGGAGTGGCGAATGCAGGCATGGAAGACACCCTGAGCTACTTCGACGGTGCAGGCTCACAGCAGCAGCCGGTGAGAGGAAACGTGGTGTGATGCAGTGCGTGCATGTACTACACACAGCACAGACGGGAGTGGTCAGTGCAGGCAGGCATGGAAGACACACTGAGCTACTTCGACGGTGCAGGCTCGCAGAAGCAGCAGCCAGTGAGAGGAAATCAGGTGTATTCAACCCTCTCATGAGAAAATCAATCTGAAAAGACACACAGGCATTGAGGAAACCTGGAGGTTCTTTAACGTCCGTCTAGGCCTGCATAATGCAGGCGCTTCCTCCCTCTCTTTCGCCCCTCTTCCTTCCCCCTAACTCTCCCTCCCCACCCCTCACCTCTCGCCGCTCTTCCTCCCTGACCCCCTCTTTGCAGCACGACGGTTCCCCCTTCACTCGCCACTCCACGTCGTCCCGCTTCGTCCTGCCCTCCTTGTCCACATCCTTTTTCTGGACTACCGGACCACGGCCATCAAGCACAAGCACAGCCGCAGCAGCAGAGTCAGGGTCAGCAGCAGGGACAGGGACAGTGACGGGGACAGAAAGTGCCCCGGTTGTGCGCACGCGCGTGCAACCGTTCAATGGCACCATGCAGACAGTGTCCACGAATGGCAGGTATTTGATCTCACTAGATAAAGTGGCGTGGGCATGGCATGGCATGGCATGGCATGGCACAGCGTGTCGTAGCATTGCTAGAGCACAGGCATGCAATCGTGCACAGGTCAGGCCTGAAAAGCCGCTCACAGACACACCTGCACTGCACTCACTCACTTACTCACTCACTCACTCACTCCGTCACGTCACCTACCATCACTCCTGCCCGCACCTCTTCCACACTCCCCGCGTCCTCCATACTCCATCCATCCCTCATTTCCCATCATCCCTTTCCCGGCCCCTATCTCCCATTCCCTATCCCCATCGTCCATCCCCCTGCCCTCCAATCTCCCCCATGCTCCCCCATGCTCCCCCCGTGTTGCCCCCGTGTTGCCCTCCCCCAGCCCGTTCCTGACGGAGGTGCGGGTGGGGGCGGGCAAGCAGCGGTTGATAGTGCTGGTGGACACGGCGTCGGACCTCTTCTGGCTGCCCTGCAACTGCATCCACTGCGCCGATCAAAGTTCCGTGCCTGGCGTGGTGCGTGAAGGCGCGGGGAGGGGAGAGGGAAAGGGAGAGGGGAAGGGAGAGGGGAAAGAGCAGGAGTAGGGGAGAGGGGGACAGGGGAAGAGGGCGAGAGGGGGGGAGGGAGAGACAGAAAGGCCGCGTTTCACTTTCTCCAGTTCTTCTTGCTCATCCCAAACCCTCCTCTCACTCCTTACCGCCTCTCACCCTCTCCCCCATACTTCCCCCGCTGCCATCCTGTTCATTGCCCCTCTCACCCCTCCACACCCAACCCCACCAGCTTTAGAGCCACCGTACGAGTAACCCAGCCCTCTCAGCCTCCGTACTAATTCCTTCCGCCCCTCCCCATCCCTCCCTGCTAACCCTTCCCCCCTCCCTCTTGTCACCACCACCAACACCACCACCACCACCACGATCAGCCCGTGGAACCTCCGTACGACCCAGCGCTGTCAGCGACCTCGCAGTCCATCTTCTGTCGCTCGCCCGCATGCACGTCCTTCGCAGCAGAGGACAAGACGGCGTCCGTGGGCTGCCTCGTCTCCTCTGCACTGCCAGCGCCCGACCCGCTGTGCCAGTACGCGGCCACCTACACGGGGCCGGAGGGCGGCAGCGTGGGGGACCTGCTAAGAGATGCCCTGCACGCTGCCGTTTCAAAAGGCACCAGCGCTTCTGCCAACGTGACTTTCGGGTGAGGCGAGCGGTGCTGCTAGCTTGGGAGTGTTTGGTGGTTGGGAGGTGGAGGGAGTGACGGTGATTGGGGGGGAGGGGAGAGAGAGAGGGAGTGGATGAGTGGAGGGGTGGAGGGGGAGTGACTGGGTGGGTGGGTCTGCTGCTCTGCTGCTGCAGCATCGAGGTTGGCTCTAAGCTGAGCTGAGTTGAGATGCCAGGCCTTGCGGCCTTGCTGTGTGCGCTTTCCCCACCACGTCACATCACACGCCACACACATTACCCCACCTCGTGTGCATGCCTTATACCAGCCCAACCAAACCCATCCGATCCCATCCGACCACACCCCACCCCACCCATCCCCACCCCACCAGGTGTGGCCGGTACCAGACTGGCTTCCTATCCGGCAGGAGCGCAGCACCGAACGGTGTATTCGGCATGGGGAGGGGGGCGCTGTCCCCTCTCTCTCGCAGCTGTCAGCGCAGGGCGCCATGAGCAACGCCTTCACCCTCTGCATGGAGGGGGATCCGGTCGCCCGCGTCACTGCCTTTGCCGCTTCTGCCGCTGCTGCTGCTGCTGGGGTGAATGCGGAGGGTGTGGGAGGCGGCGCGGGGAAGCTGATGATGGGCGTGAAGGGCGTGCCTGCTGGCGCGCAGTCGACTCCCATTGTGTCCAGCGACTTTGAGTGAGTGGCAGGCATTGAAGATGAGGGGTGGGGGTGGGGTGGGGGTGGGGTTGAGATGAGAGGTGTAAGGGTGGATGAGTGTACGGGTGGATGAGAGGATGGCTGAGTAAATTGAATCAGGAGCATCTGTACCACATCTTGCATCAATAAACCCACCCCCATCCCCTCCCCTCTCTCCCTCCACCCTCCCATCCCCGCCCACCCCATGCAGGCCCTTCTACTTCATCAACGTCACCGGCATGGCAGTGGGCAACGCCACGCTCTCCCTGCCGCGCTCCGCCTTCCCGCCCCTGGACGCCTCTGGCAACGGCGGCACCGTTCTCGACTCCTCCGCATCCATCACTGTGCTGCCCACACAGGCATACCAGGCCATGGCCACTCAGGTGAAAACAACAGATTGGGTTTACCAGGCCGTGGCCACTCAGGTGAAAACATCCCCTTTACCTCGTCAGCCCTTCACCCTGTCGCCCCTTCACCCCCTCACCCAACTCACCCAACTCAACCCCTTCACTGTGCGCACGCCCTGCACCCCTTAGTCCCCTTCGACCCCTGTGAGCCCGCATGTCATGCCTCACTCACACGTGCGTGGGGTGGGGGGAGCAGTACCTGGTGGCAGTGCCACCGTGCCGGACCTTGCAAGGTCCTGAATGACGACCGTACTCTCAGCGACCGACCAGCAAGGAATCGACAGCCTTTCGAATTGGTCGCAAACATTACCACGCGCACTTTGCAACCCCGTTCTTTCCCTTCACCCACCCACCCACCCACCCACCCACCCACTTCCACGGCGCGGGAGCAGTACCTGGTGGCGGTGCCGGGGTTGAAGTACGACTATACTCTCAGCGACCAGCAAGGAGTCGACTGCCTCAACGCCTCCGCCTACGCCCAGTTACGTTCTACCCTCCGCAAACCCCTTCCTCTCCTTACCCCCCCGTCCCCCCCGTCCTTCCCTCCTCCCCTCCCCTCTCCTCCTCCCTTTCCTTTCCTCCCGCCGTTCTTTCCTCAACCCCTTGCCGTTTACTCTCTCTGTACCTTTCTTCCGCCGTTCTTTTCTCTGCATTGCCTCGCCTTGACCTGTCGCTCCCGCCTTCTTTCCTCCCTCCACGCATACCACACAACATCAAACACACATCCTCCCTCCTGCTTTCAAACTCCTCTTCCTCGCCTCAAATCACCTCCACCCGCTTCTCACCTCCCACCTCTCTCGCCCTCTCACAGGCCAACAGAGAGCGCCTTCCTCGCGCAGTTTCCCACGCTCTCTCTCATTCTCGCCGACGGAGCACTCTTCACAGTGCAGCCCTCAGCATACCTCTACCTCGTCAGTCACCACTCCCACCTCAGCTTTTCAGTCACCCTTTTTTACTTTTCCAGTCACCCTTTTCTTCCCAGTTACCCTTCTCTACGTGTTTTCCAGTCAACTCTCTTCTTGTACTTTTTTCTCAATTTCCCCCTCCCTCCCCCCCTGACTCCCCTCGTATCCCCCCTCCACCTATCCGCCCCTGCGCCCTTCTCAGGTGCGGGCGGACGTGATTTGCTTCGCCATCACCCCCCGCGCTCAACAGCAATCAGCACACCATCATCCCGGGTCCGTCAGTCAGGGTCTGGGTCTGTCTGCACACGCCATATTGGGCATGCAGACTCGCTCACCATCATTCTCCCAGCACTCCGGCTCATCTCATCATGATCAGCATATGATGTACCAAACCAAGCAAGCAACCGCTATTTGGTGACTCAGTACCACGCGTGCCCTGCAATCCCTCTTACTCACCCGCTACATGCTCCCCTCCCCTCCCCTCCCCTTCCCCTCCCCCCGTGCAACGCAGACTCGTGGCTGACCAACCGCTACATGGTGTTTGACAATGAATCCAACAAGCTCTCCTGGCTCGACACCAACTGTGAGTGCCAGCAGGGGGGACGGGCAGAGGGGATGAGGGAAGGAAGTGGATGAAGGGGGGAGGAGGGGAGTGGGGGAGGTGGGAGTGGGGGAGGTGGGGAGCTTGGAAGTTCAGGGGCACAGGGGAGGGCCAGGTGAGAAGAGAATAGAGGGCGGCAAGGGGAGGGAGGGTCAGGGGGGGAGAGATTAGAGGAGACGGACAGAGGCATGCAGGAACGGGTCCAATCCATTAAAGTCTGCGGAGTTGGTGGTTTATCTACCAGTGGAAGCATGTGAGAAGAGTCGGAGCACATGATCGGAATATTACTATTGATATTGTTACTATTTGACCAGAACAACTGCAGGGTAAGCAGTTTCAAACTTTCTATTGTCTTCCTCTCCTCCTCCCCTCCCTGTTTCCCATCAGGCACCACTGGTTTCAGCGACATTGTCGACTCCCTCCCTCCTCCCGCTCCTTCTCCTCCTCCTGCTCCGCCTGCTCGTCCTTCTCCTCCTGCTCCCCCTGCTCCCCCTGCTCCCCCTGCTCCCCCTGCTCCTCCCACATCCACTCTGGCCTTCCCCACCATCCACCACCGCCCCCCCATCCCCAAACACCACCACCACACCTCCCCCCGCATCTGTCAACTCTCCTCCCTCCCCCATCACCAGCAGTCCTTCCCCCCCACCATCCTCCAACGCTCCTTCCTTCCCCAATTCCACCACCATCCCTCCCCCTCCAGGTGCCAACTCTCCCCCCTCCCCCGCTACCAACAGTCCGCCCCCCCCACCATCATCCCCTCCTCGCCCAGGCAGCAGCGCCGCCTCCCCCCCAACTCCCCCTCCCCCCCCTGGCGGAATCTCAGCCCCTTCCCCCCCTGGCGGAGTGTCAGCCCCTTCCCCCCCTGGCGGAGTCTCATCCCCTCCCCCTCCTGGAGGAGTCTCACCCCCTCCCCCCCCTGGCGCAATCTCAACCCCACCTTCCCTGGGGGAGCATCACCCCCAGGGGTCATTCCTTCTTCCCCCATAGCCCCTCCTCCTTCCCCTGGCCCACCTCTCCCTCCCGGCGCTTCTAACCCCTCCATTGCTCCTCCCCCCTCCGTCTCTCCTCTTCCCTCCTCTCCCCCCCCCCCTCCCCCTCCCCCTCCTCCCCCTCCTCCCCCTCCTCCCCTCCTTTCCCCTGCTCCCTCCTGGAGCCTCAGCCCCCCCTTCTCCTCCCGTCTCCCCCTCTCCTGCTGCTCCTCCTTCGTCCACACCACCATCCCCTGGAACAACAAACCCTACCCCCTCGTCGCCCTCTTCCCCCTCTTCTCCCCCTTCTCCCCCGCTTCTCCTTCTCCTCCATCCTCCCCCTCTTCTCCACCAAGTGCACTGTCCCCAGAACCCCCCGAAATCCCCCAACCCCCACCATCTTCTTCCCCTTCCTCCTCCATTCCCCCTTCCGATTCCCCCTCTTCCCCTTCCGATTTCCCCCCCTCTCCCCCTACCCTCCCCGCGTCCCCCCCTCCGCCTGGAACCACTCTAGGCCCATCTGCCTCCCCCAGTGCTCCTGCTCCTTCCGCCCCTGACCTACCCCCCTCACCCCCCACACCCCCCCACATCCCCCTCACCCCCCTCAACCCCCTCACCCTCCTCAGCCCCCTCACCCCTCTCACCACCAATTGTGGAACCCCCTTCCCAATCCGCCCCTCCTCCCATCCTTCCCCCAATCCCTCCTCCCACTTCATCCCCCTCCCCGTCCTCCTCACTGTCCCCCCCTCCCTCTTCCCCTTCGCCCTCCGCCCCTTCCCCATCAGCCCCTTCCCCCTCCGCCCCTTCCCCATCCTCCCCATCCTCCCCTTCCCCCTCCTCTCCATCCGCCCCTTCCCCCTCCTCTCCATCCGCCCCTTCCCCCTCCTCCCCTTCCACCCCTTCGTCCCCTTCAACCTCCTCCCCTTCCACCCCTTCGTCCCCTTCCCCCTCCTCCCCTTCCACCCCTTCGTCCCCTTCCCCCTCCTCCCCATCCCCATCCACCCCAAGCGACCCCTCCGCCTGCATCCCCTCCCCCTCCACCTGCTCCTTCTTCTTCGACGGCTATCAAGGCCAGATCCCAACATTCCAGCTCAACCCCTTGCAGGTACGTTGAAACTTGACATCACTTCTGAGAATTCTCAGAACCAACCCCAGAATTTTCCAAACCGATCCCTTTGCCTGTTCTGTCTTCTTTTCGAGGGATTGCAACTCAACCGTCAGATACCCACGTTCCACCTCAACCCAACTGAACCCCTGTGCAGGTGGGCGGAGGGGGGGACATACGGCTGTCGTCCGCAGGGCTGCGCGCGAGCGTGGGCAAGTATGTGGCGCGTGTGGTGGCGGGTAACAGTGGCGCGGGAGAGGTGGTGTGTCCTGAGGAGAAGCGGCAGGACGTGGGGGGCCAGCTTTACATCACTGGATCTGTGAGTCCCGGTCCTCATGCTTGCTTGCTTCCCTGCTCCATCCATCCCCTGTCCCCACATCTCCATTTCCCCCCTCCCCCTTTTCTCTCCGCCTCCCCCACCCCTACAGGATCTGATGCAGCGCACGTTCCAGTCAGCAGACTCATTAGCAGCGGTGGGAGGCAGCTACATGCGAGTGGCGGTGACGACGGCTCAGATGGACCTGCTGGGGACGACCTTCAACATGAACCCCGGGGATGGCGACCCTGAGCTGCCAGAGGAAAACCGATGTGTTCTCTTCAAGCTCGACCTGCCCTCCTGATCCATGCCCGGGATCCTGGATGAGCGGATGGGGTGGATGGTCGTGGGACATCTACGGCACGCTCATGACTCTGCTTTCTGGGGTGGTGATGGTGCTGATGGTTGTGGTGGGTGTTGTCGTGGGGTTGGTAGGGAGGTGGGAGGGGGGATTGAGGGGGGAGAAGAAGGAAAGGGGATAGAGAGGAACTCAGGCAGGCAGCCAGGCAAGCAAATGTGCACTCCTCGTGCAGTACCTGCCTGACTGCCATGCGCATGCCAGGTTGCCTGCAGGCCATGCAGCATGCATGGCACGTCATGGCACGTCATGGCACGGCATGGCACGGCATGGCACGGCATGGCATGGCATGGCATGGCATGGCATTTCCTGGTTTCACCATTTACCACGTGTGGAAGCTAATATACGGTAGGATAGGCTGGCGTAATGTACGGTATTGCTGGTTCAGGCGCTGACATTGACTGGGCTGATGACTGACTGCTGGTAGCTGGGGCTAACACGGGCTGGGCTGACTGGGTTGACTGGGCTGACTTGACCAATGGACAACGCACTCTGTGTTGGGGTTGGCGGGTGGTGGGGAGGAGGGGGGCTTAGAAGGGTGGTGGTACGGTAATAAATCTCTTTGCGTTTGCTTGCTGATATGTGGTTGCAAAGATTTGGGCTGCTAACACATCCCTTACACAATGAGCAAGACTTGCTTGAATTGGATAGATACCGTACAGCGACTCCAAAACGTTGTGGCGTGTTGTGTGGGTAGACGATCGGAACACTGCAAGCTACCATTCTGCTGCATTACTACAAACAATCAGTCCACAAATGCTGTGTAATCCCAAACCTTGTCTATGGACCCACTACTGCTACTACACCAGCAAGTACCGGTACCACAGCGCTAAGTTCAAAGGCTGACAGAGGTGTTTTTTGCATCATCGGATCGGAGGCAACTGGGAGGAGAGAGCCCAAGAAACACATTGAAGTGCCACATCATGGCATGCCCCTGCCACCATGGTTACCGGTAACCTCTGCCTCTTACTCAATTCCCAATGTCCCCTTCCCTTGTCCGCTCCCCCCTTCCCCGCTCCCCTCACAGCATATTCGCCAGCACCAGCACCAGCGCCACAATATACCCGAGAACCTTCCACGAGAAGGCCTTACTCGGCTGGGTATACGCCTTCATCGCATCCATATCCAGTCCCAGCTCATACGTGCAGTTGTCACCTCCCCCAGTACTCCCCGTCGACGGGTCCTGGTCACTCACAACCACGCCCAGGCCCTGATCTGTGCACACAGCCTCCTGCTGCCCCGACAGCTGATAAACCGCGTTGAGAACATACGAGGCGTTGGCCAGGAGAGTCTGGCTGGCGCCTTTAGCAGCGCATTGCAGGCCAGGAGTGGACAGCCGCATCATCAGCGGCGTGCAGTCCGCCCTATCCGCGAAATCCCCCGCGTCGCTCTTCCCGCAAACCGTGGAGATCGCCGAGGAGAACTGCGCGTCAACCACCGCGGCACTCGCGCCCTTCTCCGTATACAGCGCCTCGTTCGCAAGGCACCAGCGCGGGCGCAGCCGGGCGACGTTCGGGATCGCGGCGAGCTTCCACCCCTTCCCCCCGGAGAGATCCAGCGGGTATTTGGCCCGGCCGTAGTCGTCATACACGCCCCAGCGGCGCTCAAAGGCGCCAGGAGCGGTGCTCTTGGCGTCCTGGTCGAAGAGGTCGAAGATGTAGAAGGTGAAGAGGCGGTTGGGGCGGTGCGGCGTGCCCTTGCCGGAGAGCAGGTGGCGCAGGAGCCCGTTGTTGTAGGACTGCGCGAGGGCTACTGTGGCGTTGGGGTGGCCGTCACTCGGCCAGCCGGCTTCTCCGATTACCACCTCCATCTGGGGATGAGGGGAGTGGAAAAGGGAAGGGGAAGAAGATGGTGGAGAGGAGGAGAGGGGGGCTCAGCTGTTGGGACTTGGAGGTGCAAAGGCGTGAGGTCATGGCGACTGCTCGCATGTTGCAGCACATGTACATAGGCAGGGACGAGAGAGCTGACAGAGTCTCAGAGGTGGGTCGTGGGGAGTGGAATGACGGGCGCCCTATCTTCCTCCCCCTTCCTCCATTCCTTGCCCACCTTTACCTCCCTCCCCCTTTCCCTCCCTCCATCTGTCCCTCCCTCCATCTGTCCCTCCCTCCCTCTGTCCCTCCCTCTCTCTGTCCCTCCCTCCCTCTGTCCCTCCCTCCCTCTGTCCCTCCCTCCCTCTGTCCCTCCCTCCCTCTGTCCCTCCCTCCCTCCCTCCCTCCCTCCTCCCTCCCTCCCTCCCTCCCTCCCTCCCTCCCTCCCTCCCTCCCTCCCTCCCTCCCTCCCTCCCTCCCTCCCTCCCTCCCTCCCTCCCTCCCTCCCTCCCTCCCTCCCTCCCTCCCTCCCTCCCTCCCTCCCTCCCTCCCTCCCTCCCTCCCTCCCTCCCTCCCTCCCTCCCTCCCTCCCTCCCTCCCTCCCTCCCTCCCTCCCTCCCTCCCTCCCTCCCTCCCTCCCTCCCTCCTCTCCCTCCCTCCCTCCCTCCCTCCCTCTCTCCCTCTCTCCCTCTCTCCCTCTCTCCCTCTCTCCCTCTCTCCCTCTCTCCCTCCCTCCCTCCCTCCCTCCCTCCCTCCCTCCCTCCCTTTCCCTCCCTCCCTCCCTCCCTCCCTCCCTCCCTCCCACGCCCATCCACCATCCCGTACTTACATTGGGGTACCCGATGCGTTCCAGGGCATACACCACGCCGTCATACGACGAGTCCATGATGTTGCAGTACTGCGTCTGGGTCTTCTTGTCATACACCACGCACGCCTGCCCGGGGTTATCAAACCAAATAAAATCCTTCGGAATCTGCGGCGTGTCCTTGTACGAAAAAAACGGGTAGATATTCACAGAAAAGAACGACCCGGTGTCGTTGATAACCTTGGCGATGGCTTTAATCTGCTCCAGCCAGACGTCCTGGAATTCGCCCTGGGCGGGGTCGTCCTTGGGTTTGATGATGTCTGTGTTGAAGGAGACGGTGATCTTGATGCGCTGCTCCAGCTCCACCTTCTGTAGCGCGCGGTACATGTTTGCCACCGCCGGCGCCAGGAACTTGTCGTAGTCGTGCCGCGACTTGAGGAACGGCTCGTTTCCCACCGACACGGACCTGTGCGCGCGTGTGCAGGGACGGGCCGGGGACGGGTGGGGGGAAGGGAGAATGGGAGTTCAGGCGCGGTGGAGGGAAACGGGCGCGGGGGTTGAAGGATGGAAGGGGGGAGGGGAGAGGGGGGAGAGGGGAGAGAGGGGAGGAGAAGAAGGAAAGGGGGAGACAGAGTTACGGGCGGACAGGGATGAGGGGAGGACAGAGGTTGGTGGAGGGCACTGGTGGGGGTCGGATGGGGATGGGATGGGATGAGGACAGCATTGATTGGCGCGACAGGGGCGACTCTTGAGGCGCTGAAAGAATCGGATGGCGGATGGGTTGGGGACAGGGTGAGAGGGGCGCCACTAGACTCTTAAACCCCTGAAATCCACCTTCTCCCCCAGCTTCCCTGCACCAGAAAATCTCTTCCTCCCCATCCCCACATCCCTACCTTCCCTTCCGCGTGCGCACTCGCGTGATTTTGACACCCGTGGAGAGGATGCCAAGCAGGTTCTCCCACACCCACTTGTGACACACTGAACGGTGAGGTACCAGAACGACTTTGGAGAACCTCTGAGACGTGTGTCAAAGTGAGGTTTCCCCACGTGCCCCCCCTCCCCCCTTCCCCCCCTCCCCCCCCCCCCCCCGCGCGCGCGCGTAGCGCACTCACGTGATCTTGACGCCGGTGGGGAGGATGTCGAGCAGGTTGTTGTAGACCCAGTTGTCGGCGTTCTCCTGCTTGACGGCCATGCCCTCGAGGAACTCGTTGCGCACCATCACCATCACCTCCACGTCCGAGTTCGCCAGCGCCGTCAGCGCGTTCGGATCCGCGTCGAACAGCTTCACCTTCGACACGCCGTTCGCCTGCGAGCGCGCGCGGAATGGCGGGTTGAGGGGGGGGGGGAGGGAAGGGAGGAGGGGCAGGCGGGCGTGGGGGTTTTGGGGAGAAAAGGGGCGTCGAACAGCTTCACCTTCGACACGCCGTTCGTCTGCTCGCGCGCCAGTGCGCGCGCGCGGAGAGCGGGGAAGGGGGAGTAGGGGAAAGGGGAGCGGGAGTTGGGGATGGGGGAAGGAGGGGAAGGGAGAAGGAAGGGGGTTGTTGCAGGAATGGGAGCTTGGGAGGGTTTGGGGAGGGGGGGGGCGGGAAAGGGAAATGGAAGAGGGGGCGAGGGGAGAGATCGGAGGGGCGCGCGGGCATGTGAGCGGAGTTTCGGAGGGAATTCATGTTTGTAAGTTTCACATTTTGTGTTGTCGCAACTATATAAGTGAAGCGGCATGGGCGGAATTCCTCAAGAATGTCCATGGTCGCAAAGAATCTTGTATAGCACGTTATGCGACAACATGGTGATAAAAATCCCCAAGTTGCACGTACCACACGGTACGTGTCAGGCATGACGAGGCATCAAGAGAGCGGAAGTACGACACATGGTGTGGAATCTGGAAGGCTCACCTCGAGCATGTCGACAACGAGTTCTGGCGGTATAGGTTGGTGCGACACGCGGCCCCAGCAGAATCCTAACGTCGGGACTCTGTACGATGCTTGCGCCGTCGCGCGATGAACCAATGCGGACCACGCGACGGCAGCCAGGAGCGCAGCGGTGAATAGCGAATGTAACTTATGCGCGGGGCGTTTGAACAATGGCGATTGTAGACACGTGGCAGCGGTGACTCGAGAAGCGACCGGCGTAACACTCGCTCTCGGTCCCCAGCGGCGCCTGCGATCCATGTTTGTTTCGTGCTTGCGTGGATGTTCCCTGCTCGATCGCGACCAAATCGAGAAGCAAAAAAAGTTATCGTGAAACGCTAGCGCGTGGTCGCGGCGGCGGCAAAAAAAGGGTGCGAAGCTAGCAGGAGGAGGCTGTTTACAAGGCAGGAGTTGTATGATTTATCAAGAGAGCTTGGGGAATGCCGAAATAGGAGCCATGGATTCCTCTGAAATATCAGTGCTGGCATTGAAATTCCTGCAGAAGTGCTCGTCGGAATGTAACCAATTATTGGTGCCTCGGGATTGGTTCGAGTCCGGATTTGCGCGTTTGTGCAAGCGAAACAAAGTTCAGGGCACTGGCACCAGCGAGCCGTGAACTTGTCGGCCACACGACACGAGAGAGCCTCCTCGTACGGTCAATTTTGAGCCCCCGAGCGACACCAGTACGCGTCACACCACCGTGAGAAAGTGGATCATGGAAAGTTGCGCGAAATACGCTTGGTGGTCGAGCTCCACTTCACCCCTCTAGAATGTGATTCGTGGACTATCACATCAAACGAAATTAGAAACTGCTACGGTAATTGATACATTACAGCATGCATGACAATGAGGCATGTTCTTATTTTCATCCTCACTAACAGATCATCCAGAGCATGTATTATACGTGATTTTTATTTTTTATTCTGTAATTTTTTGCCCTTTTAATGTGAAATATGCTAATATGTTTAAATACGCCATAGGGCTTCCGTTGTATTGCTATAAAATACACTCTGTGAAACGTTGGCTGTTTGTAAATGTGATTGTAACCTTCGATTTAGGGAAAACGAACAGTTTCTGTCACCCCGAGGGTCATCCTGATGCCTGGCCGCTATGCTTGGAACCAATCAGGTCGGCAATGCTGCCGCCCTATAGTGACGCTCCCTTTGCCTTCGCGTCATCATTGTTCCGCTGACCTAGCAGCCCCCCAATGGAATTTTGGACGAAACATGAAAACCGGATGTCACCTGCGGCAGCAGTTCAGGTTGGTTTGCAGATGTTGGAAAATCATAAAGTGATACGTAACGAAGCGCAGGTGGTATTTCCGAGCATCTCTTCTTTTTGCTCTGACGGACCCCTTCAGGGCTGTTCCGAGGATTCCGCTGAACAACAATATCAGAGAAATGGGAAATCCGGAGCCGCAGGCAGGTCCTGGGATTGAATGATTTTCCCGAGCACATGATACGGAGATCCCCCCTGCGCACCTGCGCTTGATTGCGGCACTGCAGCTCCTTGGGATTTCTCCGCTAGGTCAGAACAGTCAGGTAGGCCAATCCTCCATGCGCTCCGGCTAGGTCAGGCAGCAGCGAATGTTTTCGTTCTCAAACAGTCCTCCTGAACGATTGGCGCTTCGGTCGCGCCGCACCCACATCTTGTCGTGTGCTTGGGAGAAGAAAGTGACTTGTACAAAAGCCAGTGATCCATCGTCCACTCATCACCAGTTCTTTCGTGCCTTCAACCTTCTCTCTCAACCCCAATCTGACATCCAACCCAACCACAAAAGCATCTGAGTGAAGCGAAATCCTCTGCAACCCAACTGCCACCTGAGTTTCTGGACCTTAGCTTTTCGGCTTCAAGCACAACCCCAGCCCCCACGTGGTCAGCCGCCTTTCTTCAGGCTAAGCCCAATTCCGTCTCTTAGCACCAATGGAGTACAACATGAACGCCTTCGGTATGACTTCGGCTTTCGTTGCGCCGGTAGCATCCTATCCCAACGCATGGCAATCGCCTCAATCCATCTCCTCCATCCCCGCCTCCAACGACCTTAATCTCCCCACCTGGCTCGTCGACGAGCCAGAGGCGCCCGCTTCGGAGAGCGACGAAGGGTCCATCGCCGAGTGGGTCGCACAGTCGTGCATCGCCGACGACGACGATTCCGACTCGAGCGACGCATCTAGCGACATCGCGAGCCGCCATTCCTACTCCAACCCTAACGGCCACTACGCCGCGCCGCACCACCCCGACGCCATGACCTACCACTCCCGCGCGCTCGGCATGGCGCACAGCCACTCTAGCGCCAGCATCGCCAGCCACAGCAACCGCGGTTCCAGCCCCTCGAGCTCCCTTTCCTCGTCGCCCTCCGTCTCGCGCACTTCGAGCCTCTCCTCCCGCCTCTGGTCGCAGTCTTCCGTCTCCACCACCTCCTCCACTTCCTCCCTCACCTCGCCTCCCCGCAGCGGATCGCCGACGTCGGTGTTGGGCCAGAACGCCAACGCGGAGGCCTGGGAGTTGCTCTTCGCCGCAGCGGGTAGAATTCAGGAGCTTGCGCTGGAGCCCGAGCCGCCTAAGCCCGCTTGCGCCGGTCCCCCGCGCGCAGGCGCGCAGCCGTACGTGCCCGCCTCCCGCCACATGCACCAAGCGCCCGCGTACGGCGCTCCGCAGATGAATCACAACGGTAACCGCCAGCACGCGAACCACCATCAGGCGGCGCAGCAACAGGGGAATAACAGGCGCGCGGGACCGCAGCCCCACAGGCGCAACAACCACAACGGCGCGCAGGTTGCCAAGGGCTCCCCGCTCCGCCGCGTGTCGGAATGCGAGACGGACTCCCGCAAGGGGCAGGCGCTCGGCAACGGCACTGGCGTCTTCCTTCCCCGTGCTGCCCCCGCACCCGCTTCCGCCAAGCCTTCTGCGGATACCAGCAACGCCGGGCGCAAGTCCCAGCGCCCTGGCGCAACAGTGTACCTTCCCGCGCGCCTCGTGCACGTGTTCGGCCTCGATGTCGACGAGAATAACAACGTCCTTCTCAACCGCGCCGCTCCTGGAGGCGCTGCCCCCGCTTCCGGGCCCGCCGCCGCGAAGCCTGCCGCTCCGGGTCCGAAGCGCGGTGCCGGATGCGCAGGTGCGCGCGCCGCCCCCGTTATCAAGCTTGCCCCGGAGGAGATGCTTGCGGGGAGTGGCAGGAAGGGCGGTAAGGGAGGCAGGTCCCGGGCCCGCGCAGCTGCTGCTGCTGGTGTCGCCGCTCCCGCTGTTAACCTTCCCAGCGATTGGACCTATTAGGTTTGCGCGACTCGCGCTTCGAATGGGTGACTGGCTGTGGTGGGGGTGGGTTGTTGAATAAGAGCAAAGCAGCGATGGGCGCAGCCTTCGCTTGTAGGTTATAATAATCTTTTTGGAGTTATCTAATTTCAAGTGTAGGCACTGCTCTACTCGAGCAGCATTAGCAAGTTCTGAGAGGCCTGTCCTTGTACAGATATATGATAAGCTGTTTGTGATGGCCATCACTACCCAAACCTAATCGCTCAATTCTTGATCACCAGCCTTGATACCACAGCAAAACAAAACAAAATGCAAGAAAAACAACTCTTGTTCAGGCATAGGATAAATGTTGTATAGTATTTTTTTAGAACTTGTCAGGATCGTCCATACGTTGAACAGTCACACCTCTGCTGGGGCTTGTTTCCTATTGCTTGTTTTCTGACACACTCAAGACTGCACTTTGCTGGTATGATGAGCCGTAAGGGTTTGGCTGGGTCATCCTCTTCCAGGTGATACGGTCTGAGCTGCCTGACTAGTGGAGAGGGAGCATGCTTGAATGAAAGGGCCAAAGCTATCCCTGCACGCACTCATTGCAAACCAAATCTAGAACATGGTATGATGTGCAGGTATTGGTAAGCCCACAATGTCGCTTTCGATTAAAACTTTGAGTATTTTACAGGGGCCATGGCGAATGGCTCCACCAAGATCAATGTAAAACTACATTGAATAGAGTCAATCATCTGAAATATTTGCTGTATTGTATGTCTGAAGCGCACAATACAGGTTGTTATTCGATACACAATGTGCTCTGTAGCGACTCACGAACGACGTCTCCACGATGTGGATTCGTCGCTACAAGTCAAAAACCCTAGGGTCGGTGAGGAACGACAGATAATGCCTCAGAAACAGACAGACACGCGGTAACTGTTGCGGCTCACTGTGCATACGCGTCGCGATTGCCAATGTCGTTTGCAGATCCTGTCCAGAATGCCCCCGACCAACCTTTCCGCACGCACAATCCCCTGCGATCTGGGCGGAAATGGTCCAACCGGCAGGTCAAGTTCGGCAGCAGCCAGATGCGGGAGACATGGGTTTCAGCTTTCGAAACTCTCTGAAAATTTTTAGTCCACCTGACCCAACAAGCATCTGAGGGGCGGAACCTGAGATGTTATGTACGCGTTACTCACCACTTTGTTACGCGATCCGTTGCATACCAATTGCCACGCAAAGCCCTTCGACGTAAAACATACAATTTCAATCATATGCACCCTACCTCCTTTCCCTCTCACCGCCTCCTTGGACGTGACTTCGTGACCAGACCAGACGCCGCGCTTCGATTTCTCGAATTCTTCGTTAGACAAGGCGCCACGACGATCTGTGCCCCTCTCTGCATGAAGAACTCCATGCCGGACTGGGTTGCAGCGCCAGATAATTCGCGTTAGATCACTCGTCTCGTCACATCAAGGTCACGTTTATAACCAGACGATGTGGTAACCACAAGGTCGACCTCGTCGGATCTGCTGGTGCGCGGATTCGTCCGACCCGAACCGTCGCCTCTGTCGTCGATGCGACAGCATCCGCGGCGACGTCTAACGATTCCCCTTCGGAGCGAATTCGGGCAATGCCACAATAGCCAGAGTTGCCCGAGAATCCTGAGAATCCCCGCGTCAATCATGTTTCCAACATGCCTAGCAGCAGTCGCTCTCGCGTTTCCTGCCACCGCAGCACAGCTGAGACAGTTTCGCATGCCCCGTCTCGCCACCAGCGAAGTCGTGTCATAATATGTCGCGACGTCGCGACACCGTGCACCAGCATGCGACTGCCAGTGGAGGTGCGCTGCCAACGCAGCGGCACCCTAAAATCGAGGCTCCTTCGATCCTCCCAAACCTCGCGCCGGGGTGATAGCGCCGTTCCAAGCCTGATACAAACGACCAGAGTTATCGAACCGTCCAACATCCCGTCGTCGCACCATCGCACCATCGCACCGTCGCACCATCGCACCATCGCTCCACGGCACCGTCCTATCTCTCGTCGCTCGACGTGACCAGCACATTGCCTATCTGCTGATAGCGATGATTCCCAAGCCGTGCCGCCTGGGCCCCTCTGTCGTCTTACTCAATTCCTCGCGAAACTCGGCGACTTTGACGGGACGTGGGGAGGTGTTGGCAGTGTGCGATGATGTCTAGAAATACCCGCCGACGTTAGAAGACGAGTCATTCATTCAAAGTGGTGCGACGACGACGAGAACCAGCAGTAGCCGCAGCAGCAGCCGCAGCAGCAGCGAGGATTTCGAGGCTTGTTCCATTTCGGTGGTCAGCAATCGGCTTGCGCGCAAGTCAACCCACCTGGACAGCAAGCACACTGCCTTGGGCCGACCAGCAACAGGAACGGTGACAGCGTGTCCCTGAACAGTGGAAGGGGAAGTGGAACTGACAGCAAAAGGGACAGGCGGCAGCGAACGGTGCTGGTGGGGCATCGCTCGTTTCTCTCTTTCCTGATTGGACTATCAAGAGAGGGCCAACCAGGAGCGCGGGAAAAGGAGAGACGGGCTGACGGGGACGGGTTGTCTTGGCGGGTTCAAGAAAACACATAAGCTTCTGACAGGTGCCTCACCAGCAATACTGTCAGCCGCCCTCCCATCCAACCCGTGCCCAGCAGAGGCAGGCAGAGAGGGTTACAGGCAGATACGCACGCCATAAATCCTTCTCCGAAGCTAGCTCTCCTCGCCCATTTCTCTTTCACACGCCGCTGTCCCGTGTACACAGTGGAAACTGCAATACCGAATCAGTGGTATCCGCAGTGGGAGGAGCTGCACTGCAACTGGGGTGCACCGCACCTCTTCCTCTCCTCTCTCCCTCCCTTCCCAGAGGACGCTCTTCAAAACGTCCTCTAATGGCGAAGCCTCTCCGCTCTCCCATCCCCGGCCCGCCCCTCCTCCCCGCGTCCCTCCTCCTCGCGCTCTTCCTCCTGCTCTCTCCCTACTCCTCCCCCTCTCTCCCGCTCTCGCCGCTTCTGGCAGCAGCCCAGCCCACGGCAGCAGCAGCAGCAGCAACGGCGTCGGCGACGGGCAGGGAGGTGGGGCGCGCACAGGAGTCGGGGTTCTGTGACCGCTTCGTGCGCCCCTATGGGCTGCAGTGCCGCGAGTACCAGGTGGGTGTGTGTGTGCCATGTGTTTCTAGAAACAGCTCACAAACCCTGGCTTCTCGAAACATGATAAAGGCTGCCTCACTTGTATGGCCCGCCTAATTTCCTGCCTGCCTGCCTGCCTGCCTGCCTGCCTGCCCACCCCCCCTGCACTCATCTCTGTCCCACGGCTCTTGCCCCACCATCTCCTCCCATGTCCCACCCCTCCCTGTGGCAGATCACCACGAGTGACGGGTACATTCTGAGCATTCAGCGCATCACCAACACGTCTGTCACAGCACCTCCCATCACCATGCCCGCTGCTTCCACTTCTGCTGTTACTGCGACAACCCCACTCACCACCACCACGCCCACGCCCGCTCCCACCAACGCGGTTTCTGCGGCGGGTGCGGCTGCTATGGCAGCAGCAGAAGCAGCAGCGAGGTCAGTGAGTGCGGCCACTGCGGGCTTATTCGCCCCTTCTGCCACCACTAGGGCAACCACCGCCACCACCACCCCTGCTACCACCACAACCGCTACTCCTGCTGCTGCTGCAACCACACGGCCAGCAGGGCCAGCAGCAACAGCTGCAGCAGCAGCATCAAGCACCGCCATGCCTGAGCTCCCATCCCTCCCATCCCTGCCGTCCGGTCGCCCCATGCTTCGCTCGCAGCAGCAGCAGCTCCAGCGCCAAGAGCTACCTACTACCACTCTCCCCTCCTCTCAGCCCCTCTCCCAACCCCTCGCCCAACCCGTCGCCCAGCCTCTCGCGCAGCCTCGCTCCACCTCCCCACCACAGACCCTGGCACAGGCACAAACCCAGGCGCGCGTGCTACCGCGCTACCCGGTACTTCTGTCCCACGCCATGTTCATGTCCAGCGATCTCTGGTTCGCCTTCTCCAACCAGAGCGGTGCTGACCCGCTCATTGGCAAGCGCGTGCCCGTGGGGCTGTGCAACCGGGGGTTCGACGTGTTCCTGCTCAACCACCGCTCCACTGAGTTCTCCCCGGGTCATGTCGCCTACAACACCCGCCAGTGGGTAGGTATCTTCTCCCTCTATACCTCTCTCCCTGTGCCCCTTTCATACTCTCTCTCTATACGCCAGAACAAGAACAAGCGAATCATCTCGGTCTAACGCATGTTGTAATTTCCGTCAAATTCCCTCCCTCCCCTCCCCTCCTGTCTGCCCACCAGCAATACGGGACTGGGACTTTGACCAGCTCGCCACCATCGCCATTCCATCAGCAAAAAACTCGTGCTGGGAGTGACAGGCTCGCCCAAGGTGCCCAGGCTTCAACGAGGGCGGCATGCTGCCGTTCGCTCTGGGCACGAGAACAGGACCACCAGGGGAACTCCCCTCGCTCATCCATTTCCTCTCCTCCCCATCACCTGCCCTCCCCTCCCCTCGCTCCTCTCCCACCAGCAATACTGGGACTGGGACTTTGACCAGCTAGCCACCATCGACATTCCATCAGCCATCGAGCTCGTGCTCGGAGTTACAGGCGCGCCCAAGGTGCATCTGCTGGGCTTCAACGAGGGCGGCATGCTGCCCTTCGCCCTGGGCAGCACGTCCCCGCGCTACCTCGAGCGAGTCACAGCGTCTGTGACGTCTGTGGCGCCGACTGTCTTCTTCCAGAACGTCAAGTCGCCCGTGCTCCGCCAGTGGGCGCTCGGGCCCTCGCCTGACGCTGTGAGTCTCGTCTCGGTCCTGCCCCTTGTGCAATACTTTCTCCCACCTTGCGTGATCCTTTCCCCTGCATGCCGCACTTCTTGCTCCGCCACTGGGCACACGAGCCCTCACCTGATGCTGTGAGTCTCGTCCGACTCCTGCCCCTCCCCGCGCTACCCTGAGCGTGTCGCTGCGTCTGTGGCGTCTGAGTTGCCAACCATCTGTTTCGGTATGTCCTCTGCTCCGCCGCTGGGCGCTCGGGCCCTCGCCTGATGCCATGAGCCTGAAACCTGCCCCTCCTGCGCTGTTTACCACTGCTTTGTGTACCCCTTACCCACACACGTGCAAGGAGTGAACACACGTGCTCATACCCTGCCCTTTCCCTCTCGCCCTTCTCTCCCCTGATGCAACCAGGCCGTCTACCAAGCGCATCTCCTATATGGCGCCTACAATGTTTCTGCGTACGTGCTGATTGATATCCTTCCTTCATACACTTTCCACACACCTGTAGTCAGCGCAACTGCACACGCACGCCCTGCAGCAACTGCTCCGTGCTGCGTGTGAATTACAGCATTCCGATACATGTATCCACAGCGCAACTGTGTCCCCCTTTGCGCTTGCACCTGTCACCACATGTATCCTCCTTTGTGCTTCTGTTTGCTTCAGTTGGTATCAGCACAATCCTGGTATGCCTGTACCTAAATCCATCTGCTTCTGTCTCTCGCTTTCTTTTCCCGCCCGTCCCGGGGTGTGCATGGGCGTGTGCATGGGTGTGTGCATGGGTGTGTGCATGGGGGTGCATGGGAGCAGCACGGAGATTCTATCGGGCATTCTGGAGGCGGTGGGGTACAACATGCTCACCTACTTTGTCACCACGGGCGACCCCCAGGACCTGCTCACCAACATCACAGGTCACTCACACACACACACACACACACACACACACACTCACACACACACACACACACACACACACACACACTCTTCCCCATTCCCCTCGTGCATGCAGCCATCCGCACATGCTACCAGGCGTTCGTGTACCAATACACACGCTCCATCACTTGCCATGTTTCACTGGGCCATGTCCTGCTATGCCGCGCGTCCTGCACATTGCCATACATTACCAAACATTCCTCAGTATGGGACCACAAAATATATCTTTCCAGCCCTCACTGCCCCTCTCTTCCTTCCTCCCTCTCTCTTCCTCTCCCCCCATCTCCCCCCTTCCTCCCTCACCCACTCCCTCCCTCACATTCCGCCCCACCATCGCCTCGTCACGGCAACCAGTCAACCCATGCTGCGTTCTTTGAGGCGCCACAACCCTCTCAACTCGTCTAGACACTCTCTCATTCCCTCCCTCCCTCACATTCCCCCCCACTGCCGCCCCCGGCCACCAGGCAACCCGTGCTGCACAGACCCTATGGAGCCCCCTGCTGCTCCCACACCTGGGTGGATTGCCACTTCGTACCGCAACCTCATTCACTACCAGCAGCGTGAGTGGGACATACATGGGAGCGAGGGTTAGGGAGAGAAGGGCAAGGGAGGGAAGGGAGGAAAGGGTATTGGGAAATTGACCATGCAATCTGCTGCACGCTTCCTTTCTCTTGCCACCGGTTCGTGTATCGCAAAAGCCCCTCCTGGCGCGTCTAAACCTCTCTGTCTGATGCATGCATGCCTGCGTGTCTGCCTGACTGCAATATTCTTGTATGTCTGTATGCATGCGTGCATGGATGCAGTGATCCGCAATGGTCTGTTCCAGCAGTGGGATGCGCTCAGTGCGCAGGCCAACATGGACCGCTACGGCGCTGTCTCCCCTCCCATGGTTTGTCTCCCACTCGCTTTTCTCTTCTCGCCTGACCTTATTAGCTACCTTCCAGCACTTCTGCGGCTGATTCGTGTCAGTTTCTCCACCCCTCTCCCATACTCCCCCCATCGCTTCACACCTACCTACTTGTGTGACGTCTCAGAAACATTTTCCCCTGCCCAGCCCATCGCACTCCTGTCGTTCCCTCTCTTGCCTCCTCACAATCCACTTCACAACACCCACTCTCTCCCACCCCTGACACTATGTCCTCACCACGCCCTTTTCCCCCCTCTCGGTCTCTGGACCTTACACAACCCCCTCGTCCTCTCTCCTTTGATTTCCTGCTTGTGTTTGGCAGTACTACCTGTCCAACATGCCCGCTGGGGTGCCCATTCTCATCATGAGTGGCGGCAATGACTGGTTTGCCGACCCCCCCAACATCCAGAAGCTTCTATCGCAGCTCACGACTGCAAGCACCACCAGTGCAGGTTCTGCCGGTGCTGCTGGTCCCACCGTGACTCACTTGGAGCTGCCTCGTTACTCTCACCTCGACTTGCTGTTGAGTGAGACTGCAGTGCAGGATGTGCATGTTCCGCTTATTGAGTACCTTGAGACGGGCTATTTGACCGGATAGAATGAATACTTGTCATAGCAGTAAATCGAATTTGTGTAAATCATTGTGATTATAAATCTGAAGCATGGATTACCCTCACACCACACACCAAACTGAAACTGAGATGTTTCTCCTTGATTATATCCCTGACTTGCCCATAACCGCCAGATCCTAAGGTAGACTGAGAAGGGTCCCAACCCAAGAGCTGGGTTTGGTCCTTTCATGTATTCTGCTGTTACAAGAGTTAGGTCGTCTTACCTGTTATTCCTTGAAACTACTGCAGAGCTTACAATTGAGGCGAATGCAAATACACTTCCTACTTTGTCAATACCGTTTATCTCAAGTTGGGATGCGACTCGGGAGACATTTATATAAAGGAACCCGCCGCTTGGTGCGGGTCTATCGAATGGAGGGGGTCTAATTCACTACCTGTACAGTATCGACTGTAACACAAACGAACCTGGGTAGGCACTTGAAATTCGACATGCGTCTCGGCGGGAACTAAATCCAGCCAACAACAACTAATCGCCTTCACCCATTCGTCCCTCCCTCAACCCCACTATACCTCACCAGTGCAGCTGCCACCATCCCCCTCTCTTCCTCCGTCCCCTGATTCCCGCCTGACCTTGTTCCCTCCCACACCTCCGCATGCACACGCTCCCTATTTTTACTCCCCGTTCCACTGCTTTCTCTCCAAGTCGTGCCGTGTCTTCCGCCTTTGCTGCTGCTCTCACACCATACGCAACCCTCTCTTCGCGGTTCGTTGGTGCCTGTTTCACGACGTCGCCCCGAACGACGACGTCGTGAAATTCTCGCCTTCGCCTCGCTGGAGTCACCAGTAAATTATTCAGACACGCTGGCAAAAAAAGGCAGTTCAACCGCTCACTACTCATGGCACGCACTGTAGTGACTTGGTTGCGTTGCACCACCAATGCCCCTCTTCACGGCTCCATCTCTGCTTGTTTTAGGGGCTGGAATCTCGCCGTACAGTACCCGCAGTTACTATGACTGTTCATTCCCGCAGCAGGTGCCGGGTCAGACGCGCCTCGTATTCCTCGCGCACCCGTTCCGCCAATCTAATTCTGCTCAACCCTCCTCCGCCTTAGACCTTCCTCCTGACCTCCCGTCAACGAAGTCAACGCTAACGTGGGGAAAACACGATCATGCCGCTACCCGACGTCGCAGGTACTACTGGTACTGCCACTACTACTATATTTACTCGACCTCCCTCGAGTCTCGCCCATAAAAATCGTGTAACAACACCCGCGTTAGTGCTAGCAATACAATCGCCACTTGCAGCAGTGCTCGAGTTATTGCCCACGTAGACTCTTCATGCTATTCCCGCCTCTCCAATCGATACACTCCCATTCTAATCCGCACATTTCCAGATTCTCACACAGCATTATGGCCTCATTCCCTCGCGCCCTTCCATCCCCCCTCCCCGTCCCCTCGCGCCTTACCCTCATCGCCCTCCTCGCGCTAATCGCGCTCCTCCGCCAGGCGGAAGCCTACACCGAGCCGCCGATCCCCGACGGGTGCGTCGTGGAGATAGCGGAGGTCGACCGGGAGGCCATGCGCGCGGTGTACGCAGCGCTGCCCGAGTTTATGTTCTTCTGGCACGACAGCATACCGCAATACAAGATGTTTGACGACAGCCACAATGTCTCCTACTGCTGCGTCGCGCCAAAGCCCGCTGATGTGTCGTGCCGCCTCTGGTGCCCGCTCGAGTGCTCGTCCACCGGCCGCATAACGGGCATTATTTCTGACCCGAGCCGCCAGGACATGCCAGGACCCAATGGGTTTGGAGGGAGCTGCCCGCCCGCCGCGCTGTCGCCCGCCATTGGCGACCTCGCGGAGCTCTCGTCGCTGGTCTTCCGCCACTCGTGCCTCGCTGGTGACTTGCCGGACTCCGTCACGCGCCTCCAGAAGCTAACGATATTTGAAATGCCCGAAAACAACTTCTCCGGGCCCATTCCGCCAGGCCTCTTCCGCCTGCCCGCGCTCCGCCACGTGGATCTGAGCACAATCAGTGACTTCCCGGAATTTCAACTTCAATATAAAGGCCTTTCGGGGTCCCTTCCCGACGGGCCCGACGCGTACTCACCGTCGTTGGAAGAAGTGATCCTGTCCGGCAACGCGCTCTCGGGGGAGCTTCCGCGCGCCCTTCTCCGCGCGCCTGCGCTGCGCCTGTTTGACTTGCGGAACAACAACATCACGGGGGAACTCCCAGGGGAGGCGGGCGCGTATTCGCGGAGCATTACCGCGCTCATCTTGCGCAACAACAGCCTGTCCGGCGCCATTCCGCCTGCGCTGGCGGAGATGACGGCGCTGCGGAAACTCGACCTGGGGGAGAACCGTCTGTCCGGCGCGGTGCCCGCGACGCTGAGCGACTCCGAGTCGCTCAAAGCACTCGACGAGGTGCGGCTCGACAACAACGCGCTCACCGCGCCGTTCTGCGACGCGCTGCTGCCGGCGCGCGAGCTCTGGCTGGGCTTCAACGACTTCGGGGGCGCGACCGCCGGGAGCAGCGCCAGCGCCAGCGGCGGAGGTGAGGAGGAGGAAGGTGGGGGCTCTCTGCACGGCTGCGTGTTTCCCTCGAAGCTAGTGAGACTAAGCGCGCCGCACGCGGGCCTCCGGGGGAGCGTTCCGCACGACCTGTTCCTGGCGACGAACGCGCAGACGGGGCGCTCCACGGGCGGCTTGGATAGGTTTATCCAGATGGACCTGAGCCACAACAGCCTCTCGGGCAGCCTGAAAGCTTTCACGGCGCTTCCGTCTGGGTTATTGAACCTGTCGCATAACAACTTCTCCGGCGGCATTCCCGAGGTGTTTTTCAGAGAGCTGGGCGTGAACCTGCGGTTTAACGACATTCGCGGTCCGCTGTTCGACGCAAACATGGAGTCGCGGAGCCCGGAGGTGTGGAGTCGGCCTTGGCATGCTCTAAGCGTGAGCAACAACAGCGCGCGCATGGCGGGCGATGTGGGCGCGGGGTACCTCCCCGCGCCGGCGCCTGGTGTGCAGGCCTCCGCTGCGGAGACTGCTGCTCTGCTGGCGGTGCGCGATGCGCTCCTGGGGGAAGCAGCGTTGGGAACAGTCGGAGGAGCAGAAGGGGGAACGGCGTTGGTGAACGGCGGAAACGGCTCGTGGGCGGAGATTCTGCGCAGCTGGGACGCGAGCAGCAGCAGCGCGTGTGCGTGGTACGGCGTGGGGTGCACAGCAGACGGACACGTGGACACACTCCACCTGATAGGCGCTTCCAACGTCACTCTGCACCCCAACTACGTCCCGGAATCGCCCGAATGTGGGTACGACCAGTACGGAGACTGGACATGCGCGCATGAAGTTCCGCCGCCTCCCCCGCGAGTGCGGTTCTTCCTGCACGGCCTGCATCGTGGAAGAACTAGCGCCGGCAGTGCGGTTGCAAGCGGGCATTTGTCGGAAGCACTGGGGCAGCTGACGCAGCTCACCTCGCTACGCATCACCGGGCACGTCCTCTCCGGTGGCCTGCCGCCGTCCCTCTCGCGCCTCTCCCACCTTGTCGCTCTCGACCTCTCCTCCAACCATCAACTTTCTGGCTCCATCCCCCCCGCCCTCTTCGCCCTCCCCTCGCTGCGAGAGCTCTCCCTCCGCGGGAACAACCTCACGGGAGAGCTCCTCCCAACCACCACTGCAGCAGCCGCAGCAGCACCAGCAGCGCCGCTGTCAGCGAGTTTGGAGAGTCTAGACGTGGGGGGGAACGGTCTCTCGGGGTCCATTCCAGCTGGCGTGGGTCTTCTGACGGGTCTGACGAGCCTGGCGCTGGACCACAACCGGCTGGACGGCAGCTTGCCACGGGAGCTCGGCGCGCTCTGGATGCTCCGAGACCTGCAGATGCAGGGGAACGCCCTCCAGGGGGACGTCTCTGCCCTCGCTGCCAGCTTCCCCCCCCCTGCTGCTGCTGCTGCCAGCGATGGCAGTACCGCCGACTCTGCTGTCTTGTGGGGTCTCGGGGGGGTGTTTCCGCTGCTGACCCGTCTGGACGCCAGCAGAAACGAGCTCTCGGGAGATGCAGCCACGCTCTCCCCTCTCCACGAAGACTTCCTCACACTCAACGTCTCGCACAACCACCTCACGTGCGGCCCCTTCAACGCCTCCTGGAACGCCTACTACATGGATCTCTCACACAACCGCATTAGCGCCCCGCTGCAAAGCTTGTTCCCGCTGTCCAACAGCGGCTACTCGAGTGTGCTGCGTCTGTCGCACAACCAGCTGACGGGACCCATCCCTGCCACTCTCCTGCGAGACAAAGTTACGGACGAGTTGGATCTCTCACACAACCTGCTCACGGGTTCAATTCCCATCATCGTCAATTTGTACACCATGGAGACGCTTGATCTCTCACACAACCAGCTGTCTGGCACGATTCCTGAGCTAAATGGTTTCTTGAAAAGATGTGACTTGTCCCACAACCGGCTCACCGGGGAAGTCCCCCCGCCGCCAACAGGAATGGAGCATCTGAACGTGAGCTGGAACCAGCTTGGTGGGATGGCCCGGTGGCAATATCGTCAGGGCAGGGGGTTGGAGAGTCTGGACGCGTCTCACAATGCCATGGCTGGAAATCTGCCGGCCTTGGGTTACAGTGATGGGCTGATGAGCCTGACCTATCTGGACCTCTCCTACAATGCGTTCAATGGCACTCTTGCACGAAAGACCTACCCGTTTTTGGAGCGAGCGACAGGCGCAGGAAAAGTGGAGTGTGCGTGCGGGGTGGAGGTTCGGCTGGGCCACAATGAGCTCACTGGAAGCATCTCTCCCTTCGTCTTCTCCTCGTGCCTCTCGCTGCTCGACCTCTCCCACAACCAGTTCTCTGGCCCCATCCCAGACCCTCCCCCGGGAAGCAACCAGAGCTCCTCCCTCGTCCCGCTCTCCTACTTGGACCTCTCTTCCAACAAACTCACAGGAAGCATCTCCGATGCACTTGTCACCGGCCTCACAGCCCTATCCCACTTGGCCCTCTCCGACAACCTGCTATCAGGTTCTGTGCCGCGCTCGCTCGCCCTCGCCCCCGTGCTAACCCACCTCAACCTCTCACACAACCAGCTCTCTGGCCCCATCCCAGACCCTCTTCAAGGAAGCAACCAGAGCTCCTCCCTCGTCCCGCTCTCCCACTTGGACCTCTCATCCAATAAGCTCTCAGGAAACATCTCCAATGCTCTTGTCACCGGCCTCACAGCCCTATCCCACTTGGATCTCTCCGACAACCTGCTATCAGGCTCGCTGCCGCGCTCGCTCGCGCTTACCCCCGCGCTCACCGACCTCAACCTCTCACGCAACAAGCTCAAAGGCTCCCTGCCTGCCTTCTGCCAGGGCAAGCAGCGCCTCGCCTCTCTCCTCCTCTCCTCCAACGCTTTCTCTGGCCCCCTCTCCTCCCTCCTCCCCTCCTCCTCCTCCTGCGCCTCCTCCCTCCTCTCCCTCAACGTCTCCACCAACCAGCTCTCCGGCTCGCTCCCCTCATCCCTCTCGCGCTTCACCGCTCTGCGCTCCTTGCTAGCGGCTCGCAACCGCATGAGCGGCAGCATACCTGCAGGGCTGGCATCGCTGACGGCCCTGCAGGAGCTGGACGTGTCGTGGAGTGGGCTGTCAGGCACCATCCCTGCGCTGCTGCGTGCTGCTGCCCCCTCCCTGCAAGTGCAGCTCGCTGGCAACGCCCTCTCTGGCTCCGTCCCCCCCTCCCTCTCCGACCTGCCCACCTCCTGCTTCCGCCCCGGCAACCCCAAGCTCTGTGGAAAACCCCTGCCTGACTGCAAGAAACGCTCTTCGAAGCCCAGGAAGGGCCGGGTGTAAGGTGTGGGGAGGCAGTAGGACTCTTCGCAGCTTCTGTGTATAAACCTGCCTGTGGGCTGCAGGCAAGGCGTCTACTGTTATACGTTCCCTAGCATACCTGTAAACCATAAATGTGCTGGGATCGGTCTCTCTCTCTCTCTCTCTCTCTCTCTCTCTCTCTCTCTCTCTCTCTCTCTCTCTCTCTCTCTCTCTCTCTCTCTCTCTCTCTCTCTCTCTCTCTCTGTACTTCTCAGATCTGGCGAGTGTGACTGCGTTAAATAGATGAAATGGCGAACTTCAAATGATTCTGGTACGGAGGCTCCCATATGATGCTGTTGTCAACTCTGGTACGGATGCTAAGATTTCCTGGTGCTTGTTACACACCTGATATCCATGTGAAAAGTAGTCCTGCTTGGGTTTCTTTTTGTTTTGTGGTACTTACAAAATATATCAATCACACTAAGTTATCCTGCCTCGCACGCACGCATCCTACTCCTATTGTCTGTGATTCATACCTCTGCCACGTGTGCTGTTTCCCCGTATGCGTTGTCCAGTCTGCTTTCTCTGCCTGCAGCCCAGCCTCTCAATGCCGCCCACCATTGACCTTCCACTTGTGTCATCGCCCGCGTTCACCCGTGTTCAAGAAGCAGAATGCAAGGAGAAAATACCCTTGCCCGCGTTCACCCGTACTCATTTCCTTGCTCGTGTGGTCTCCTGTGTACGCACCCTTCTGGTTCCCCCCACCCTTTGCTCGGCAACTGTCCACCCTTTCCTCTGTATGCAACCAGGCCGTGTACCAAGCTCATCTCCTGGTTGCATACAATGGAGACAGTTGGCAGTGCCACCTACAAAGTCTCTGCGTACGTGCCCTTATCCCCATGCACCAACTCATGCACACACTGTGACAACTGCATACCCTCAGAATAAAGGCACAGGAAAGGCTCTGTGAGAATAAAGGCGCCTTTGCTCTCATGCATACACTTTCGGTTTCAACGCTCATGCCAACTCATGCACACACTGCGACAACTGCATTTCACCCCACCCAGCAGGACAGTGCTGCGTGTGATTTACAGCATCCTGATACGAGGGTCAGCTTACGTGCTTGCGCCTGCCACTGCATGTCTCTTCCTTTATCTTCCTCGCTGCACGGAGATCCTATCGGGCATTTTGGAGGCGGTGGGGTACAACATGCTCACCTACTTTGTCACCACGGGTCACCCCCAGGAGCTACTCACCAACATCACTGGTCACTCACTCACACACACAACCCCCTCTCCCCTCGTGCATGCAACCACTCATGCAACCAGGCATTCGCGTGCCAATGCGCACAGAAATCATAGACGAAGCCGTGCCGTGCTATAGATCGTTACTCTTAGAAGGCTTGCTGCGTTTCGAACCCAACGAATTTCAACCGTGCCAATGCGCACAGAAATCATACCGTGTCATGTTATGCCATACACTTGCCATGTTCCACCGGGCCATGTCCTACCATGCCTGCTATGCCGCGTTCTACACCTTACCAAACCATTCTCAGTATGGGACCACACAATATGTCTTCCCAGCCCTCGCTAACCCTCTCTTTCTTCCTCCCTCCCTCTTCCTCTGCCCCCATCTCCCCCCTTTCTCCCTCGCCCACTCCCTCCCTCTCATTCCCCCCCTACTATCGCCCAATCATGGCCACCAGGCAACCCGTGCTGCACGGACCCAATGGAGCCTCCTGCTGCGTTTATTGGGGCGCCTCAACTCTCGCAGCTCGTCTAAACTCTCTCTCCTTCCCTCCCTCCCTCCCATTCCCGCACTATCGCCCCATCACGCCCACCAGGCAACCCGTGCTGCACGGACCCTATGGAGCCCCCTGCCGCCCCCACGCCTGGTTGGATTGCCACGTCGTACCGCAACCTCATTCACTACCAGCAGCGTGAGTGGGACACGCATGGGAGGGATGGGACAGGGCACGGGAGGACACGGGCAAGGGGAGGGAAGGGTATCAGAAATGGGCACTGCAATCTCCTTACCACTGGTTCATAAGCCTCTCCTTGCCGACCTGTGCCTTACTTTGTGTATGACTGCATGCCTGCGCTGCGCGCATGTCTGATGCATGTGTGCATGGCTGCAGTGATCCGCAATGGTCTCTTCCAGCAGTGGGATGCACTCAGTGCGCAAGCCAACATGGACCGCTACGGCGCCGTTTCTCCCCCCATGGTCCGTCTCCTCCTCCCACATTCGCTTGTCACTCAGTTTTCTCTTCTCACTCTACGCTTCTCACCCGACCTGCCAGTTCTGCTGCTAGCGGTTATTCTCAGTTTTCTCTGCCCCTCTTCCATCCGCTCCCCGTCCCTTTGCCATAACATTTGCCATAACATTTTCCCATACCGCACTTGCTAAATTCAAGGCTCTAACCGCCTACATTTGCACGTTTCTTGCATATCTTTGCAACCCTCTCCCACACTCCACTTAACAACTCCCACACCCTCCCACTCATCCCTGGCCTCTTTCTCCCCACGCCATTTTCGCCCCTTCCCCGACTCCCACTCTCTACCCTCACCTCACCTGCTTGTCTCTTGCAGTACTACCTATCCAACATGCCCGCAAGAGTACCCATTCTTATCATGAGTGGCGGCAATGACTGGTTTGCAGACCCCCCCAACATCCAGAAGCTTCTATCGCAGCTCAGGCCTGCAAGCACAACCAGCGCAGGTTCTGCCAGTGCTGCTGGTCCCACCGTGGCTCATTTGGAGCTGCCTCGTTACTCTCACCTCGACTTGCTGTTGAGTGAGACTGCAGTGCAGGATGTGCATGTTCGGCTTATTGAGTACCTTGAGACGGGCTATTTGGGCGGATGAGATGCATAGTTGTTGTGGCAGTATTTGTGTAAAGCATTGTGCTTATTATTCTACCTTCGCATCACACACCGAACTGAAAATGAGATGTCTTTCCTTGGTTATCTGGTTCGTAGGCTCCACAGTCTTATCCCGGACATATTCAAAACTGTCTGCCTTGGTTTTTATACGTGGGTCTAGCTGTAGCTGCCTCCTTCCTTCCTTAGTATGTATGGGTCCACGAGCAAGGTCTCAAAACTGGGCTGGTTCTCTTACCTGTGCTCTGCTCAGGCAAGAATTTAGACGCAACCTTAGATGGCGTTCCTGGCGACGGGAAACCGTCCCCACGCTGAAAAGTGCCAGTTTGGGTGCCAGCATGGCAACTCACACACTGGAAAGGGATTGCCCCACGTGACCCGCGCCAGTTGAGTCTGCGACCGTTGGCAAACTGCGATCTCAACATGCCAACGGTTTAGGTGAAAAACGACGCCAGAGCTGTCGGCCACCGCGACTGATATCCCGCCTTCCTTCTCCTTCCGTTTAGCACTGACGATGTGGCAACTTTGGGCAGACCTCCAAAATTTCGTATCCAACGTGCTGCACGTCCGGACAGTTTGACTGACGGTAACGCGGTAGTGTTGTTTTCTTCCGACAGTCGTTGTGAACTTCGGACAGAACGTGCGGACAGTCGTTGTAAACCGCACGTTGCGAGCTTGCGAACTCATGCGATGTCCAGATTCGTTCCCCCTCCCCTTTGGGCAAGTGCCAAATCAGCCGGACGTGTCATGTGCACTTTATATGGGAAAACGTCGACGGTTTCCCGTCGCCAGGAACGCCATCTTATTCCTTTGGCATGTTTGAGAAGCATGCAAATACACCTGTTCTCCGGTATTTCCACACCCCCTACCCTCGTTTTTGCCAGACACCCTATACGGCTTGAGGATCGATGAGACGGACACCCTGACACTACGGGTCTATCAGTAAAGAGCCGTCAGGTTCTGGCCATTCGAAACTCTAATTTGTACTTGTCAGAATGTTATGATTGTCTAGCCTACAGTGGGGTACTCTATAGCGAGTACAACCCTTCTAGGGTTTGCTATATGTATCTCTATGCGTGTTAGTGAAAACCCCTTCTTGCCTGTTTCTCGATTGTGCCTAGATTTCAACATGCTATCAGAGCAGGTCGACCCTCCTGGGTCGATCCTGTGGGTGGTCCCACCAGAAGCTTCCGCAGCAGTTTCCTGCTGTTTCCTGCCTGCCGCGCGCTCCGGGCGCGCAGCGATTTTTTCTTCCCGCCGCGCGCCTGCCTCGTCGACCCGTCGCGACGCCATGAGGAGCCGCGCGCGGCCCCCGCTGCCCGTCGCGACGCCCTGGGGAGCCGCGCGCGGCCCCCGCTGCCCGTCGCGACGCCCTGGGGAGGCGCGCGCGGCCCCCCGTTGCCCCGTCGAGCCGCCCTGGGGAGCCGCGCGCGCGTCCCCCCGTGCTGCTGCCCGCGCGCGCCGTCCCCCGAGGTGCTGCCCGCGCGCCATCCCCCACTCCTGCCTACGATTAGGGTTTGGGGGTGGCGCGTGTGGGGGTGGCGGGTATGGGGTGCCGGGTGTGTGCGCCGTCCCCTCCTCCTCCTCCTTCTCCGTCTCCCACTGCTGCAGCTGCCGCTGCGGGGGGGTGGATGTGTGGGAGCCGAGGGAGTGGCGCTAGGGGGGTGTAGTGGGAGTAGAGCTAGGGGTGCTGCAAGGGGGTGTGTGAAAAGGGGGTGGGACAGCTGGGGGAAGTTGAGTGGAGGCCGTCGACTTGTCGTCCGCAGCGCCTGAAGTCCAGGGAGCCACGACCCCCTGTGGCCTGAGTAGTCCGGGGCTCTGCGCCCGGTAGCCACAGTGTGAGCTCCCCTGGGAGCACAGCGAGTCAGCTGCGACCCCCTGTCGCCGTGTAGTCCGGGTTTAGCCTGGTAGTGACAGTGCGGCGTACTCCTGCTGCCCGTGTGTCTGCAGCTTCAGCCGTCGCCTCTCATCTTCTTGCTCCCACAGTTTCTCCTCCTCCTCACTTGCCCTCTGTGATAGCCTCTAGCTTTGCTTGTATTTGTGAACCTACTGCTCTGCCTGCTTGTTGTGTTGATTGTACCCCACTTTGACTATGGGGGTGTGTCAGAATGTTATGATCTAGCCTGTAGTGGGGTGCTCTATAGCGAGTACAACCCTTCTAGGGTTTGCTATATGTATCCCTATGCTTGTTAGTGAAAACCCTTCTTGCCTGTTTCTCGATTGTGCCTAGATTTCAACAGTACTCAGGGTGAGCGGGGAAAATTCCCAGTGCCATAATGTTAGAGTGTTAAACTCGCATTGAGGTCGTGTCTTATTACCTTCGAAACTCCCGCGTTCGTTTCTAACTACCTTTGAAATCAGATTTTTACGAGGGTAGGTACCCTACCTTTGAAGATAGGGGGTGTGGAATTATCGCAGGATAGGTGTACACATTCCAGTAAAGCAATAAATCATAAATCTTCCCTAGGACTCAACGACGAACCCGCCGCATGGCGCGGGTGTATTGAGCAGATGAAGAAGACCTCAAGTACTGTTTTGAGAGCATTCCGGGCTCGTAACAAGCTGTTACGAACAGAATCTCCAAGAATGTTGGAGGCCCCAACCCAACCCAAACCCCCGAAAATAGGTTAGAGCTGGGGGTCGCAGGGAGTCGTTTGACCGTCGCCTGTTACGAGGTGGGCTCTTCGGAACAGCTTGGAATGCCCTGGAGAAGGCACCTGGAATGCGACATGCGACTCGGCGGGAATCCAATCCCAGCAGTGCCACCGCCGCTATGTACCACCCCTCCCTTCCTCCCTCTCCGGATTCCCGCCTGACTCTGTTCCCTCCCCACCCCCGCATGCACACTCTCTTCACTCCCCTTTCCACTGCTTTCTTTGCTAGTCGTGCCGTGTCTTTCGCCTTCGCTGCTGCTCTCACACCTCTCACAAACCTCTTGGCTCAGTTCGTTGGCGCCTGTTTCACGACGTCGTCACAACGACATGGTGAAATTCTCGACTTCGCCTAGCTGGACTTACTAGAAACTATTCTGGGACGTCGCTGGCAGTCACACTAGCCAGTACACACTGTAGTGACTAGGCTGTCCCACCAATGCCCCTCTTCGCGCCTCCCCTTGTGCTTGTTAGCGGCTGCAATTTCGCCGTTACAGAACCCGCTGTTACTGTGGCCGTTCATTCCCGCAGCAGGCGCCGTGTCAGAACGCGCCTCGTACCCCTCGCGAACCACTTGCGCCAATCTGCTTCCGCTCAACCCTCCTGAACTCCCGTCAACGAAGTCAACGTTCCGAACGTGGGGAAAACCCGATCATGCTGCTACTCAACGTCACAGGTAATACTACCACAACTACTACTATATTTACTCGCCCTCTCTCGAGTCTCGCTCATAAAAACCGTGCAACAACGCCCGGCGTTAGTACTTGCAATACAATCGCCAGCAGTGCTCGAGTTATCGCCCACGTAGTGACTAAATACTTCTAGTGCTATTTCCGCCTCTCCAATCGTACACTCTCATTCTAATCCGCACGTTTCCAGATTCTCATACAGCATTATGGCCTCATTCCCTCGCGCCCTCCCATTCCCCCTCCCCGTCCCGTCGCGCCTTACCCTCATCGCCCTCCTCGCGCTCATCACGTTCCTCCGCCACGGAGAAGCCTACACCGACCCGCCGATCCCCGACGGGCATCGCGAAATTGGTTGGGTGCGGATTTTGGGCGTCGGTGGGTTTTCCTCCCGAAATGTACACGAAAAGTGCTAACGAGCTCCGAAGAAGTCACGGCCCATTCTGTGACTTTTCTGTGACACGGTTCGGTATACTGAGAAGTGACGGAAAAGTGACATCTAGCGATACATAGTCAAATTTGCGGCGCGAAATGTGCGGTTCGACCACACTTCGATTCCCGCCGGTTGAACTCTCCGCGTTACCACTCGGATTGGCTTTAGATGGACGCGTTATAACATCAGTGTCATGATTGCAACCATGTTAGCTTGTTATTGAGTAGCGTATATTAATATGTTTCCTAACGGATTAAATGTCGAGAAAGGTTACACGAGGTGCTCCATCCATATGTGGTCACTTGCAGAGCAGAAACTTGTTCAGGAGCACTACACGGGCATTCACAAACGACTTGCAGATGTGCACCACCCTCTTGATGCACTCAATATCCACCACCGCAAACTTCGTTTTCACTCGCCCGGGCGTTAACTGAATGCATGTGGTCAGCCCACACACCCCTGCCGCCTCATAGTACTTCACGTACGCAAACCTGGCAATCGTCCCGTCAGTCTGCTTCGCCCGAAAAATGCACAAGCACCGTGCATACCACTCCTCCTCCTCCTTTGGAGACTTGACCGCCACATCCGAGAACCAGTTCTCTGTGGGACTTGCCTTGACAAAGGTCCCTTTTGCCACCAATTCGCCTCCACGCGTTCGTGGGATCGCCACGGCCGTGTGTACCTGTCGCGCCAAGCGAAGACAGCATGAGTACGATGGGCACAACAACATCATCCCACACACATCCTATGAGTGCACAAGCACACATCACCTCAGACACCACTCACCCAGAAACGATCCAGAGAAAGGTCAGCACGCGTGGCGCATGACGTCAATGCGTTCATGTCGCTTCCATGTGTTGAACGGTATGGCGCGAGGGTGCCATCCTCTGGGTCTGAAGGGTACGCCACCCGGGACCGGCGCGTCAGCACATACTCCTGCAACCGCACAGCCTGTATACCACACAAGTCAGGCATAAGTATCGCGTAATCTGACGTGTCTCTTCAAGTCTCCTACATCGGACTGTCACGTATCTCCTCAAAGTACATGAAACGATCAGGAAACGCCCAGCACACAACATTACCTCACGTAGTGCAGTTGTGTACTGTCTTCCACCGCACGCATCCACAGCCACCTCTCGCGCCAACTCCCTCTGCACCTCCTCCTCCACTATCCGCCGAGGAATGTCATTCCAATTCCCCCCCCTCACCGGGATCTTGACAGTCACCTTGTGACAGTGTTCCCACGCGTTGGTTGAGTACTTGTGCGGCATACCCCGCATGGGGATGCCATCAATGAGGTGGACCACCGCATGGACTTTCGGCAAGTTCCATCCCGATGACTGTGCGGGGAAAGCAGCGATCAGCGCGTCCACCATCCTGCAAGTGAACATGTTTGTATAGCACACTATCATAACCCATAACACCCTACACACTAAACCAACCACCACCCATTAATTTGAACGCCACCAAACACTCACGAGATTGCATGCTGTCTGACCACCGCCAATGAAGCACGCGTGTGCTTCACCACGCCCACAAGCGCCTTGTAAAAGGTGGCGTACATCCGGAATGCTCGCACCTCGCGCTCTCTCTGCTCACGCTCCTTCGGCTTCATTCCGTCCATCTTGTCCGCAATGATCAGCGGCATCACTTGCATCATCGCCCTGTGCTCAAATGCCGCATAGTTGGCGGCGCTCCGAAAATACGATGATCCACCTGGAATCCTCAGCACGGTTGATCGTGTGTCCTTCTTGTATGCCTTCTTCCTCCTGTGGTGGTTATATGTACACAAACACACGTATTAACTCTTGCATGCAATCATTCCATAAGATGTCTATTACCATCTGGCGCAATGTGGTATGCGATAACAGCATGGTAACTCGGAGTGTGCAAGGAAACACAGTCCCAATACTCACCCCTCCCACTCCCGTTTCTCTGGCTTTCTCTTCCCCTCCACAAAGCACGATGTCGAGTGACCGAACACCCCAGAATCCAACACGTGCAAGATGTCCGCGACGCACGCAAGGAACACATTCCCCCACTCCGTGTCTGCGAAATTCCACCGTTCCAAGACACACTGCACACGGCGTGTCATACAGAATTTAGGGTTATTGACACAAAACAAGTGGTGGCCATACTGGACATGGGACTCATCATTCGCCCGCCAACCAGGAATGGTTGCCTACCACAAGCAGGTGTGTCGACCACCTCCTCTGGATACGCTGAGCCAGAGTATCCGTTGCGGCCGTCTGGATGGCGTGGACGATGCGCCGCTGCTTGTCCACTGTGCGCACAGGAGCACGCAGGTCGACACGAGCCAGATCGTCCTCCCGCACGTAGCAGCTGCTACATGGGCGGTGAGACGTCGCCTGCATCGTCCCGGTTGCGCGGGACAGCTCCGGATAATCTCCGACTTCTACAAACAGACACGTGTATGCCTTCACTGCCTTCCCGTTAACGTCTGTCACAAAAATGAATCGGAGCTCCGCGCTGCAACACATTGATATACACGACCGCGCAAGGTTGGAGTTTACACGCATGAGATATTGGGGCTCTCCGACCTTTCTGCCCACACCGACACGTACTCAAGCACATCTTACTCTTTGTGGTCCCGCAAGAGTGGCGCAAGAATGATCTTCAGCGCCTCTTGATAAACGCGCGTCTTCTCCGTTGACGATGCCCATTCCGGCGGAAACGGAAGGATAGCCGCCAGTACAAATCCTGGTTCCGTCCATCTGAACCCCTCCGGTATGTTAACCAGCGTGATGAGAACAGGCCACACTTGTCTCCTGCCGTTTCCAGACGCATAGGTGCTGTCACTGTAAACAATGGCCCCCAGCACCCATGACCCCTTCTCAGGTAACGCCGCCTGCCAGTACGAGAGGCGTCGCCAGTGTATCAGTCTGGTGTCGTCGAATCGGAACTATCGCTAGACTTTCAGACAGCCAATATCTCCACCCACCTGACACTCGTGAAACCACTTCCCCGTGTCGGGCGTGCTGTAATGCCGAGAGTCCTCGTCGTCCTCTACATCCGTCCGGGGCTGCGTGACAAATCCGCGCACGTGCACAAATGTCCTCACCAACTTCTTCACCAGCTGCATTTTGTTTAGGGTCCAAAAGGGATGCAACGACCAGGACTTAGAGCGCACCTCGAGTCAGGTTCAGCCACGCTTTAAAACAGGACAACAGCATGTAGCGCACGTGAAGACTGAATTGCGTCTTGTCACTCCACATTGCTGTACTCACCAACTCCGTGTTCCTGACATGAAGAGTCAACCTGGCCACCTTGCCGTGAGGCCCGAACACCTTGATCTCTTCGACGGTCCACGGAACAATGTCCGGCGGTTCCCGCTCTTTTCCATAGCGCCGCACATCCGCCGCATTCCGCCATGAGTGAGCAGCTTGTAGATCAAACAGGGGGCTTCTGAAAATGTGAAGTAACCTGTTCACTTCCCTAATCGACAGGTCTGCATCGCGGAAGAACAGATACAACTCCTGTAACGTGTCGAAACAGTCGTCCACACTGGTCACGTCAGAGTGCGCGTCGTCGCAGTCCGCCTCCGAAGCTGGTGCAGGCGGACTGACCTCTACATGCGGTCGCTTAAGGTTGCTCGACCGCGGCGGTCCTTTGGAGCTCTCGGGAGAACACGCTGCCGGTTTCGGCTCTGCTAACGCAATCAGCGCCTCTCGATAAGCAGCGACCAACTTCGATGCGTACAAATGTTTAAGCTTCTGCCGACAGACGTTGTTTTTTGTTACGTGAGACTGCAACGCGTTGTCATCCGCAAACTCGAGTTTACACGCATCGCACTTGTTGCCTAACATCGGGCCTACTTGTGAAACCCTAATGTCACTATCTCCTCTACGTACAACGTGTGCGTTTAATGACTGAAGGAACCCAGTGTCCCCCCGTCGAAACAAGACTCTGCCAGAGGTGGAATATGAGCCACATGAACTCTTGTACACGAACAGTCCGCTTATTGTGAGCTCGTACGCATGTTGTGTGCCACGTCAGCACTTCTGGATGGAGCATGAGCAGTTTTGTGCGGTGTTCAGTCTATCGGCTCGGGAGCCGATAATATGTTGCCTGTAACACTGATATCGCGAGTGCGCCGCACCGAAAGACTCATTGTGGCTAGTGTGCACCGCCACTCCCAACTTGGATCTTGATAACCCCGGGGTGCTGTGCGGTGCTCGTTAGACTCGTGCACGTGACGTTTCCGGTACAACTAACCGGGAACATTGTTCAAGCTGCCAGTATGTGGGTACGTTACATGGCACGTGGTGCATATTTGATTGAAAACGAATACAACGCATGCAACATATTTTGCGGCCACGTTGCAAAACATGACAATGTTCAAATCTTTATCGTTAAATACACAGCAAGGGCTGCTGAGCAGACAATTCCCAGCACACGCCGCGCGGTCCAATTGCGTCGTGGCCAAAGCAAACCTGCCGTACTACAACAGCTTCACTCTCCGACATTACGCCTCTTCTTCGTGGGCGTCCTTAGTAGACGGGACACGAGTTCGGCGTTCGTAATGCCAGCGTCCACAACGACGTCGGCGGGGTCCTTGCCTGATTCCACTGCTCGTTTCGCGAACGCACCGGACAACGTGCGCATGACGCGACGAATGCTCCTGGCATCGTCCAAGTAGCCAGGTGCCGCCGCAGGCTCGGCACCAGTATCACATCCGAGATGAAAATCTCCTGCAGTCACGACGTCAGTGCACACAGGATGATCCGCTTCAACGCACACGAACTTGACAGCGGACAAGCGGTCCCAGTGAGGGATGTACCGATCAATCTGTCTCTGCAAACGCATTAGCTCATCCGTTAACTGGTCCAGCACTAAGGTGCTAACCCGTGGCAGTGACGCAAGAAACATGTGCTGCCAGTTCGGGGGGACGCAATCCGCCGCAACCCATGAACGCATGATTGTTGCCCTCGAAACGCGCTTCCAGGACAGCGCCATCCACACCACGACTGTTTCCAGCCCGGGGCGTGACAACGCCCACGCTCCGTCATCCGGTCGCATGTCCGCCAAGATCTGCTGAAGCCACAAGTTACGGAAAAGCGCCTTAAAAGTCTCGACGATTCCGAGAAGCATCGGTATCCCGCATATGGGTACCACCTCCGCCATTTGCACCACCCGGATGTGGGTCAATGTGGTGACATCGAAACCGCACATCTTGGACCGAGCTCCGGAGCGTGTCGCCATGGTGTGGCGCGGGTTGCAAACCAGGATAGTCGTCTTCCGATTGGTAGTCAAGTTAGCGGCATTCAGGTCCTCAATGATGCACGTGAAAACCTGCAAGCGCGAGCATGGGCGCGGTCCGAAGTCATTTGTCAAGCACAGCCATAGTGGTTCGATCAGTGACAAGTTGTGGACCCAAGTGTGTTTGGCGGAGATGGGTCTTACCTCTGACGTTAAACGCCAATCCGTTGTGTTCCACGTGACCACGTGTTCGCTCATGTTGAAATCTTCCCTAGGCTCCTGCTCGGGCCGTTGGTCCGTAAAAATAAATGGGCGGGGCTTTGAAGACCCGTCGACGTTGAAGAGAAGGCACACCGAAAAGCGCCAGCCGCCGTCGTGCAGCATCTTATCGTCCATGTAGATGATCCACTCCCAGGGGTGCTTAGACGGCATAAACGGAAATTCGATAAATCCGTAGACATCGCCCGGAGCCGCACCCAGGGACTGTAATAATCCCTTAATGTCAGCCATGCTTGTAAATTGGCGTACAATGTTTGTAAGCTGAAATGACACCCTAATATTTGTGTTCACCATGCCCACGAGCAAACCATTTTCGCACACAAAGCATTATGTGCTCTCTGCGCCACACGGTAGGCACTAGAAGTGGGTGGCTAGTTTTACGGCTCATGAAAAGACGCACACAGCTGGCATTATGCCATTGGATCCAAATGAACTCGGCCTTATCGTTCTGAGATGCGGTGAACCTGCATACGCGTTGTTCCTGAGTTCATTTGTATTACTATTCGCACTCCAACAAGGCGTTCGTGGTCTGGTGTTCGATGCGGACACCCTAATCAATATTCCCGAAAGTATTGGGAATTCATGTGTCCATCAGTTTGTTCCATATGTGCTCTAGTCGTCTACAGTCATATTGTCTTATCACATTTCGCGAGTGCTCCGCTTCTCGTGTACGCGTTTTACCCTACACCCCGTTTCCGTTCGTGTGGACATTTACGCGGATAACTCATACATCGACCATTTTGGATCGTGTACAGTATATATCTACATGGCGGGAGGAGATGCTAACGGTTCGGCACGCTCTACAAAGGACCGTTCTTGAACCAAACGAACGCTGGTTTGGCATTGATGCCATGCATGCAGGCATCATGGTAAATTGACGCTCGGGTTGGGCCTACTGCGCACTTAGGCCGCTGCTATTTAGGGTTTGACTATCAGACACACATTCGCGAGCACACAGAATTCGTAGATTTCAACTAGCCAGAATACCTAGCAGATCTCAACCAAGCTTGAATACCTAGCAGATCTCAATCAAGCCAGAATACCTAGCAAGCCTGCAGTACTCGCTGATGCCACGGACACGAGGTGACGCAGCGCGCATAGGAAGGTCGGAGGCGACTTCTCCGCCTGCTGCACGCATCGAGTCTAAGTCGATGGTGGTCTCAAAGCGTCCCGACGGAGTCGCGCTGCCGCCCGCAGATGATAATCGTAGTGCAGAAGCGCACCACGCATGGCGGAGCAAAGGCAGAAAAAACCAAGATGCGGTGTGTGGGTCTACGGTGGTCATGCTGGATTGCGATCCCCCGCCAGACGACGTCATTCAGGCGATGATGCAGAAAGAGGATACCTCGGAGTGGGGATCCGTGACTTTGCACGGCCTGAACGGCGGAGAGTGTCAAGTGAAGGGCGATGACGCGATTAGTATCGCCGACGGTAAATGCCTGCACGACGCCGTGCTTGATTTTCACAACCTGTGCGTAATCCGTGGGGACATTGCCGTTATTCCTGGTGTGTATACCATCGTTTATCGACATGATCTTACGGGCCATGCTCGTATCTTATTGCTGCAGGTTGCTGAAGATCCGACATCCCACCTTGCCCAACGGAGGGACATGGGCCGTGCTAGACAGCAAAAGCTCCGCGTATTTCCAGCAGTTCCGTGATACCATAACGCATGGTCGACCGGGGAGCGTCTTCGCGGTTGACTACATGGCAATTCCTATTTTCCATAGGTGCGCTATCAACGGAGGCCGTGCATGTTGTTCGATACCGGTGGTTGTGCGGTGTGAGTGCACTAAACTTACGCTCCCATGTGCTACGTGTTTGCAGGGAACACTATTCCCTCATGGTTGTGGCCTCGCCATCTCAGATAGTGGCACCGAACAAGGGAGGAAAGGCCGCTGCGGTCGAGCTTATCCTATACGACAGCGCGGGTATCCACAGCACGGATGCAAAAGTATTCAACGGCGTCAAAAGGTAAGTGAATGAAATAATACTTGACAGGCGCGGCCGCGATACTAAACGTGTGACAACATGTGGCTAAAGCGTGGTCTTTTCTGTGGTTTTGGGATGCAGCCTGTTACACGCAATGGTGAAGAGAGAGCTACCGCACATCGATGAGGAAACGGTCAAGGGAGTGCTCATGGTGGCGACATGTATCACGCTTGGGGTAAGTACTTTCACTTTAACGGCTTCCGCTTCTTTACTAGCTGGCCTGGCGCACGTCCGCGATCTCCCCCTTCCCTTCCCCCTCCCCTTCCCCCGCCATCTCCCCCTCCCCCACCCACCCCCGCCAACAGGGAAGCTGCATTCCAATGCAAACGAATGGAGTCGATTGCGGTGTGTTCGTTTGCCAGAACCTGGCCGAGCTGGTGGCGACCAGCTTCAAGACTGCCCGTGACGGGCTAAGCTTCGACCGGCCCAACCCACTGGTGTACTGACGGGGTATGAGGGCGGAGATGTGCGATCATCGGGATGGAACTCTCGCCACGAAGCTGCAGGCCGAGGGGATAGTTATGCCCACGCCGCCCCACACCGCGAGGGCTCTGGACTCAGCAATGATGGTGCAGGACGATGATGACATCGTCGAACTGAAGTCCGAGAAGGAGATGCAGTCAACCGACACGCAACTCGTAGTGCTTGCTGCGAAAATCGGCGCAGTCTCTCTGGCACTTAGGTATGACGAGGACCAGCTCCTAGCTGGTGCTGCGCACTTTTTGACAACGCACACTCCCATCGTGGATCCAATCGTCAAGGGGATGGGGGCCGGCAAGGATACTGAGGCCGTCGCGAACAGCATTGCGGCGGCGCTGCACACCACGCCTAGACCTCTCCCACGCCATCCAGCAGGTCAAGTGGGCGTTCGATTGAGCAAATTGGCGTCCACTACCACCTCACCAGTACCCACCAGCAAGCCTCAGAGTCCACGGACGCCGCATCTTGTCGGGTCAATTCCAACATCGGGGGCAGGAATTTCGGGATGCAGGGAGAAAGCATCTGGCGCCACCGTTGGGAAACCTCCACGAGCTCGAGAGAGGACACGCGAAGGACGGACAGGGCACACGGGCGTGCGATATGATCCGGAGACCGGCAAGTACTATGCGAAACTGGTGTGGGGACGTGGGTCCAGACAGCAGATACGGCTTGGTTCATACACCGATGAGATCGATGCGGCATACGCATACGCTGCCGCAGCACATGTGCTGCGCCCGAAGGTTATCAGTAAGGGTGCGGTGAGATTGTCCGACTCGGACATTGCGGCGCTATCGGGTTGCACGGGTGAGCATATTCGCGCGCTGGTCCGTAAGCGGAAGTGGTGGAGGTGGCGTGAGTGGATGGTGGCTCTGAGCGAGAGGGGGCATGTATTTCATGGACAGGGAGAGGGTCATGATGCGGCAGAACGTTCGGTACCCAGCAGTGCGTCGGAAGATAGTGACGCACAGGACGATGAATACCCTTTGACGCAAAAGGGCGAGGGGGATGTGCACATGAAGGCAGAAGGGGAGGCAAACGGGGGATGTGATGGCGGCTCAGACACCAACACAGAGCTAATGGGGAAGTAAACCATGGGGCTGTGCGTGCTTGTGCAGGGCCGTATGATGGTGGATTGTTTACATCGTTTGTTGACATGCCAATGGGAGGCGCGGTGAGACCCAGGGACACGCATGAGGATACTTTACGCAATGTGATAGTGCTTGATCAAGACGAGGTTATAGCACGTATGATGCGTGTCTTAAAATGCTCAATGAGTTTTCGTATTCACAAGATCATATACACCAGGACAGTCCATGTGGTACCATTGCTGCGCACATGGTGTCGTCTTAACGCATACCGGCCATGAAACCAGCACATCGGATTGTATCGCGTATACGGTAAGAGGATACGTGTGTCCTAACGTGTCATGCTATTATAGGCTGTTGTGATTACATACTCATTTCGACCACAAAATGGGTCCGTGTTTTGTATGGGGGCAGAAAACATCGGCCTTGATGCCAGAGCTAAACAGACGCAGTATAGCTCATTGTGACTTTACAAGAGTAGCTAAACATCTACAGACAGTTGTGACAACAGACGCTGTGAGATGGCGAGTGCCCTAGCCATGTCGCAAAGAGACGGGCGAGGACACCGGGTATCTAAGCCACCTGCATACCTGCGGCAGGCCTAAGCGACGCGGGCCGTCTAAGAGTTCTAAGACGGCGCCGACCATTGTCCGCGCGGGAGACGACGGTGCATCAGCGCACTCCCCGCGGGGTATGCTTTAATGTGAATGTTACTGGTGGCATCTGTTTCGTGTTTCACATGATGCCCCTAAGTTCGTCAAAGTGTTTTATCACATGCCCATGTGTGTGCACCTACAGCATCTTCTGGGCGGCGCGTGGCGGGTGAGACTGCGCCATCTGCTAGCGGGAGTGGGGATGCAGCTGCAGAGTCCCAGTCTTCCCAACAGCCATCGCAACCAGCTGAGGCGTCGCGGTCGAGGCGCGTCGAGGATGTTGTGAACGATACGCAAGCTCCCACTGGAGGAGCGAACGCCGGGAGTTCGCGCCCGGTGGTATTGATCGACGATCCTGCGGATTTGCTGCCGGAGATGCCGCGTAACTACGACGGTGATGTGGGAACACGCATTTACCGTGACTATGACAACACGCCCGTATCCCGCGAGGAGTTCAATCGCATTGTTCGTGCGCATGAGGAAACCCTTGCAGCGTTGGCTCAATTGGAGACCGTCCTGCTTGCAAAGATTGAGCACGAGAAATCCCAGGAGAAGGCTCGTAAGCGGAAGCGGGGACGAGGCAATGAGACGCGCTCAGCACATGAGGCCGAACTGAGTGATATAGCGCTATCCGACGACGAAGTCAGGGACCGGGCACCTAATGCGCGCCATAAGAAGACTGCCAAATCGGCGATTCTGCAGAGGGCATTGGAAGTGCTCCCGGCCGACAAACCCTGGAAGGTCTTGTGACGCTTTTTTGCATGGGTGTTTGCACATCTGGGTGCATTTTGCGTCGACCATACCATGTTAGGTGTGTGCGAAACCGAAATGATGCCATGTACAGTCCTGTGTGGCCGGCTGAGGATGTACAATGCACTTTTGTTTCCACTCCATCCTGCGCATTCATGGCCCATGATGTGACAGAACATTTGCGAGCAGGTGCGCGTTCACATGTTTTTGGAGCGGAGGAACGAGAAGATGACGTTCTACCCCAGCAGTGAGGAGAAGACAGCGGGGGTGTGCGCCGTGGTAGACAATTTGCCGCAATCGTACGCCTCACTGGCTCTTGCAGCATGCAAGGCCCGTCGGGCCGATCTTAATCGGTCTCTGAGCGATTGGAAGACAGCGGCTGCGGGCCGGGTGCGTGACATCGCGCTGCCGCGAATCGGGCTTTTTCGGGATGAACGGGACGCGCTCAGCCCGTGGGCAACTCCAAAGGCTCGGTCCATTGCGAAGGTTCGAACTCGTACTGGGCTTGACGCCAGTATCGGTGGTAAGGTGTTGTTTATGACCCATCTTCTATTCTGCAATCGTTGTATACTTTCTGCTCTGGTTCTCTAACACTGGGGCGCTTATCTTTGCGTACAGACAAGGTCGTGCTGTCAAGGTGGTCGCACGACCGCAGGGGCATGCCGTTTGCCTCGGGCGCATTCACTGCGTGTGCACGCACAGTTTTCAAGCCCAAGATGTTGAACGGCACCATCACCCTGAAGCTCTACCATCTCGCGTGGATCGAGCATCTGGTACGAGATGGCCGGAGGGGATAGGTGGTTCAACGTGTAGGCTGCGATTGAACCGGCCGTGTGGCCACGTGGCACGTAACTGCAATCCTGTGTTCACGCAGGCGCCGGTGTTGTTTTATGTGCCCAGGTTACTGACGCGATTCTCAACTGGGAGCAGCGCAAGGGCTGCCTGTCCAATTCGGCCTCAGTCAACGCCCACATGGTCAAAGGGCTGCAAACCTTGGTGTTTGATGCTATTGTGGGGGCCATTGACAAGTACAACCCGCCATACGACCCGGATACCAAAACGTTCGAATGGGGCCGTCATGGGCTCCGCCTCTCGACGTGCGGACTGGAAGAGACACTTCCAGATGCGACAGGCGACGAGGAAAGCGAGAGATCCCTCGACGAAGTCTCAGTGTCGCACGGGAATTCAAGAATGGACGAGTAGTAGGCGGAGTAGTTGGGGACACATAGTGTGATTTGTGACAGTAAAACCTTGTTGTTGTGGGGTTGGATATGAGTGAAATTGAACGATATATCGCGAAACTCAATGATGTACAAACGCCTGTCAGACACTATCAGCACAGAAAGAGCGGTTACAATGTACATGGTGCGCCCCGGTTAGACATATTGAGCATGGGGCGGCGGCAAATACGGAAGGCCTATCAAGCCCGAGTCGCGGATTTAGTAGGGTGTTAGAATAACCGTAGATGTTAGGTGTGGGCACCTTAGGATGGATAGCGATACAAGTCGGATTGTGTCGATACACCGTTTGATGTGGAGGATCGTATCTCGCACAGTGGTTGTGGTTGCGCCCGCGTGTCTGTGTGTGCAGGTGCCACGTGACACAACGCCAGCCGCTTGATCGAAGATACGGAACGGACTTACGGCCTTCATCGGACGGACTGTGCGTGGTGATCTTGCATATCGGAGTCATTTGTTGCGCAGCACGTGTCTTGTTGTGCTTGGCTGCTTAGCTATGGGCCAACTGTCGTACGACGTAAGTCGTACGTGCTCGTGCGTATCGTCTACCGAGTGTCCCGCCACGTGTCGGGCAGTACTAATGGTATGCGTTTAGGAGACAAGCCACCAGCGCTTTTACGTAGTTCACATCCAGTACTTTTTTGCAAAGTTGCCCTAGGCACGTTGTAGGAACATGCCAGTAACGTAGGATGTGACGTATTATGTGATACGAATGTTTCGGAACGGGCGTTTTTCAGATACTTTTATGTGACTTTTTTGTTACATCGGAGGTCACATCGGCGCTGGTACTTTCAACCATGACTATAAAACGCCAGACTTGCAGTCACGCAAAAGTCACACTTCGATCACCTTTTTGTGACTTTCGGCACTTGACAATTTCGCGATGGGTGCGTCGCGGAGATAGCGGAGGTCGACCGGGAGGCCATGCGCGCGGTGTACGCGGCGCTGCCGGAGAGGATGATCTTCTGGCACGATGGCATCCCGCAGTACAAGATGTTCGACGACAACCACAACGTCTCCTACTGTTGTGTCGCGCCCAAGCCCGCTGGTGTGTCGTGCTACCTCTGGTGCCCGCTCGAGTGCACGCCCGCCGGCCGCATCACGCGCATTTTCTCTGACCCGAGCCGCCAAGATATGCCCGTGCAGAGCGGGAGCGGAGGGAGCTGCCCGCCCGGCGCGCTGTCGCCCGCCATTGGCAATCTCGCGGAGCTCTCGTCGCTTGTTTTCCGCCACTCGTGCCTCGCGGGCGACTTGCCGGACTCCGTCACGCGCCTCCAGAAGCTGACGGAAATCGTCATGCCCGAAAACAACTTCTCCGGTCCCATTCCACCTGGCCTTTTCCGCCTGCCCGCGCTCCGCCACGTGGATCTGAGCACACTCAGTACCAACCCGGAATTTCAACTTCCATATGAAGGCCTTTCGGGGTCCCTTCCCGACGGGCCCGACGCGTACTCCCCGTCGTTGGTAGCGGTCATCCTGTCCGGCAACGCGCTCTCGGGGGACCTTCCGCGCGCCCTTCTCCGCGCGCCCGCGCTGCGCAGGTTGGACCTGCAGAGCAACAACATCACGGGGGAACTCCCGGGGGAGGCGGGCGCGTATTCGCGGAGCATCATTCGGCTCATCCTGCGCAACAACAGCCTGTCCGGCGCCATTCCGCCCGCGCTGGCGGAGATGACGGCGCTGCGGAAACTCGACCTGGGGGAGAACCGCCTGTCCGGCGCGGTGCCCGCGGCGCTGCGCGACTCCGAGTCGCTCAAGGTGCTCGATGAAGTGCGGCTCGACAGCAACACGCTTACCGGGCCGTTCTGCGACGCGCTGCTGCCGGCGAGCGAGCTCTGGCTGGGCTTCAACGACCTGGGCGGCGCGACCGCCGGGAGCAGCGCCAGCGCCACCGTCGGCGGCGGCGGGGGCGGCGGAGGTGAGGCGGACGAGGGGGGCTCTCTGCATGGCTGCGTGCTGCCCGCGAAGCTAGAGAGACTAAGCGCGCCCCACGCGGGGCTGCTGGGGAGCGTTCCGCCCGACCTGTTCCTGGTGACGAACGCGCAGTCGGGGCGCAAGCCCTCCATGGGCGGCTTGGGTAGGATTATCGGGATCGACCTGAGCCACAACAGCCTCTCAAGCAGCCTGCGAGCTTTCACGGTGCTTCCGTCCGGCCCGGGGGACTTGGATCTGTCGCACAACAACTTCTCCGGCGGTATTCCCGATGTGTTTTTCAGCTACTACTTCTGGCTCGTGGACCTGCGGTTTAATGAGCTGTCGGGGCCGCTGTTTGACACGCGCCGGGTTTGGAGTTACGACTGGGACGTGCTGCGCGTGAGCAACAACAGCGCGCGCATGGCGGGCGCCGTGGGCGCGGGGTACCTCCCCACTCCAGCGCCTGGAGTGCAGGCCTCCGCTGTGGAGACTGCTGCGCTGCTGGCGGTGCGCGATGCGCTCCTGGGGGAAGGAGCATTGGGAACAGTCGGAGCAGCAGTGGGGGGAACGGCGTTGGTGAACGGCGGAAACGGCTCATGGGCGGAGATTCTGCGCAGCTGGGACGCGTGCAGCAGCAGCGCGTGTGCGTGGTACGGCGTGGGGTGCACAGCAGACGGACACGTGGACACACTCCACCTGATAGGCGCTTCCAACGTTACCCTGCACCCCAACTTCGTCCCGGAATCGCCCGAATGCGAGTACGACCAGTACGGCGACTGGAGATGCGCGCACGACGTTCCGCAGCCTCCCAATACGGTGTCCTTCTTCCTGCAGGGCCTGCATGGAGTAGCGCCGGCAGTGCGAGGGGGAGTCTGTCGGAGGCGTTGGGGCAGCTGACGCAGCTCACATCGCTGCGCATCTCCGGGCACGCTCTCTCCGGCGGCCTGCCGCCGTCCCTCTCGCGCCTCTCACACCTCGTCGCTCTCGACCTCTCCTCCAACCGCCACCTCTCCGGCTCCATCCCCCCCGCCCTCCTCACCCTCCCCTCGCTGCGAGAGCTCTCCCTCCGCGGGAACAACCTCACGGGAGAGGTCCTCCCAACCACCACTGCAGCAGCGGCAGCAGCAGCAGCAGCAGGAGCCGGCGGAGGCGGCGGCGCCGCCGCTGCTGTCACCGAGCTTGGAGAGTCTAGACGTGGGGGGGAACGCTCTCTCGGGGTCCATAGCAGCGCAGGTGGGTCTTCTGACGGGGCTGACGCGCCTGGCGCTGGACCACAACCGGCTGGACGGCAGCTTGCCACAGGAGCTCCGCGCACTCTGGATGCTCCGAGACCTGCAGCTGCAGGGGAACGCCCTCCAGGGGGACATCGCTGCACTCGCTACTGCCTCCCCCCCCCCTGCTGCTGCCGACGATGGCAGTACCGCCGACTCTGCTGCCTCCAGTGCGCCTGTCTCGTGGGGTCTCAGCGGGGTGTTTCCGCTGCTGACCCGTCTGGACGTCAGCAGCAACGAGCTCTCGGGCGACGCAGCCACGCTCTCCCCTCTCCAGCAATACTTACACACACTCAACGTCTCTCACAACCGCCTCACGTGTGGCCCCTTCAACGCCTCCTGGAACGCACGCTACATGGACCTCTCACACAACCGCATTAGTGCCCCGCTGCAAAGCTTGTTCCCGCTGTCCGATGGCATCTACTCGAGTGTGCTGCGTCTATCGCACAACCAGCTGACGGGACCCATCCCTGCCACGCTCCTGCAAGACAAAGTGACGGACGAGTTGGACCTCTCACACAACCTGCTCACGGGTTCAGTTCCAGCCATCGTCAATTTGCACTCCTTGGAGACGCTCGATCTGTCGTTCAACCAGCTGTCTGGCACCATTCCTAATCTGGATGTGTTCCTGATAAGATGTGACTTGTCCCACAACCGGCTCACCGGGGAAGTTCCCCCGCCGTCATTTGTAATGGAGTATCTGAACGCAAGTTGGAACAAGCTTGATGGGATGGCCCAGTGGGATCATAGCCAGGGCATGAGGTTGAAGAGTCTGGACGCGTCTCACAATGCCATGGCTGGAAATCTGCCAGATTTGGGTCATAGGGATGGGCTGATGAGCCTGACATATCTGGACTTCTCCTACAATGCGTTTACTGGCACTCTTGCGCAAAAGATTTACCCGTTTTTTAAGCGAGCGACAGGATCAGGAAAAGTGGAGCCTGCATTCAAGTTAGAGGTTGGGCTGAGCCACAATGAGCTCACTGGGAGCATCCCTAGTATCATATTCTCCTCGAACATATCGCTGCTCGACCTCTCCCACAACCAGTTCTCCGGCCCCATCCCAGACCCTCCCCAGGGGAACGGCCAGAGCTCCTCCCTCGTCCCCCTCTCCCACTTGGACCTCTCTTCAAATAAACTCACAGGAAGCATCTCCAATGCTCTCGTCACCGGCCTCGCAGCCCTATCCCACTTGGACCTCTCCGCCAACCTGCTCTCAGGCTCGCTGCCGCGCTCGCTCACTCTTGCCCCCACACTCACCGACCTCAACCTCTCTCGCAACAAGCTCAAGGGCTCCCTGCTTGCCTTCTGTCAGGGCAAGCAGCGCCTCGCCTCTCTCCTCCTCTCCTCCAATGCTTTCTCCGGCCCCCTCTCCTCCCTCCTCCCCTCCTCCTCCTCCTCCTGCGCCTCCTCCCTCCTCTCCCTCAACGTCTCCTCCAACCAGCTCTCCGGCTCGCTCCCCTCATCCCTCTCGCGCTTCACCGCTCTGCACTCCTTGCTAGCAGCGCGCAACCGCATGAGCGGCAGCATCCCTGCAGGGCTGGCATCGCTGACGGGCCTGCAGGAGCTGGACATGTTGTGGAGCGGGCTGTCAGGCACCATCCCTGCGCGCCTGCGTGCTGCTGCCCCCTCCCTGCAAGTGCACCTCGCTGGCAACGCCCTCTCTGGCTCCGTCCCCCCCTCTCTCTCCGACCTGCCCACCTCCTGCTTCCGCCCCGGCAACCCCAAGCTCTGTGGGAAGCCCCTGCCTGACTGCAAGAAGCGCTCTGCCAAGCCCAGGAAGGGCCGGTTGTAAGGCATGGGGAGGCGGTAGGACTCTGCGCAGATACTGTGTTAATGGAACCCGCCTGTGGGCTGCAGTCAAGGCATCTTCCCTAGCATACATGTTCACCATAAATGTGCTAAGATTACATCTTTTCTGTTTGTACTTATCAGATCCTGCAAGTGTGAATACACTAGTTAGATCACTAGCGAACTTCGAATGATTCTGGGTCGTTTTGGAGGTTCCCATATTACACTGATATTAAGTCTGTTAAGAATGATAATATTTCCCGGTGTTCGTCACACACCAAACAAAATTAAGGCGCTTTTCCTTGGTAATTGGATTCGTAGGCTCCACATTTTCTGACCCCGACGTCCATAACCGCTTCAAATATTATGCCTGTCTCCAGATATTTGAGAAGGTGCCTCTTTTCAAGTTAAATCCTATGAGAAGGGTCTCAAAGAAGACTGTATTCTGCTCATAATTCCTTCTATGTGAGCTGTCCTTTTGAGGGTTTAAGAATTGAAGCACGCAAATACATATTTATTGAAGCAATACAGATCGCAGGGAGACATCAAAGGGCAACACGCCGCAATTTGTGGGTATAATGAACAAGTATTGGCTCCAATTACCTGGGGAAGGCACCTGGGGTGCGACATGCGTCTCGGCTGGAGTTCACTCCAGCCAGCAACAACCACTTCCACCCATTCGTCCCTCCCTCCACCCCACCCCACCCAACCAGTGCCATTGCCACCATCTTTTCCTTCCGCCCCACCTCTCCATGCACCCGCCCTGGCTTTTTTTACTCTTCTGTTCCACTGCTTTCTCGCCAAGTCGTGCCGTGTCTTCTGCCTTCGCTGCTGCTCTCACACCTCTCACAAACCTCTTCGCTCGGTTCGTTGGTGCCTGTTTCACGACGTTGTCACAACGACGTCGTGAAATTCTCGCCTTCGCCTAGCTGGACTCACCAGTTCACTGGCAAAGCATGGTACACACTGTAGTGACGTTGCACCACCAATGCCCCTCTTCGCGCCTCCCCTTGTGCTCGTTAGCGGCTTCATGCACGCCATGGCTGTCCATTCCCGCAGCAGGCGCCAGGACATAACGCGCCTCGTACTCCGCGTACGCGGAGTCCGCGCGCATCCCTTCCGCCAATCTACTTCCACTCAACCCTCCGCCTTCAAGTTAGACCTCCTGATCTCCCGTCAACGAAGTCAACGTTCCGAACGTGGAGATTACCCGATCATGCCGCTACTGTACTCAACGTCACAGGTACTACTCCAATATATACTCGACCTCCTTGGACCTCGCTCAGACAATCCGTGCAACAACGCCCAGGCACTGGTACTAGCCAAACAATCGCCAGCAGTCATCGCATACGTAGTAGGGACTAAGTACTTCTAATGCTAGTCCAGCCTCTCCAATCGTACACTCTCATTCTAATCCGCACGTTTCCAGATTCTCATACAGCATTATGGCCTCAATCCCTCGCGCCCTCCCATCCCCCCTCCCCGTCCCGTCGCGCCTTACCCTCATCACCCTCCTCGCGCTAATCGCGCTCCTCCGCCAGGCGGAAGCCTACACCCCTCCGCCGATCCCCGACGGGTGCGTCGCGGAGATAGCGGAGGTCGACCGGGAGGCCATGCGCGCGGTGTACGCGGCGCTGCCCGAGAATATGTTCTTCTGGCACGACGGCATACCGCAGTACAAGCTGTTCGACGACAACCACAACGTCTCCTACTGCTGCGTCGCGCCCAAGCCCGCTGGTGTGTCGTGCTACCTCTGGTGCCCGCTCGAGTGCACGCCCGCCGGTCGCATCACGCGCATTTTCTCTGACCCGAGCCGCCAAGATATGCCCGTGCAGAGCGAGAGCAGAGGGAGCTGCCCGCCCGGCGCGCTGTCGCCCGCCATTGGTGACCTCGCGGAGCTCTCGTCGCTGGTCTTCCGCCACTCGTCCCTCGCCGGCGACCTGCCAGACTCCGTCACGCGCCTGCAGAAGCTAACGACTTTTGCAATGCCCGAAAACAACTTCTCCGGGCCCATTCCGCCAGGCCTTTTCCGCCTGCCCGCGCTCCGCCACGTGGACTTGAGCACAATAAGTCCCCATTCGTACTTACAACTTCAATATGAAGGCCGCCTGCCCGCCCTCCGCCACGTGAACCTCACCCCACCAGAAGGAATAGTTGGCCTGTCGGGGTCCCTTCCCGACGGCCCCGACGCGTACTCCCCGTCGCTGGAAGAAGTAATCCTGTCTGGCAACGCGCTCTCGGGGGAGCTTCCGCGCGCCCTTCTCCGCGCGCCTGCGCTGCGCCAGTTGGACCTGCAGAGCAACAACTTCACGGGGGAACTTCCGGGGGAGGCGGGCGCGTATTCACGGAGCATTGCCGCGCTCAGCCTGCGCAACAACAGCCTGTCCGGCGCCATTCCGTCCGCGCTGGCGGAGATGACAGCGCTACAGAAACTCGACCTGGGGTGGAACCGCCTATCCGGCGCGGTGCCCGCGGCGCTGCGCGACTCCGAGTCGCTCAAGGCGCTCAAGGAAGTGCGGCTCGACCACAACGCGCTCACCGGGCCGTTCTGCGACGCGCTGCTGCCGGCGAGCGACCTCTGGCTGGGCTTCAACGACCTGGGCGGCGCGACCGCCGGAAGCAGCGCCAGCGCCACCAGCGGCGGCGGCGGGAGCGGCGGAGGTGAGGAGGAGGAGGGGGGCTCTCTGCACGGCTGCGTGCTGCCCGCGAAGCTAGAGATTCTCAGCGCGCCGCACGCGGGGCTCCGGGGGAGCGTTCCGCACGACCTGTTCCTGGCGATGAACGCGCAGACGGGGCGCAAGCCCTCCATGGGCGGCTTGGGTAGGACTATCCGGATCGACCTGAGCCACAACAGCCTCTCGGGCAGCCTGCGAGCTTTCACGGTGCTACCGTACGGGGTCTTGGACCTGTCGCACAACAACTTCTCCGGCGGCATTCCCGAGGTGTTTTACAGCGAATTTTCGCGCGTGGACGTGCGGTTTAACGAGCTGTCGGGTCCGCTGTTCGACGCGCGCCGGGAGGCGTGGAGTCGGGGTTGGAGTTACGACTGGGACAGGCTGCGCGTGAGCAACAACAGCGCGCGCATGGCGGGCGCCGTGGGCGCGGGGTACCTCCCCGCGCCCGCGCCGGGCGTGCAGGCCTCCGCTGCAGAGACTGCTGCGCTGCTGGCCGTGCGCGATGCGCTCCTGGGGGAAGCAGCGGGGGGAGCAGTGGGGGGAGCAGCAGGGGAAATTGAGTTGGTGAACGGCAGAGGAAGCTCGTGGGCGGAGATGCTGCGCAGCTGGGACGCGAGTAACAGCAGCGCGTGTGCGTGGCACGGCGTGGGGTGCACAGCAGACGGACACGTCGACACTCTACACCTGATAGGCAACTCTTTCGTGTACCCGCACACCAACTACATCCCCGAATCGCCCGAATGCGAAGACGACCAGTACGGAGACAAGGTATGCGCGCACGACGTTCCGCCGCCTCCCCCCCGAGTGCGGTACTTCCTACAAGGCCTCCCGGGCGGCAGCTCGAACAGCAGCGGGAGTGCGAGTGCGAGTGCGAGCGGAAGTCTGTCGGAGGCGTTGGGGCAGCTGACGCACCTCACCTCGCTATGCATCTCCGGACACGCCCTCTCCGGCGGCCTGCCGCCGTCCCTCTCGAGCCTCTCCCACCTCGTCTCTCTCAACCTCTCCTCCAACCGTCAACTTTCCGGCTCCATCCCTCCTGGCCTCTTTGCCCTCCCCTCGCTGCGAGAGCTCTCCCTCCTCGGGAACAACCTCACGGGAGAGGTCCTCCCAACCACCACTGCAGGAGCAGCAGGAGCAGCAGGAGCAGCAGTGCCGCTGTCACCGAGCTTGGAGAGTCTAGACGTGGGGGGGAATGCTCTCTCGGGGTCCATTGCAGCGCAGGTGGGTCTTCTCACGGGGCTGACGCGCCTGGCGCTGGACCAGAACCAACTTGAGGGCAGCTTGCCACGGGAGCTCGGCGCGCTCTGGATGCTCCGAGACCTGCACCTGCAGGGGAACGCCCTCCGGGGGGACGTCTCTGCACTCGCTGCCGCCTTCCCCTCCCCTGCTGCTGCTGCTGCTGCTGGCAGTACCGCCGACTCCACTGCCGCTAGTGCAGCTGTCTTGTGGGGACTCAGCGGGGTGTTCCCGCTGCTGGCCCGTTTGGACGTCAGCAGCAACGAGCTCTCGGGAGACGCAGCCACGCTCTCCCCTCTCCAGCAATATTTCCACACACTCAACGTCTCTCACAACCGCCTCACGTGCAGTCCCGGCAACGCCTCCTGGAATGCGTATTACATGGACTTATCACACAACCGCATTAGTGCTCCGCTGAAGGACCTCTTTGGGAAAGTCGACAGCTTCGATTCGACAGTGCTGCGCCTGTCGCACAACCAGCTGTCGGGACCCATCCCTGCCATGCTCCTGCGAAACAAAGTGCAAGGAGAGCTGGACCTTTCCCACAACCTGCTCACGGGTTCAATTCCCGCCATCGTCAATTTGTACTCCATGAAGACCCTCGACCTGGCGTTCAACCAGCTGTCCGGCACCATTCCTCAGCTGCATGGCTCGCTGATAACATGCGACTTCTCCCACAACCGACTCACTGGGAAAGTCCCACCAGCGCCTCCTGCAATGCAGTATCTGAACGTGAGCTGGAATCAGCTTGACGGGATGGCCCAGTGGCAGTATCAGGAGGGTAGGAGGTTGAAGAGTCTGGACGCGTCTCACAATGCCATGGCTGGAAATCTGCCGGATTTGGGTAACAGCGATGGGCTCATGAGCCTGACCTATCTGGACCTCTCCTACAATGCGTTTACTGGCACCCTTTTGGAAAAGACTTACCCGTTTTTGGAGCAAGCGACGAGCTTTACGGGAAGTGTGAATCGTAGGAGCGGGGTGGAGGTTCGACTGAGCCATAATAAGCTCACAGGAAGCATCTCTAGCTTCGTCTTCTCCTCGTCCCCCTCACTGCTCGACCTCTCCCACAACCAGTTCTCTGGCCCCATCCCAGACGCTCCCCAGGGGAACAGCCAAGGCTTTTTTATCGACCTTCTCTCCTACTTGGACCTCTCTTCCAATAAGCTCTCAGGAACCATCTCCGATGCTCTCGTCACCGGCCTCACGGCCCTGTCCCACTTGGATCTCTCCGACAACCTGCTCTCGGGCTTGCTGCCCCGCTCCCTCGCTGCCGTCCCGCCCCTCACCCACCTGGACCTCTCACGCAACAAGCTCAAAGGCTCCCTGCCTGCCTTCTGCCAGGGCAACCAGAGCCTCGCCTCTCTCCTCCTCTCCTCCAATGCTTTCTCCGGCCCCCTCTCCTCCCTCCTCCCCTCCTCCTCCTCCTGCGCCTCCTCCCTCCTCTCTCTAGGCATCTCCAACAACCAGCTCTCCGGCTCGCTCCCCTCGTCCCTCTCATGCTTCACCGCTCTGCAGTCCTTGCTAGCGGCGCGCAACCGCATGAGCGGCAGCATCCCTGCAGGGCTGGCATCGCTGACGGCCCTGCAGGAGCTGGACGTGTCGTGGAGCGGGCTGTCAGGCACCATCCCTGCGCTGCTGCGTGCTGCTGCCCCCTCCCTGCAAGTGCAACTCGCTGGCAACGCCCTCTCTGGCGCCGTCCCCCCCTCTCTCTCCGACCTGCCCACCTCCTGCTTCCGCCCCGGCAACCCGAAGCTCTGTGGGAAGCCCCTGCCCGACTGCAAGAAGAGCTCTTCCAAGCCTAGGAAGGGCCGGGTGTAGGGCGTGGGGAGGCAAGAGGACTGCTGCTTGTCTGGTTCGGATTCAATCGAATCTGCGGTTCGTGCTGCAGGAAAGGCGCAAACAATTCCAGAAATGGTGCTGGAATGTACTGTCTGGTACTAATCGAGGGTGTCTTTTTGGTCTTCCTAAGGTTTCTTTCATTCTTTTATGGTGCTTCAGATACTTTGTATGAGTGTCTTGCCAAGACCCACAAGGTGCACTAGACCAATGGATACTGTAACACAGCAAATTGATCCAACAGGCAGCTGAATTCAACAAGAAATGATGTTTACTACTAGAAGTGGTAAGTTTTAGGCACTACCAAGTTTTAGACAGGATGAGTCTCGATGAGGAGACCATGTCACGTTCTTCTCGTCGGAGTGAAAAAAGGCTAGATTTAACAGCAGCATTGGCAGATAGGAACCGGTAGTTGCAGCCAGATAGGAACCACAGGTAATCTACTCGTCTGTGGCCGATGCAGCATTCAGGTCCTCGTGGCTCAGATCAAGCTCCTGTAAACAATGACCGGATGGGATGGGAGGACAGGGCGTGCAAGGGATGAAGTCAGAAACAGCACATTACTGGTACATCTACACTGACCCGATGGGCTGGAAAGCCAGACAAATGGCGGATGGGATCATAATTCGGGAACAGATATCAACTGACCTTTCCGGTGATCTTGGCATACATGGCCAGCACATCCTTGACTGTTGTCTCAAAGTGGGTCGTGGGATCATAGCTCTGCAACAAGGAGCCACAGAGTGGACACCAGACGAGCACACTTGTGACGAGCTCAGAATACTCCGAAGGTGACTAATTCCAAATCTATGGAACGAGAGTATTCAGAGCTAAGAAATAGCACGAGCGACAGCATACCTTGGAGATGAAACAGTTGTCAGCAGTGCAGTCGTTGGTGGGCTCATACACATCATAGCTGTCATAGAAGATCTCATCCACAGCGCCCAGCAGGTCCACTCCAGGCTTCAGCTCTGTCTTGGGGTCGTCCTGAACAGAAACAGAGCAGGAAACGAGACAATGACACCACAGTTGCGTATTGGACCGAGTTACTACTTCATTACTACTTAGGGCAGTTAACATACAACAAGAGCAGATTGTACTCTGTAAACTACCAACATGGGCTAGTCAAGGGTCTTACGGTCTCAGCAGAGGTGGAAACGAAGGCAATGAATTTGCCCTTGGCAGCCACGCAGTGAGAGTAGGAACAGCAGAACACATACCTGCAACGAGGCAATAGGGGATACATTTTGTCAAACCACAGCAGCATAAGGGGCAAGGACAATTAGGCAGTGTAAGAGATTAGTACAGAAATGTTGTGGTGGGAGATTGAGCGGATCAAGATGAACCAGAAGATATAGGTACTTCCTTACATGTCAGACTTGCGGTTGATCTGCTTCTGAGGAATGATGATTTGCACCGAGTGTGAGTCGTAGGTGTTGGGAATCGGGTGGCTCATAATGGCGATGGCACGGACCACCTTGCCCACAACCTTCACCTGCAGGATGGTCAAAATACAGCGCAGCAGAAGTGGTTCCAGCAAGAGAACAATGCAAAATACACGCAATCCTTTGTTACCATGTTTTTCTCGATAATAATCCTGCTAAAAGAGGGACACGGACTGCGCCAAATCAAGGGAGACAAACATACCTTATCGGGAAGGTAAGACGGGTCGCAAACAACTTTTGCTGTCTTTGCGGTCTCACCGTCCGATGTCACACCGCACGCCTTGCCACTCTCATCATACTCCACCTGCCCACAGGAATCGCCCATGCAGAGACACGTTCGTTTGAAAGCCTCATAACACGTGAGAAAGTGTAGGCCAATAAAACTGCGATAGCACGGAAATCAGATGGTGCAAGGGAGAAGCTACAAAGCTGAGGAGGAGAGACGAAGGAGAGACAGTCTGATACCTTGCAGCCTGGCTTGGCAAGCATGTACGTCCCTCCGTAGACAGCCGAGAGCCGAGCAAACGCCTGAACCACAGCAACACAAGATGGAATTAGCAGGTGATCAAAAGGACAGGCAATACGCATCCCAACAGCAAGAGAGGCGAGTACAGACCTGAGGCAGCTCGCCGAGGCCATAGAGAGGGTAAATGTAGGGGGAGGTACCGCCAAACCGGGCCAGCGACTCAGCATACAGCTGTGACACAGGCGGGGATGTGCAGAAGGGGGGGAAAAAGAATAACAATGGAGGCAGTACAGAGATAGTCGGGGCGGTCAAAGGAGAGCGGAAAAACTAGAGCATTATCGTAAGCGCAAGAGGGTGGGAAGGGTGGCAGACAGTCAAATGTGATACCTTGCATCGCGCAATAAGTTCCGTCCCCGGTTTCGCCAGAAAGGACTCGTCTTCGTAAAGGGCCAGCGCATGGCCAATGAAATCGATGCTGTTCTGGTCCAGCCCGAACTTCCTGCAATTCGCACACAACAATGCATGCAAAACGGTTTAACACAACCCGCAGCAAACAACGACAAATCGAAGGCTAAAAAAAAGGAAGAAGGTGGTGGATATGGAAGGTAAGAAAAGAAAAAACTTACTCTAGGACGGTCTTGGAGGTGGCCGTGGTGAGGTCCATGCCCTGGTGCGTGTTGGGCTTGGCTGGATCATACTCCTGCACGAAAATGAAGAACTTGCGGGCGCGGCCCTTCTCGAAGAATCCCAGCAGCGGCGAGGAGACAGCCTCAACGTCAGTGGCAGGCACCTTGTACACCTGCATGCAAGAGAGTAAGAATTGAGAAGGACTTTCTACCGCACACGAGCCAGCAAGCACGAAGCGAGCAAGAGAGAAAACTTTGCCTTACTCTGCCTTGCTTGAAGACATAGCTGCCATCGACAGCCTTAAACTGCAAATACTTGGTAACGTCGGTGCGAATGAGCACACGAACCAGCAGACCGTTCGCCATCATGAACTGAGAAAACGCTCGAAGATTAAGGATGAGGACAACATGAAGGTAGGGAAACGTGTCGGGACATACTGGCTATGCGACACAGCGAAGGAACGAAGCAGGAAAAAAAAAAACGACCAATGCTCGAACGTACCTTGGGTGTCATGTCGACATTGTAGTCTCGGCTCGGACCAAGCGAGGCAGGAGGAGTCTCTCCTGGCCTGAACTTTTCAAACAACTGGTGGTGCAGATCACGTGCGATTTGGGAAAGGAGACGTCAGAAAGGAAAAGGCCACGATCAAACAATCCTAACGAACGCTGTTAACATGGAGCGCATAATCGGCACAGCCAAGAACCTTACGGACCTGTTTGAGGTTCAACGATGCACACTCGCCACCATAGTAGTCATTGCGATCCATATGGAGCACCTGCCATAATAAAAACAAGAACCGGGAACAGGACAAGCCCTTCATCAATAAAAGTACAACGAGATTTGAAATTCAACAAACTTGCTAAACGTGAAAGAAAGGTTACCTTATACTTGTTGACGGAAAGAAGACCACTGAGAATGCATTCCTTCAAACCGGTTCCCAGCACGATGACATCGTAGGTTTCATCCATGGCTGACGCTGTCGGATGCAATCAATGTATTTGCGGGTATAGCCTGCAGATCCAAACAACAAAGGTTGCGAACTCGATGTCATGGCCAGCCCAGATAAAAAAAAACGGCGAGGAATGTAGATATAGTGAACACGGACAACGACTGTTGCTAAGGACAACGACTCATAACAATACTCGATCTCGAAAGTTTATGAGAATTCGAGCTAGGCAGACAGCAATACACCTTTCAACTCACAAACTGGACGACACTATGAGTCGCCAGCCATGAGATCTCGTAAGTTTCATGTCCAACCCCTAGTGAGCGACAAGCTAAACGTGCCCAACGAACGCGACATTTACCAAGAAGAATCTAGATGGATCTCATTAAAAAGGTGAAGAGGTAAGATACAAGGGACCGCGAATGCAGAATCTGATGACCATGCGAAAATAAGGCACATCGCACTCAGTCACAGCTTTCGAAGGCATAGCTAGACGCCCAAAGACGCACATCTAGGCGGTGAATAGCAAGCAATCAGCTTGACACGTACAGAAAATAAATGCTGCGCAGAAGAGACTTCCCAAGGGCGAATATGTCACCACTTCCACCGTGGATTTCCAGGAGTAGTGACAATAGCAGAAGCTTAGCTATAGAGACTGGAAATGTGGTGGGAGGGTTTGAATTGAATGAGCTTCTCTGATGAGATTCGTCACAAGCATTGAAGCAGGAAATGGAATGTGGGATGGGTTGGTTCGGAGGGAAGAGATTCGGTCTGGGCAGGGTGAAGTGGTTGCTGGTGGTAGGCAGCTGTGTGATTTCTCCTACCTGGAGGCAACTGTGTGATTTCTCCCATGTGAGATTCTGTGTGATTTCTCCCATGTGGAGGTGTGGAGAAGAGCAGCGCCAGACGTAATTAGCTTCGGCACGAGCAGGCTCGGATGTGAAGGCCCTCGGAGTACTGCAAGTTTACGTGATGGGCCAGTTCGACGGGTGAAATATCATGTCTGGCAGGTTTGGTCAGCGGTGTGACTGGGATATCGCTGAGACGAGCCTCGGCCACCACGTCATCCGTGACGAACGACCCTTGATTTCTGCGTATGCCGAACAAAACATCCCCTTTGCAAACTCTCCCCCTACTGCGAAACAAACCTTTTGTAGATGTCTCTATATAAGTTTCCAGGATTCGTCACCTCTCACTTATGAGCTGCAAAACACAAAACCTGCATTTGCTTCATCCAGCCGAAACCAACGTTTGAACATTCAAATCCACTCACATCCATTGACCACCACGAAACCTGCCGCTTCGGGTTCATCCACACACTGGTACTCATACAGCGAGCCCTGCATTCCTTTTACAGCCTCACTTACCGTACCATGTCTATCATTTTGTTTCGAGCTTAGAGCACGATGAGCCAAGCAGCCGCGGGTAGCAGCGCGAATGGCCTTGCGAATGGCACAGCGAGTGGTAGCGGGAGTGAAGGAGGCGCGGGTTGGATCCGCTGCATGGACTTGCGCAATTTCATGTGCCACGAGGCACTCCACGTGGACTTTATCCGCCACGTCAACTTTATTACTGGTTCTAACGGAAGTGCGTGGAGATATGAGCAGCGAAATACAACAGCCAGTCAAGTTTATGGAATCAGTGAATTTCACGCCGCGGGGTTGCTACTATTCTTGTCCAACCCTGCCAGCGTTTATTTGCCAGCACAGGAGGTCATGCTGTCCTGTATCCTGTGCATTTCGAGTGTGTTTTCACCCCTGTAGCTCTATCTCGTGTCATTGTCTCTCTCCGCGCAAGCAGGCGGCAAGAGTGCGGTGCTGACGGGGCTGTGCGTGGCGTTCGGCACGCGAGCTCGTACGACGAATCGCGCGTCCGCCATCAAGGACTTTATTCGCACCGGATGCAGGTACCGTGCTCACTCCCACCACCACCCATCACCACCCATCACCACCACGACCAGACTGTTCTTTCTACGCTCCTCAGGAAAATGCTCCTCTCTTTGTCCTCTTTCGCCGAACCGAGCTCATTTGTAATTAACTCTTCGCCTGTCTCCCTTGAGTGGAGGCGATTCGACGTCCTACTGCATCACTCATGTCGCGCTTTACGATCTTCTGTGTGTCTTCTAAACGCCTGACAAAGCCCAAAGCGAAGTAGTCTGTTTCATAGCGCACACCTCCCCTTTTCGCCCAACTCATCCTAGCTTCCTCCCACTCTCATCCCGTAACCTTCCCCCACTCAACCTTCCTGCCTCACTCTTTCCCCCTCCTTCCCTCCCCTTCCGCGAACCCCTCCGCCATGCCCCCCCCTGCGCATCCTTCCGCCATTCCCCCTCCCCGCGCGCCCCCTTTCCCCCCTTCCCCTGGGCCTTCGGCGCCCCCCTTGCAGCGCGGCGGTGGTAAGCGTGGAGCTGAACAACGAGGGCGAGGAGGCGTTCCGCCCTGACGAGTTCGGTCCGCGCCTCACGGTGGAGCGCCGCATCACCGACAACGGCTCCTCCACTCTCGCACTCAAGGACTTCCGCGGTGCGTGCTGCGGGGAAGGGGAATGGGGTGATATGAGGGGAAAAGGGGGAAGGCGTGGAGAGCGGAGGGGCGGAGTGGTGTGCTGCTTCTGAGGGTGCGTTAGGGATAGCTGCGTGAGGATGGAGAGATGCAAGGCGATGACAAGGGATACTATGCCATTTTTCATAGGCCATGTTTCATGTGTCATGTGTCACAACCCATACCTCATGCATCATGCCTCATGCGTCACACATCCTCTTTTGGCTCGGTGCTCTGAGCAGGGAGGAAGGTGCGCAGCAAGAGGGAGGATCTGGACGAGCTCACAGCACACTTCAACGTGAGTAATAGCCCCCATAAGCCCCCCCTGCTTGGGCATCACACAGAACAAGTCATATGGGATAGAGGGGAGAGATGGGTGCGTGCCAGGCACACTACACAGCACTGCTATGGACTGCATTGCACTCCACTGCACTGCACTGCACTGCACTGCACTGCACTTGGGACATATCTCAGTCACTCCCACACAAACGCAAGTCATGGGGGTGGTGCAATCAGGGCAGTGGCACTCACACACAGCTCTGTGCTGCTTTGTCAGTCATGCCCCCATGCACCGAACCGCATACCCGCTCGTGCGAGAGTTGACCTTGGCCTTTTTCTCTTTTTGTGTCTTGCTTGCGTGCATACATATCTAACTGTGGGATGGGAAGGTTGGATGTAGGTTACGTTCTTTGACGGTGTGTGTGTGTTGGGGGGGGGGGGGGGGGGGGGGGGGGGGGAGGGAATTGGATGCGGGGTTGGAGGAAGGAAAGGGGAGAAGGGGGTGTTGGGACATGTGTGTGTGCATGCATGTGCATGTGCATGTGCATGGTCGCATTGCTTTCAGTTGGACGTGGACAATCCGTGCATAGTGATGTCGCAGGACAAGAGTCGCGAGTTCCTGCATTCCGGCACGCCCAAAGACAAGTACAAGGTGCTCCTGCATGCACCTTCCCACCCTCCTCAACTCCTCACCTTGCCCCTCCTCGTTACGTACAACCGCTCCCAGTTTTCCTGCCCCTTGCCTTGCTATTCCCCATCATTATCCATCCCGAAAACCTTCTTTCCCCATACTCTTTACCCCCACTGGACATGTCATTGTCAGATTAACCTCTTGCAGTCCTCACAACAACTCACGTCCTTCCATACTTCACCTACTCACTTGCTAATCTCTCCTTTTCCCAAATTCTCCCACTCCCCGACCCTTTTTCGTCCCACCCACCCCGTTTTCCTCCTCCCCTTGCCCAAACCCTTCTCTGTTCTTCCGAACCCACTTGCCCACCTCCATCTCCCCCCGCACACACCCCGCGCGTGCAGTTCTTCATCAAAGCCACTCTGCTGGAAAAGGTCTCGGCACGTCTGGGCACCATCTCAGGGCGGCTGGTGGTGTGCCGGCGGCAGCTGGGGGAGGCAGAGACAGCCCTGGTGCCCTTGGAAGAGAAGGCGCGGCAGGCGGAGCAGCTGGTGCGCGAGCTGGAGGAGGCGGAGAGCCGCGGGCAGGAGGCGGACCGCGTGACGAAGCAGCTGGCGTGGGCGTACGTGCACGAGGCGGAGCAAGAGGTGGTGGACGCGGAGAGGGCCAAGCACGAGGCGCAGGAGAGGGTCGCGGAGCTGGAGGAGCGGCTGGCTACCGCACAGGTGGGTGGGATGAGGATGTGGGAAAAGGGTGGAGTGGAAGGAAGGAAGAATGGGAGGATGGATGGGCGGATGATTGGCGGGTGAGTGGATGTGATTGTGTGCGTGCTGGGAATGTGTGGGTGTGCTGTGGGTGGTGACGTTCGGACGGATCGAAACGAATTCGTTTGTTATTCTTGAGTTCATATCTACGCCTTTAGATGCATCAACCCCCCTTCCCCTCTCCCCCCCAACAAAAAAAAGAAAAAAACTTCTCTCCTCCTGCCATCCCCCTCCCCTCTCCCCCCTCCCGTCTCTCCACTTTCCTCAATTCCCACTTCCCCTTTGCTCCTCCGTGGTGGCGTGTGCATGCATGGGCGGGGCATGAGCAGAGTCGGGTGGAGACAGTGCAGCAGCAGATGGAGCAGCACATGGGGCGCGTGAAGGGTGTGCAGCAACGAGGTGGAGCGCGTCAAGGCGGAGCAGGACCGCTTCAGACAGCAGCTCGCCCAGGTCTGAGCGAGCGAGCGAAGGGGGGCAGGGGGTGAGCAGGGCGGAGGGCAGAGGGGAGGCAATGAGGAGGGGAGGGGGTAGGAGAGGGGAAGGGGAAGGGAGAGGGGAGAAGATATAGAGGGGTCGGGAAGGGGGAGGGAAGAAGAAGTGTGGGAGATTTGGAGCAAGACATGTACCAGTGCTTGGATTAGATGTATGGGCTGATAGATGGGTGTTCTTATTTATTTATTTATTTTCGTGTATCTGATAATTTCCTCCATTTCTCCCCCCTTTCCCCATATCCACACCCCTCCCTCTTCCTTAAATGTCGACTTCAAAGTAAAAACAACATCGCACTATCCGGGTTTTCCAACCCTCCTGCAACCTCCTGCCTTCCCCCGTCGTTGTGCCACTTGTCCGCACACTCTCCACCTCCCTCCTCGCCTTTCTTTCCCTCCTGGCTAGAGCCATTCTTTGATTGCAAAGTGCATATCTGATAGCGTCCTCTCCCCTCCCACTCCCCATCCTCCCCTCCCCCCGTCCCTTGTCCCCCATTACCCACGCCTCTCCCTCCTCCGCTGTGTCATTTTCAAAGTACAACCAGCTTATATGGTATTATCTTGAGACTGCAACTTCCCTGCAACCTCCCCACTTCCCCCTTTGCGCTTCAGCCTCCTTGCACACCCTCCGCCTCCCACAAAACCTCACCTCCCTCCCCAATGCTGCATGGGCACTCCCACTCTCTCCCCCACCCTGCAGGCGTCGCGGCAGCGTGGCACAGTGGAGGCGGCGTGTGGGCGGCACGAGCGAACGGTGGAGGAGAAGAAGCGGCGCGCACAGGAGCTCAGCGCGCGAATCCAGGAGCTGCAGGACCGAGCCATCAGGAACTCACAGGTGGGCACACGGTCGGTTCTGAGAATTCTTAACAGTTAGAGAGAATTGAGCAATCCGAAACTCACAGGTGGGCGCACAGGCGGACGGGCGGACGACGGACAGTGGGAGAGAGAGAGCTATGGAAGATGAAGGGGAAGTGAAGAGGAGTGGGGAGGGGCGTGCGGGATGTACGGCTCGCTATTTCTTCCTGCTTTTTCCCCAGGACAGGTCTCTGCTCTCCACGTGTGTTCCCGTGTCTTTGATATCTCCCGCTCCTAAGTCCCCGTGATTCGTTCTCTGGCGTCTGGGCTGTGTGTATGCGCCCAACAGATTGCTCTGTGCGCCTTCTTGACCCCCTGCCATTTCCAGGCGGATCGGTCGGTGAGGGATGCCGAGGTGGCAGCAAAGCAGAGCCTAGTGGAAGAGGCCAAGGAGAGGCTCGACAGGTCAGCCAGTCAGTCAGTCAGTCAGCCAATCAGTCAGCCAGTCAGTCAGCCAGTCAGTCAGGCAGTCAGTCAGGCAGTCAGTCAGTCAGCCAGTCAGTCAGCCAGTCAGTCAGCCAGTCAGCCAGCCAGACAGCCAGCCAGTCAGCCAGCCAGTCAGCCAGCCAGCCAGCCAGCCAGCCAGCCAGCCAGCCAG